GAGCTTTTTTTTTTTTTTTTGGTGCCGACTTCCTCGTTTTGAATAAATTACCTGCATCCAGATATAGATGCGATGTTCCATAAAGGGGTGATTGTGTGGGTTGTTATGCAACTTAATAGAACGTGACCATTTGTATGCAAACCATGAAACTTGGGTGCTCGCTTGACCCGGATCTGGCGGTGCATTTAACGAGGAAAACCCCGGTTGCGTTTCTTGATCGGTTTCTTGAATCTCTCCGAGACTGCGGACTTGTCAGGAAATAGGGTGGCGTTTTCTTCGAGGGTTGGTTGGTCGGGGTCGGAATGGGTTATATTCCAGTATTTTCCAAGTATACCGTACCGTCCGTATCATCATCTCTCTGTTTGTCGTATCCTAGCTGAATAGTGGTTGGATAGTAGAGAAGTGATCTCTGATATTGTAATACACACCTGACTTAGGACACGATCTCCATAGGGCGCCATTTCGTTTTCCTTGGACGGAATCGTGAGGGTTAGTTTCTCCATTAAGTTCTCACTTGAGTGAATATTCATGCGGCTTATTCAGGCGGGTTCTCAAAGTCTGGCTGTTTTTGTATTCTCCCGCGCATTTGAATCGGAGACAGGCTTTCGATGTCGCCTTGTTGGCCTTATATCGGTGAGTACGATTTCGTTCTCACCCGGGTATAGTCGTGCGTATTCTCAATGATCTCATTTGTGGCTAGCTCGAGTATTTCCCCTTGGCCAGAGAAATGCATAATGTTGTCGATTTGAGCTAGTGTTAACATGTGTCGCGACATTGTCTCATTAAAACCGATTTTTACAGCTACTGAAGCGAGTCAGTCAGCACGGTGCCCGTGAATTTTCCCAACCATTATTCAAGAATAGTGCTTGAACATCCATGGAAAGTATGGCTTCGATAGAAAGATTTTGGAAGAACCTGGAAGCCCCATCAAGACCGCGACGCAGCCCCAGCCATGGCACTTTCTGACTAGCTCTGTTGCTGAAAGAAACTTTTCATTACACCTTAAATAAAGCATAGAGTACCCACAGTCTGCAGGGCAGTGGAACGGGAAAACTCCCGGCAGAGGGGAGTATAGCACTTTTTTGCATTATCCTGTCATCGGAATACTCACGCTCAGTCTTTCAGTGCTTTTAAAAGCCGGCTGCTCTTGAGTTGCTAGCCTCACTTTCAGATACGGGTTGCTTTAAAGCGCTACAAGAGCTCGGATGTTTATTCTGCAAAACGCAAACTTACCACAAGGTCGGGCAAGTCGTTATCGAAAAGAGGACCAAAGTATCCAAGCCAGTAACACAATCACGACCTCCAAGGCACGTTAGGAGCAAATTCAAATTCTCTAATGAGTGATAGTCCATCCAGTCTGTCCTAGGGGAGGTAAAGAGTGAATAGCCATTGAACTCCATTGAGAAAATTACAAAGTCTCACCAAAAGAGATAGAAGGCTTCGTTCAATGCAATAAGGAAATGGGTACATCCAGGCCTGCGGAGAGCCTGGTAGAGTTCCAAAGACGAAAGCGCTCATTTACAGGAGCAACATGGTTGGTCGTTGTTGTAGCAGTTGTGAAGTGTAAATATCTTGCGCCTCGCTAGGAGCATGACAAGCGAGAGGTTTCAGTAATGAGTCAAGTCCCAGACCGGTTTACACGTCCCCTAATGGCTTCGAGCTGAAGAGGGATGCAGCTCGTTGTACGAATTGCTAAAGGTCTCCGTGCCAGGACATTGGTACAGTGCACTTTTGATGAGAGAATGTCTTTATGGCCTTGTAGTATCTCCTTGGAGGCTACTTAACGCGAACCAAACTCCATATTCATGAATACCTGCTTGTTTTGTACGGTAATAGCCCTGAATTATTTTGGAATAACTCATGCTTTTTTCTTAGATGTTTCCGAAGCTTATGCATTGAGATGTAAAGCTCGCATACATCTCGACCCACAAAAAGTTGGTATCGGGGAGATTGGTTGTGAATTTTCTTGTACGAATTGTACAATGTTTCGTCAGCCGGAAGGACCTCATGCTGATGTTGAACGTGCTTGTTGAAAATGGTCGAAGTCTTTAAAAGCGGAGTTTGCACCCATCATATATGCATGGTAGGGTTTTCTCGGCTTTTTGAGAGCACCGCGTGTGCTTTTAACATATACCAGTACCGAGTTGGAGTAGCTCGGACAATGAAGTTCGAGGAGACTTGATCCCTCAATTGTTTTTTTTAACCATCGTGGCCAATCAGTGGGACTTATTAGTCAATGTTTATTCTTACGAAAAATCCAATGGGTTGTTCAGTTGCATGCACAAAACTTGGTCAACACGGTCGATATCCTCTTCTGTGCCAAACTGTTCTGAGACGGAAATCCTCATCTTCTTCACTTGAATAGTGCATGTTTGGGCATAGACTTAACGCCTTAACTTTCACCGTCCTTGCTCGAAGAATTATTTCGGCCATTATCCTGGCACACAATTTGCCAAACGCTTGCTGACAAAGATTCTTTTCATGGCCTATAGATGGTATTAGGGCTCAATAGCAAATGGGCTGAATGTCCGTCATATTGAAGCCGGATGTCATTAGACTCTTATTTAGACTCTTATTGTTGGGGTACTCAAGCTCAGGAAGGGCACTCTGCCAATAGCCACGCTCTCAATAGTTGAAGGTGGCTAGCCACATGGGGCTTCGGACATCTAATATTTCGTAAATTTGGACCTTGGCGGCCTTCCACCTTTTTATACTGCTATGTTTTCCTGACCAGTCTGGTTCATATACTGGTCAATTTCCTTGAACGACTGCTTCTCATTTAGCATTGGGTTTGCAAACGTCGGTGTCATCCTGACGCCGAACAAGACGTCACATCCATGGACGATAGCGTTACAATCGATACGGTTGCGCTTTGGTAGCGGCAAGTGCCCCTCAATCTAGAGAAGACTGTGTCACATTGCGCATTTCTCTTCGATCACCCGTTGGATTTCTTGCGGATAAATTGAAGGAGAAGCCAAAGGAAGAATTAGAGGAAGAGGTTGCATGCTGTCGCATGGTGTGGTATACAGAGTCAGTGTTTTGTCGCGGTGCTGACTTGATTCTACGATAGCATGAGCCGATGAGCTATATAATGAATTTACCAGCACCGACCCTTGTCCAAGTTGAATAAATAAGCTAAACAATCCCGGAATAGGCTTAGTTCTGTCAGGAGCATATGCGTTAGCGATAGTGTCATTTCAGTCAGAGATATGAGTGACGCTTTTCGTCTTCCATATGCGTGGCCCCCTTCTGCCTTCCATTCCCATTTATCTTCCATTCTCATCCCATGCTCCGTCCGATTGTTGTGCAGGCGCGGCCCAGAGTGAGTTAGCTCCAGGGTGGAACGGTAATCTCTTTGACTTATTTACTGTATAAAGTCCTTCCTGACCTTGAAGGATAAATGCGAGATTGTCTGCTCAACGAGGCCTGCAAGGTAGCCCTCTATCCTCCATGCTGCAAGCATTGTCGAAATAGATACCGTAAATTTTGAACAGAAAACAAAGCGTGGGTTTCTAAAGTACCTTCATCACAATTCATTATACATTCAACCTGAGTATGTATCAATTAACTAAAACATAAGCGGTAATAAACCAGGGAAGCCCGATATAGAAGCGTAGGTGCCAACACTCGTCGGCCATTCTTAATAAATTATGTATGTGGTCTTTCTCTACAGAATATCATAGGGCTTCTGTAGCCTTACAACTTTCAGTGTTTTCTTCTCTTTTCATATTGGGCTGGTTCATATACTCATCTATCTCCCGTGGAGACCGTTTCTTTGCTCACATGGGAGCAGGGGCAGAGGATGGCACCAACAATCCTGTCGCCAAACGGCTCCTTAGCCCTCATGTTGTATGGAGTATGTTGGGCATAGCCAATGTACATCCACGTTATGTCTTTGGACGTTGTATACTTGCTGTGTCCGCATAGATTGCAGCGGCTGCTTCTTCAACATTTACCATACTTATCTTGGTATGTGCAATATCCCTAGTCACTCCCCGCCGGATGGCGTAGGTGGTAATGCGGTTCAGGACACCGGCCTCGAACCCAATTTTTTTCAGAGTGTTTCCCAGCACCGCCAAAGTTGCGGACTTTTTCAGCATCGGAGGGCCCCTGTTCTTGGGGGGTTGACAAAATATGGCTGCTCAGGATGTACCCACTGCAAGGTGCGGTCCTCTTGCCTCCTTTACTATGGTGACATTCACCAGGCCAATTCGAAGTGCAAAAACCATAAGGAGCTTGATCATACACATGGTGTTCTGGCTGGTGCTCTAAAGGGAGTCGACAATTTCTACATTATTCTCAATTATGAGGCCTCTGGGAGACGACAGGAATAAGCAAACAGGTATTCAGAGGGAGATGGCGTGACTGACTTTCGACATTTTTTCAAATTGGAAGGTCATATTTGCCCTCAAGGCATGTTGCTTATCTCTGTCATGAGCTATGGTTAGCCGTATGTCCTTCCAGGGCACAGATATATGATCTAAATACTGTATAACATTCCTAACGCGAGCAGCACAGCTGGACTGAAGAACCAGTCCCAGCGCGACCTGGATCGTTCTGTCCTCAGATAGCCATGTACGGAGTGGTGTTATTTCCATCATCCATGAATCGTATGCTTTATTACCCATAGCTTGGCCATTTTATGTCTTCATGAACCCTTGAAAGCCCCCCCTTTTTTTTTGTTTTTGGAAAAAAATAAAAAATAAATAAATAAATAAAATAAAAACCAATATAATGGCTAACAGGCTCGAACTCTCGATTATTGTGATTATGGCCCAATTCTGAACACTGTTGCTAAAACACAAAAACAAGCAGACAAAGCTTGTTTCGTTCAAAGAAACAGGCAGTATTTCTAATTCTCGGAACACAGTTTAGCTGCATGACCAGAGTAAATGCATGGATCATGCATGCCATATCCTAAAGTGCACTCGCGTTAGAGCGTCTCTATGCCGGCTCGAATTGACATAAGTCAAGGACAAACTTCCCCCAATAAGGGCAGATCTCATCCAAGCGTCTACCATTCGCATTTGGCATACTGAACCTGATTCATTCCCGAGGCTGCCGGAGTCCCTTTAAATATCCTTCCTTGGCCAATCAATCGAGGTGGTCATGGATCGTGTGTAGTTCTCGTCTGTCATAGCTTGCAGAAATATCTCCGTGTCTGATGCAATAGGTTAATGAGGAAGAATTGTATCTGTTGGATTGTCTTGATAGATGTGATGCGAGGCCCTTTCTCTTCGGCGTTGACCTAACCCCGGCGGACCATAGTGTCGATGAATCGGAAAATGTCCTCGCTCTCTGGGCACTGTTTTCGAGTTCCCTCAAGGGTATTGAATCAGAGAGTAGCCATCATGCAACAGTCAGGTTGCCAACGTCCTATTTAAATGCCAGCTTGAAAAGAGTGAGTAGTTCATATGCATGAATAATACCAGAGTGCCATCCTCATGCTCTCTTAGTGTTGGAAAAGGCCCGTTGGCCATCGTTTCTCTGTGTCGGGAAAGAGAAATGATCGAAATGATTATGGATATGACGACGGCTGTATAGATCGGCGTAAAAGCTCATCTATAGTGCTCTTGGCCATCAATCCTGTATAGCGGACCACCCGGCTATAGCTATAGAAATACGGGGGTAGTTTGGATAGGAATATCATTTCGTTAGTATCTACTAGTCCGAGTCCGTAGCATTGTCCAGGCACACTAGTTTTCTGACCAAACCATAAAAAAGATCGCCCATGCACTGGTTACAATTGAGGAAATGCAAATGAACTACATGCATTTGCAACCGACTGCCAAATCAAACGAGATTTGCTCATGAATTCACTAAGCCGAGTTATATTGAGAGCATGTATGCATAGTCGAAATACACTGCATAAAGCTTATTATCTGCTTGACTTTCACTTGTTGTGACTATCACTATTCTTTCATTCAATCTTTTCATCTTTTGATCTTAGTCCCTTCTTTGAGCGTTGTTAATGCCAGTAAAGTCTTCCAAAGGACAAGAGAGGCTGCAGTGATTGAATCAATATATGGACAGGCTCGGTTTTGTGGTTCATTCTTGATTGTAGAGGTTAAAAAAAAGTTCGGACGGGGATCCAGCGGGGATGGCCTTAGTTCAGAGTAGGCCCAGGGTACTTTTTGATAGACATGCCATGCCGTGTTGGTTAAACCAAGCAGACTAGAATACACTTATCATACATTGTCGCACTAAACAGCCAAGAAGTCACTCGCACTTATATCAAGATTGCCAAAATCCACTTCCTCTCCCTCATCTTGTGCTTCCGCTTCTTCCTCGATAACGACACCGAATAACCCTACATGGAATACGTACCCAACCAACGCGGCAACACTGCCTGCAACCATGGCCATAGACAAGAAAACATCCTTCTTCTGGCCGGTGACATATTGCGACAGCGCTTGTTTCTCAATCCCCGAGAGATCAGAAGACTCAGCTGCCTCGCGCAGACGGTTGTTGTTGCGAATGTCGCGCACGATAGGAGTCGCGTCGACCAGGGTGTTGAGCAGTGTACTCCCAACCTTAACCGCGTTGGCGCGTTCAGGGGCTTGCCATGGTAGGGGGGACGAGGGCGATCGAACGCCATCCAGCGCTTGGGCAACATCCACCTTGTTACCAACGCAGCGTTTCAGCATGCGCCCCGTGTATGAAGTCACGCCAGGTCCCTTGCTCTGCATTGCATCGCGCAACCATGTATACGACATCTCCGGCACGACCGCAAGAGCCATATACCCAAGCGCCAGGCAGTCCAGACTACATGGCGCGGAGTCGGACAGGAGATATTCCTTTTCGCCCAGTATCTCCTCCAAAGGCTCGAACAGTTCCGCTGTGAAGCCTTCCAGCTTGAATTGGTTCTGCTGCGAGGTCTTTCCCAGCAGACCCGAAACGGTGTCGCGCGGCCGCTTGATGAAGTTCTGTGGAACTTGTCCGGCCGCCACAGCGGCAGAGTGATCGCGCTTTCGCTGTTCCTCGAGGGCGTCAAGGTCGAGCGAGGAGACACCCAGGTGTTCTGTGCGGGTTTTGGCGGCAGAGTGTAATTTCGGGGGAAGGATCCACTGGTTCGGCCATTGGAGGATAGAAGCGTAGGCAGGGGAGGTGTGGTTGTAGTAATTTTGACTCGTGACGTAGAGGGAGAGATCGAGAAGGGGTTGACCGCGGGATTCCAGAAAAGAGGAGAATCTATAATACAGTTAGTTCAACAATTTGTCACTCGCCAGCACAAGCAACATACGCTATGTTATCCGCCCTCTGGACCTCACCCAACCCCCGGTCCAAATCCCACGACCCATCCGAATACTGACGAATATAATCCACAATATTCCTAAACCGACTTACCCAGGTCGATCCATTTCTCAACGCAGGCAGTTCGTCTAGTGGTAGTCATAGCGCGTCAATAAATTAATCTTGTTTTTTCAAATCAAACAATTCTCCGAAACGAGTGGGCACTCACTAGTCGGCGACACGGAAGGATCACTACTTGGAACCAAAACCCAGCTCTCCCTGGGAACGGCGAGTGAAAAGTAGGCAACAGTCGCTAGACATTGCGGGTCAATGGACGGGAGCGAAAAAGCAGGGCCCCAGATATGCAGTTCCAGAACCATGATAAGGAAAGATTTTGGGATGTGCTGGGAGAGGAGGGATTGGTGGTGAGCGGAAGTTGGGGATCACGTGGATGTGGTTGTTTGCGCGGAGGCGGAGTATCCTGCCGGATTGGGATATATTGCAAGTTTATACGAATATCATTCTGTAATACGATGCATGCGATGCAGCTTGCAGCTCTCATTGGTAAGGTATTAGAAATTGATAATGCCATCACTTCTATATCTGATGCCTTTTGATAGCGATGTCAGTGCGCTGGTTCATATGAACAAAACAAGTACATAGCAGCCTACGGATAAGCGATCAACAGCATGTCTTATAAGCCGATCAACCTCGGACACTAATTCCATCCATTCAGATTCAATAGCAGACTCACGATCCCGATCATTCCGGCGATAAGGCCTCTAGATGGTGTCATAGTGATACTATCTGAAAAGGAGTGCATATCGGAAAATTCTACGATGGGCAAGCGTTAGTCCCGACACTATCGGTTTCTTCAGCATAGTCAGCGACATGAGACTAGTGTCGATAGTGAAACCTTCGTCTAGCACAGCGATGCTGGGCAATATGCACTTATCAGGATCAGAAAAGATGGTGTTCTGTGCTGTAAATGCAAGACAGAAGCAGAACTGCTCTGTTGGTGTTGGGTATATATTAATCTATTGTACATGCCATCGATTCAGATAAATTCAAGTCCCCATGCATAGCAAAACAAAAGAAACTAGAAATAAGAAGTAAATGAAGAATATAGCCAAAAGTAGTAGCCCCAAGAGATTCCACCCCGCATCTCAGTAATCAAGATGAGACCAATAGACCATAGACCAATTGATCATGCATGGCAATGGTATGATGCGCACGTCCGTTGTCTGATCCTTTCAATGAAAGGATTCGCGATGATAGTCAGATTGCGCGATAAGGTGCAACGTCGAAGAATCTCAAGGTGCTGTCACCGGGCGAGAATAATTAGGATCAGGCGCCCGCGCGTTGTCCGAGTAGATAGTGGTGTGGGAAGAAAAAAAAAAAAAAAACGCCTCGGATAGATGCGCGGCGAGTCATATGCAGTAGGATGTGAAATAGATCGAAGTTTTCAAGCCGAATGAATCATGATATCAAGATGCTGGTAGAATGCAAATTCCCATATCGTAAACGCCCTCGAGGGTTTCGGTAGTTGGCAATTGTCTTGAAGGAGTGAAGCAAAGCCGCTCGAGTATAACCGGGTCATCAAGTCGTCAAGAGCCCATGGTAGATAGTTACTTGGGCAGCGGAGGAAGAGGGCCCTTGGGAGGGGGGCCAGGGCAAGGAGGGAATTGCGAAGTGTTTCCGACAGAAGGCATTGTGTAGGTGGTTGTGGTTGTAGTAAAAAGGAGCGTAGAGTATAGAGTAGTGACTTGGTAGTAGTGATAATTGGTAGTCTTGTAATCTTGTAGATAGAAGAGTTGAATGATGAGCCATCCAGACGAAACATGGCCGGTTCTTATAGTGCGATCCCCCGTTGTCTGGTTTTTTTTTTTTTTTCTTTTTTTTTTCCTTTGAGTATTTCCCAGGAGATGGACCCACATAAACTTTAGCCGGGGTGGATCGACGGTGACGTCGTGGTATCGGATGTGCCTGAGCGATGATTGGCTGGGACTGGCAGTCGATAAGTCATGGACTGCCGCAAAAGGAAATAAGGGAGAAATCTTCTAGAAGCTGTTTTCCGTCCAAACTCCACCGGCCGGCCGTGTGGCTGCGGAGTGTTTCGTACCGTCAGGTACGGTATCATAATTGTAATTCTTTCTTGGTTTTTGACCTTCCCATTTGGAAACTATTAGCCGAACACTACCGATTATTTCATCACTACGAAAGTGGTACTTCAGACGGCGACTCCGGAGGCTCTAGTATAATGGATGTAGAGCGGTTAGACTATTACACTCTCTTTGTGTGTGGTGACACTACTCAGCCTGATCAGTGGGATTATCACATACAGGGATTTTCACAGCGCTACGACAACGCCAACTGCCTCCTGAATCAATCAGAAATCGGGATTGCTGCAGGGATTATGCAGGCGCTTTGACAGAAGCGCTTTTGCTTTTACTTTTTTGCGTTCTCTGCCACTATCGCGCTGCGTTTCTCAACACGTGCGGTTTGCAGATCAGGCGCCCGCCGAGAAAGGGGAGGATCATCCAACTTTCGTTCAAACCGCCCGAAGCGCTTGATGTGACATGCTCCAGAGTACTGGAATTGTAAAGAGCCAGAGTACTACTTTACTTGCACTACAGATGCTCCATACGGAGTCTCTTCCTCCGATTCTTACGCGAAGCTGACTGAATAACCGGATTCAGGGGTGATCCGGCGTTTCTGGCAGATATGACAGGTCCATTTTTCTTTGCTTGTCGCGCTCGGATCCTGCAGTTTCAGGGGTAAGAAGCCGGCCATTGCACTTGTTTTACCTTGCGCATGGGGCTTTGTCGTAGCCTTGCAGGAAATTCATGAATATCATTATACTTTCCCGTCGCAATTGCCTGCACCCCAGGGTGCTCTGCTCCGTCCCTGTCCTGTCTGTCTACTAGTGGCTAGTGCACTCTGCCATATCCATCCGTCGCAGCGGTATCTTAAAAATCCAACGGTCAGACCGCTGTGAGTCACTCGTATATGAGGGGGATATACACTCTGTAGTTGCCTATCAGGATGGAATCCCTGATAACCGGTCCCATGATCAGTTGTAGTCATAATGATCCCATGTTGTACATGCCATCCCTGCACTGTGCTCTTCTCCTCAGTGCCGGTTGATCATGTATGTCACTGCAGCAGGAGATCATTGTTGTGGACTGTGGACTTGATGGAGGGCTGTGACTACTGCAAAATGGATCACGCAATGTGGATGTTGCAGTTTCAGCTTTGTTGCCACTTGTCGATATGCAGGAACACGGGGTCTCAATCTTGGCTTATGCCTGCCGTACAGTACAGCGCTTGTAATGTGACTGGGCGGCTAAAGCAATCAAAGTGGAGAAATGTAAAATGAAGCCCTCTCCACTGTCGAGAAGAAAAGCGTTCATTCCGCACCGTTGGGTTCCGTCCGTTCCTTTCCTGTTCCTGTTTCTTCTCCTTTCTCTGAACCTAAGTTTTGTACTACATTGCCGTGATCATCGCTGTTTCGCGGAAATTAAGCACCTGTAGCGATAGCCTCGGTACGGAGCACGGAACAATGGAGTTATCGTTTGCTAGCACAGAGTATGCCCTCCGTTGAAGGGACGACCCGACAAACTCAGAACCTGTTTTACACTTTTCCAGAAGATGTTTATTTCCCAGAGAAGACAAGACAAGACAAGACACGTATCCAAAGTCTGACTCCTAGACCCTGTAAATTAGAGCCGGTCATTCATCGGCTTTACCATACCATAACCAAAAATACCCGTTTTTTACCATCACATTACCGTAACAACCCTTTCCAGAGTCCTTCCCGAAGCCTTCTCTCGCCCTTCCATCCCGATCCGGCAATCCATACTTACTCCTACGCAGGCGCACTCTCTGGTACGGGTGGCTCCAGCGTTCGTCTCTGGACTCCAGTGCGGTCCACCATGAACCGCTTCGAGTAACTCAGGACGGAAGATAGTTGCGGTCTGTCGTGGAATTGATCCAGAATGACGCTGGGAGCTATCCGTTTGCCGTAGCTATACGGAGTTACTCTTATGCTACCGCGTAGGCGGGTCGGGAATTACTCGGGAGTAAAGTCAGTCTTTACGGAGGGCTCGGACTACGGATTACTACACCGTAGCGCAGTACTTGGAAAGACGGTGTAGGCTGTGATTATAGTAGTCTCACCTAAGACTATGGAGTACAGTGAAGATTTTTTCAGGGCTTTCGATAGAGCAGAGTACTGATACTGACACAGAAACCACAATGATCCGTACTCAGTTTACCTGCATAGATCGTAGTAGGTTAATCATTTTTTGCGCCACGCCGCAACTCTAAAGGGGGATCTTCAACGCTCCGTACGTGTACAGAAGGGAGGAGGATGATCCAGTCTGAAACGAGATCTGTTTAGCTCGTCTCTTTTCTTGGGAGCTTTTGTGTTACCACAGTCTTGGGACAAGACGAAACGGCTACAGGTACTTTATTCTTAACTGGGTTGATACACTGTGTTGTTTTAGACATGTCAAGTATCAGTCGATTAAGGGTGTGTTGTACAGCATATACGGAGTACGAGAAGTGTAAAACAGGCGACTCGTTCTTACTTGTCGTATGCAGTAACCCTGTACTCCGTATCTGCAATGCTGTGTTACCATCTGTCACAATTCAACGACTCGTCGGCCTGTGTTACTATGATCGGAGTCTATTGCCGACAAATCCGGCGCTCTGTCATCTGACAGTGAAGCAAGGAAAGTCCGCCGCGCGATTACTGTCCATGCCTGGCCAGGCTGCGGATAAAATTATGTAAGAATCTGGCCATTCTACGCATGCGGGCATGAATACGGTTCCTGGTCTTCCGGGTTGCACAACCTTGACATTGGCCCTTCCGAGGACGACCGGCAATGCCCCCATGCAGCTTACTCCTCGTCCATATCCCCCTGTGCCTGGGTGGCCATCCATTCCTCCATGAGAACCTGGTGCTTTGGCTCAGCCGTGTGAGCATGCTTAGCGGCGACGCCTTTGCGCGTGACCAACAGGCACAGCACCCAGCCGTAGATGTTGAAACTCTCGTAATTCGTCCGGGACCGGAGTTTCTTCTCATCTTGGTCCTCATCCGACGCTGCGCGTTTCCCTTTTTGTCTTTTTGATGATCGCAGGCGCTCTGGTGATGCGTCGGGTGAATCTGTCTCTGCTGGTCGCTTGGTAGCCGTGTCGTCATCTGTGGCGGCAGGGATATTGTGCAGGCTCGGCTCTGCCTCTGCCTCATCGTCGCTTTCGACTAGGATCCCCGTATCAGCTGAACCGGCAGCCCGATCTACGGGTTTCCTTTTTTGTGCATCGTCGGAGTCCTCGAAGGTCTTTTGTCGGGTGAGAAGCGAATGACGCGTGCGGGATTCACGAAGGAACAAAGCAACCTCGAAATCATCTACCATCAGTTAACACAGCGCAGACCAGTAATAATTGCACAGTTGTCGCAACATACCCTCGGCGATCACATCTTTAACCGGATTCCCTTTCTTCCTGGCTAAAAGCCGTTCATTCGCCTCACGCAACTTGGGCAGGACGAGCGGTCGGATGGCGGCAAAGATCCGCGGGAGCACGGGGTTGCGGGAGTCGAGCAGCCATCGGGTGTCAGACGGGTTGTCGAGGTAGATGCGACATTCTAGGATGGAGTATTTGCTGATTCTGAGATATCGGCGGATGGGTGGCATGTTGAGGTGCAGGAAGTGGAGAGGGGCGGAGAGACCATCTCACAATGGTGATGACTGCGGCACGGGCATCAGGTGGTTGAACTACTTACTCTGCATACACGGAGTACTAACTACGGTGTATTAGCTGGTCCACATGTGTATACTCCTTCGTGACTTTACTAAGTCTGGCTACGGATATTACGCTGTTGAACAAAATATATTTTCATGACGCAGCAATATATATCGGAGCACCGGAGTCCTGCGCATCCTCCGTAGCCGGACAACAACCCACAATGTTCAATATCAACCAACCTCTCGCTTATGCGCGATCTCAACTCTAAGACAGCGCTTGTCCATAGTCTACTCCAGCAATGCAGTACGGCGGGGTCAATGCCGCTCTCAATCTCTTGATCTGGCATTGAGTGTCCTGCGTCCTGTCTGAGGACCCGTGCTGCGATCAATGGCAGTCAGATATAGCTAACCTGACTGCACCTTTGTACGGAGTACACCATGCAGCCTTAAGACTGTAGAGTACCTTGTAGGAATCAACGACGATTTTTACCAGAGCACTTGTACAGTCTCAATAAGACTCGGTCGCGTGTCGAGATGAGGCCGGATTGGGAATAGTTCCTTGCGGGTACAACCGTCCACATACTATTATTTAAAGGGGGATTTGATTGGTGGATGGGAGCCCCCCGCGGGATCGGGTTAGCCTTAGGGACGACAGGACAACAGGATGACAGGACGATATCTGAACAGAACAGTATTCATAGAGAGAGTGCAGAGTCCAGCATTGAGCAATATACCGGAATAGCTCTTCTGGTTTCGAGGTATGCATCTCAATCGCTGATTCTATACAGCAACTACCGAAAAAGTGCTGACATACACAGATACCACCGTCCCCAAGGTCCCCGCCGAAAAATCATGAGTGCTTGACGTCGTCCACTTTCTCCCAAGGTCCTCACGATCCCACCGTGCGAAAAAAGAGACTTCCACCACCATGCCGCAGCAGCACCTTCTCCTCCATTGCCAGAACCAGCGCATTAGCCGCTGTCATCGTCTCCGTTATTGTCGTCCTTGTTTCAGATTTTGACAGTCCCTTCCGGCCGATTTCGAAATACCTCATCCATCTCTCTCCGCCGGCGCAGTCTATACAGAATCCGACGGCACCACACTTTGTCTAGGATAATTCCTGCTAAAGGTCCTCATCCTGGTCTCATCCGGCCTGGTTCTGGCTCAGTCTGGCTCAACCGACCTCGTCTATCCCTGCTATTGTTTCGTGTGAGCCTCTCGTTTAGGAAGCCTCGCCGCAACAGAGGACCTTGAGGACGACCTAAGACGACGGCAACGCCCGAATTGTTGCCTCTAACATATACACACGCGGCCATTTACACTCGTCCATCCTCATTAACCCACTGTACGAGCGACCTTGGCATTAATTTAAAAGTGTATCGACCTACTAGTAGCCAGAGTCAACACGAGAACCTTGGTTGGTGTGAAGCTCGTTCAAGCTCAGGAGATCGCTGGTACTTATATCTCGGCCTGCTGCACGTCTCCTCTCTTTTTTCTTGTCCATCTCTTGTCACTCTTGGCCTGGTGCTTGTCTAAATTCTTCGTTTTTATTGGGCCATTCTGTCGCACATTTCTGGTCGCCCGTCAAGTCCGATCGGCCCGTGCTACAAAATTTTCCTTCTTTTCCTACACTCGCTTTTGTCTCTCCTTGAATCGCCTATCTTGGCTGACAATGGCGTCTCAATTGATCCATTCGCTCGCCCCTCGGGCGGACTCCTGCGACTCTAGCAACGACTATGACGGCCGCATGGGTTTGCGTATATCTTCCGTCTTTGTCATCTTGATCGCTTCGACCTTTGGCGCCATCTTCCCGGTCATGGCCCGTCACTTGAGCAACTCCAGTGTTTTTAAATGGGGCTTCTTCATTGCCAAGTTCTTTGGTTCTGGTGTCATTATTGCGACTGCATTCATTCATCTTCTCGGTCCTGCAGAGGAAGCTCTGACCAAGGAATGTCTTACGGGCCCCATTACCGACTACAGCTGGGTGGAAGGAATCATCCTGATGACCGTTGTGGTCTTGTTCTTTGTGGAGCTTATGGTAATGCGATATGCTCACTTTGGCGCGGACCACGCCCACGAGGCGGTCGGAGATCATAGCCCAACAGTCATCGAAGCCCCGATGCACGACTCCAAGGACCACGTCCCCGGCCAGGATCACCTGGGCCACTCGCGCGAGCACGTCGATGAGGAAGCAGGTCTGAAGGAACGGGTCGAAGAATATATGGCGCAATTGACCTCGGTTTTCATCCTGGAATTCGGTGTCATCTTCCACTCCGTCTTCATCGGTCTCACCCTCGCCGTGTCGGGCGACGAATTCATCACCCTGTACATTGTGCTCGTTTTCCATCAGATGTTCGAAGGCTTGGGTCTGGGATCCCGGTTGGCGATGATCCCATGGCCGCGCTCTAAGCGCTGGACCCCCTATCTCCTGGGGATCGGATACGGTCTGTCCACCCCGATCGCCATTGCCATCGGTCTGGGCGTGCGCAACAGCTATCCTCCGGAGGGCTACACGACACTCATCGTCAACGGCGTGTTCGACTCGATCTCCGCTGGTATCCTCATCTACACTGCTCTAGTGGAACTGATGGCGCACGAATTCATGTTCAGCGCCTCGATGCGACAGGCTCCGATCCACGAGGTCCTTGCTGCGTTCTTCCTTTTGTGTCTAGGTGGTTTGCTGATGGCGCTCTTGGGTAAATGGGCTTGATTAACTTATAAATGGAATATATGGGTAATGGCTATTTATGAGGTTCTGGTTTTCAGTTTTTAAAAAGTTACATACGGGATGGACTGGGTTCTTATTAATTGCTAGCACGGAAATTAGATCAGTTAAATTGCTTTTAAATCCTATATTCAGTATGGCTTCCTAACGTTACCATAGCTCCCGTCCACCGTCGTAGCATTTCACCTCCGCTCCGCATCCACACCCAACAACTGTCATCAACCGCCACCACAACCAGAGTCACTTACCCAACGAACACGAAAACAAAATGAACCTCCTAAAATACCTCTCTTTAACCCTCCTGGCTCCCCTCGCCCTCGCCTCCCCTTCCCTTGGCATCAAAACAACCAAATCCGTCTCCTGCACCCGCAAAACCCAACCCGGCGACACAGTCCACATGCATTACCGCGGCGCCCTGGCCGATGGCAGCGAATTCGACTCCAGCTATAAGCGTCATGCACCGTTGGTGTTTCCCGTGGGGAAAGGGGTCGTTATTAAGGGGTGAGCTATCTTCCCCTGTATTTGGATTGCGCTGCGTTGCGTTGCTGCAACTGGATGGAACGTGCTAATGAGGGGGGTAGATGGGATCAAGGATTACTAGACATGTGCGTCGGAGAACAGAGGACGCTGACTATTCCGCCTGAGTTTGGATATGGGAGTCGGGGGGTGGGACCGATTCCGGGGGGTGCGACGTTGGTGTTTGAGACAGAGTTGGTGGGGATTGAGGGGGTTGATAAGGATGAGCTGTAGCTTTTTTTTCCTTATGATGATGATGATGATGATGATTATGGAGATGGAAAGATCCTCTAGGGTATCACTAAGCTATGCAAATGCAATATTGTACAGAATGAGATGTATACATATCCAATAATCCAAACTTGACCCAATTCCACGGAAGATCAATTCAAATCCCCCAAGAAAAGATCAATCCATAGCATCCAACGCATTCTCACCCTCATTCTCACTAACTAAAATCCCCACCAAACACTCCCCCAAAATCGCATCCCAATTAACCCACGGATGGACCTCTAAAAACAACTTCGCAGAATCCTTCCCCGCTCCCCTCAACAACTCCCCCTTCCCGCCCGGATGAAACGGCACGTACGGCTGGATATTAAACACCTTCCCCTGATACGACGTCCACGCGTCGCGGCCCTTCCGTCCGTTTTGTATCTTGAGCATTGAGGGCGTTACGCGGATGAGGTGTGGGGGGAGATTTTCGCCGCGAAGGTTGGCTTTTGGGTTTGTGGTTAGGGCGGCCCAGTCTAGGGGTGAGAAGCCTGGTTCGAGGATTGCACGTTTGGAAGCGTTGTTGGCTGAGGAGGGGAGTTTGAGGGAGGCCTGGGCCGGGGGGGCGAGGCTGTTGGTTGGTGGTGCGAGGCGTTGGGGGCCACGTTGTGAGGATGCGGCAGAGGGAGGGGGTGCGAGGGAGTTGCTGTTGAGGCGTGGCGGTTTCCGTCCGGGGACGGGGCCGGGGCTTAGGAACTGGGATTTTGAAGATTGGGTTTGTTGTCCTGTTGCGCGGTTTCGAGGGAGAGGAGGAGGGGGCATTAAGGAGGAAGAATCTGCTTGTGACGGCGACGACGACGGCGACGGCGTCGGTGGGAGTGGTCGTGGTGGCATTGTGGCGGCTTGTCTGGCCACTGTATCGGTGGAAGAATTATGATGAAGAGAGGAATCGTTATGGTTCGAGGAAGCTGTAGATTTTGCCGATCTGTCTTCCGCCGCGGAGTCATCGAGATCGAGGACGGGCACTTCTAGCACCGGTGCACTTGCGGATGCTTTGGGTGTTGATTGCTCCTCTGCATTTTCTTCTTCGTTTTCTATCACGGCAGATTCAATCTTTGGAATAACGGGCGGTTTGGCTTTATCCGTGGTTCGCGCATTGTTTCGTGGAGGAGCTTCGGGGATCGGTTCCGGGGGCGTCGAGGCTGGCTCCGATGGCCATGTATGAGGGGGGAAACGGTAGAATACGTAGCATGCCGTCGCTATTAGCGTGGCCACTCCTACCCAGCCCATACTGGGCAGTAGTTCAGAAAGAGGCGTGGGGAAAGGGGGGATTTGGGAGACTGAAGTGCTGAAGACACAGAGTCGCGAAATAAAAAGAAAAATTGACGCCGATGGATGCCGCTGCTTACTATTACCCCTGGTCTAGACTATCCCACTTTTTCCGATCGATATGATCCTACTGGGATATTGATTGATCTCCGATGCTAAATATGGCATCCAATCATTCATGTCTAATATTCAATGGCGATCAACCGCTACGGGGCGATTGACTGGAACGGATATCCCCAGACAACCAAACATCCACCTCTAGCCACCAAACTCCAAGAATAAAAAAAGAACATACAATCGAATGAGTCTGGAGAAAATATCCTATTAGCCTCAGCAGCCATGATGTCAGGTAACCATCACCTCGGCCACAGATATCCGTGGACTCGATTCGCCTTCCATGACTTTGGGCCTTGTATATATGCGGGCTGTTTAATTATATTCATGCTTATTTCGCTGTATCACCATGGCAGTGAAAGCACTGCGGGAAATGTTCCAAAACGTTCTTATGGCAACTCCAGATTCCCTCCTGTTGTTTGATGCAGGTGTTGGACAGGTGAACGTTCCTGAATAATAAGACGAGAACATACTAATCCAGTGTAGGCTCAAGGAGGAAGACCCCACCAGGAAGATCGTTGTACATTTATCTTACCGGACCAATTTCCTGTTCGTACGGAACATAGACTGGCGCTCTTCGCCGTCTACGATGGACAGTAAGAGTTCCTATTATCAGTGATGGATATGGCTGATGATCCAGTGGCTCCGAACTGGTAGCAGAACATGCAAGCCGGAACCTCCACATTTTACTCGCAAAGCGTCCAGAATTTCAGAAAGGCGACTATGAAGCAGCTATCAAGGCCGCCCTATCAGACGAGGATGCCATCTTGCTTGAAAGGTATCGAAATGAGACCACCGAGCCTGCAGTATCTGGCTCGACAGTTGCCCTATGCTTCTTCAACCTAACAACAGGGGAGCTGGTTGTTGCCAATTTAGGGGACTCGCATGCTGTTCTGGCTGAGCGAGACCCCAAGTATGATACTCCGTTTCGTATCGTAAGTTTTTGTCAATATTCACTTATTCCTTGGAGGAACGTGTGTTAATTCATAGTGCCTAGCGACGGTTGACAGTGAGCCATAAACCGGACGTTCCTACAGAGAGATCCCGGATTGAAGATGCCGGTGGTACTGTCAACAGGAGTACAGGGACGGCACGAGTGGGTGAGTTAGCCTGTTCATATCTCACATCGCCATATACTGACGAAATAGGATCCCTCAATATGTCCCGAGCCATAGGCGACCTCCAGTACAAAAATCCCATCAACAACATGGACGATAACGCATCTACCTCCTCCCAATCTTCCTCTTCATCTACCTCATCATTCTCATCTGCTTTCTCTAAACTCCGTCGCGCATCGTCAGCATCTTCCGCCCCAGAAAACCGCGGCAACTTCTTATCCAACGAACCATATATAACGAGATTCAAGCTCTCCCCCGAAAAACGCTACATACTTATGGTCGAGTCGGATGGTATTAGCGACTATATGGACGACAATACCTTGATGCAGTATGTAACGAAGCTGTCTTCGCGGGGAAATAGAGCTGGGAAAATTGCGCAGGAGATGGCCGCTTCTACTACGAGTCGGAAGGGGAGTGATAATGGGTCTTGTATTGTTATTTTTCTGGATGGACAGCATGCATGATGTCTGGTCCAGCAATTTTTCTTTTGATTAAAAGCGATGTACCATTGGATGATTTAAAATGTTCCATGGGGTAGCGAATATGTACTATAGATTCTGAGTGCGGTGTATTAACATACTTGGACATAAACTTTAAAACAATAGATTATCGCATAGCCTCTTAATGCTTTCAGACGTGTTCGTTTATTTTAATTTTGAGAAAAATAGCTGCGTGATACTTACATGCGTATCGTCGGTGAGCTCAAATATACTTAAGTGTAGCCCTACTGATAATAAATCACATGACACCGCGCTCCAACCGCGTCACCCCAACACGCCGCAACATCGGATGCCAGAACACCCAAACCCAAATCATCATGAATCTCAATGCCACCGATACCCCCGACTCCAATTTAATCCTAGCCGATCTAAACCCCGCCCAACGAACTGCCGTGTCCTCACCCTCCCCAATCCTCCAAGTCCTGGCGCCCCCGGGCTCTGGCAAAACCAAGACCCTAACCGCGCGCGTCGCGTACCTCCTCGCCCACCATGGCTACCACCCACAAGACGTCATATGCTGCACGTTTACGATCAAAGCGAGTCGAGAGATGCGTGAGCGGATCGCAAGGTTGATTGGGGGGCGGGTGGAGGCGAGGTTGGTGCTGGGGACGTTCCATTCGATTTGTCGGCGGTATTTGGTAAGTTATGGGTATTTGATTGGGTTGCAAAGGGGCTTTGGGATTGCGGATTCGAGTGATAGTTTGGCGATTATTCGGGTATGTATCATTATATGTTGAGGGTTGAGTTGTTGCTTATGTGGTTGTGATGCAGAGGATCGTGCAGCGGGGAAAGCTTGGTATTCAGCCTAATACGGCGAGGGCGAGGATATCGCATCAGAAGGCTCATGGGGTTGACCCGGATCAAGCTGCGGTGAAGTACGGAAATCAGAAGATCGTGGAGCAGCAAGAGTTTGTCAGGGTTTACTACGAGTACGAGAAAGAACTGGCTACATGCAATCTACTAGACTATGATGATTTACTTGTGCGATGTGTCGAGTTGCTCCGACATCATCCGCACTGCGTGTCGAACGTCCAGGCCGTCCTCGTCGATGAATTCCAGGATACGAACCATATTCAATACGAGTTGATGAATCTCTTCGCGTCAGCGAACAAACGTATCACCGTCGTCGGAGACCCAGACCAGAGTATCTACGGCTTCCGATCCGCGGAGATCAAGAACCTCGCGCGCATGCAGAAGCTATACCGGGATACCTCTATCGTCCTTCTAGAAGATAATTACCGCTCATCTGGGGCCATCCTGAATTCCGCGCAAGATGTCATCGAACAGGATACTGCTAGACCTGCGAAGAAATTACAACCTACACACAGCGTTGGAACGTTACCTGTGCTGCGCAAGCTGCCTTCCGCCATAGCAGAAGCACAATGGATCGTTCTTGAGATCCAGAGATGCGTGGCGATGACCGGGAGTCTCCTAAAATATTCCGACTTTGCTATCTTGCTTCGTTCTGCGGCTTTGTCACGACAAATCGAAGCTGAGATGGGAAAGGTTGGGATGCCATATAGGATGGTTGGAGGGTTGAGGTTCTTCGACAGAGTCGAGATCAAGATACTCTTGGATTATATGAGAATCGTCAGTTCGCCTGGAAACAGCGAAGCGCTCATGCGCGTCATCAATGTCCCGCCCCGGAGGATTGGTGACGAAACGACTCGGATGCTCGTGAGCGGTGCACAAAAAGCGAGCGTATCATTATGGGATTTTATCAAGGGCGTTGCACAGGGTCACAGATCGACAGAGAAGGCCTTATCGAAACTCACAGATCAGGGTCTTTCATCATTTGTCGGCATCATTGAGTCATCAAGACAAAAGTTGCAGGAATGTGCTGACAGCACTGCACCGAGGAAACTTCTCGACTTCGTCATAAAGAAGATTTCTTTTCGGGACTATCTCATCGCGACGCACGGCCAGAACGAAGAGAACCGGTGGGCCAATGTTGAGGAACTGCTGAACCAAGCAAGCGACGTACCAAGTCCAAGCGAAGAAGAGGAAAAAGGAGACCTCCCTTCAATTGAAGGGGTCGAGCAACAACATGCTCATCCCGGCGAGGATGCATTATCCCACTTCCTGGCCAATGTAGCCCTATCAACCGAAGTCCTCCCACAGAATAACGAAAATGAACAGGAAGGACAACAACAGCCAGACGAAAAGGTCACCATTTCTACAATCCACGCAGCAAAAGGTTTGGAATGGCCGGTTGTGTTTGTGCCGGCGGTATATAACGGGGTAATTCCTCACTCGCGAGCAGAAGACCAGGATGAAGAAAGGCGATTGCTTTATGTAGCCATGACCAGAGCGCAGGCGCTCCTTTATCTGAGTGTTCCTCTCCGCATTTCAAGAAACGGCGAGGAATCAGAAACATCTCCAACGAGCTTTATTCCATCGAAAATCATCGAAACGCGCTTTCGTCCTACGGGTCCGAGTTTTCGAGGGCAAGCTGTTTATATGATTGCGGATATCCTGCGTCGGCCACGCCCAACATCTGCAGACATACTGAAGGCACAGACGGAAATCCCATCAACACTCGACGATCGATGGACAACGGAAGGCAAGGAACATCTGGACCTTGTCAAAAAATGGGACGGTTCTATCGCAGGCGAGGAACCTTGTCCCAAGAAACGAAGATACGACCAAGGTCCTGGTAACTCGACGACCACGTACATGACTGGGTTTACGATGGGCAATCCTTCGAACTTTTCCGTTCCGACTACGATGTCTTCTGGCTTTTCTACGGCTCGGGAATATATCGCGACATCAATTGCCGCAGAGCAAGAGTCGAAGACAAGCGACGTTACCGACAAAACCAAGCGCAGCAGCGCGGCAAGTCACAAACCGGGTCTTTCACAAGGGACTATATCGAGCTTTTTCGGACAGTCTTCATCCAAACCTAGAGCACCGCAGCAACCGCAACCTCCAAGGAACCCAGTTGGCCCACAAACAGCATCAAATCCAGCATTCAGAAGCTTCCCCCCATCCCAGCTCCCTCCTCGTCGCCTCCCACAAGCGCAAACCCTCCAACCACCCCGCCCGGCCCTCGAACCATCCGATCCAAACAATTACACGTGGCTATCCACATCCTCAATGCCAACGGGGAAACCAATCCGAAGAAAGGCGACGTCTCAAGAAGAGAATAAGGCCCGGACAAGCCAAGGGACCAACGAAGCACAAAGTAACCCAGGCGCTGCGAATGGTGTACGACCAGTGACCACGTTCCACACAACTACGATGTCGATAGTACAGCAGCCAAGAAAAACGTTGGGGATCCGACGGACGATGATGAATGGTTGGCAGGAACGAATGAATCGGGCGCCCAATGGGAATGGGAATGGGAGTTCGGGATTATGATGACTTTATGCATGAGGTTTAATGGGGTATCAATGGCGTTTGTGGCGGTTTCTGATATTTATGATCTGGCGTTAGATATTTGATTGACAGCATGGCATGCTACTTGTATGAGTATGATTGTATGTACTTTGTGTGGCGTTTAGACGGTACTTTGGGCCTGAGTTCTAGCTTCTAATAGATTAGTGCCTATCGCCTGATGTACTTCTCGCAATGTGCGACGACAAGCGACCAGACATTAAAACGTGAGCCTTCATAACGCTCGATCATATGTTAACAAGATACCCAGTACAACTTGCCTCAACGTCAGGGTCCCTGAAACGATGCCAAGGCCATTCCCTGGTATTGCTACATTGTCGTGTCACGGTCTATATTCTGAGATATATATCTCGGTATGACGATCAAAGTACTGCTTTGCTATGGCTTTGGAAGTTCGATTGTCTGGAACCAAGCTTCTGTCATCAATTGGACTTGAACCATTCATACCACGCCAGATACAAATCAAGAGCACTAACGGGGCATAGAACAAAGTAGTCGCTGTATCCGCTAACGATTCGACACTACGTGATCGATCTAACTCAAAATGGAATGTCTTCTTCGTTACATATCTATGGGTATTACTCGCTATGGGTTCCATATTATTGATTGTTTTGCTCCCTATAGACCATAGTGTATCCATTGGCTATGGACTGTACTTTGTATACATTCTGGACCCCTTGTTTAACATAGATGAAGTCCTAAAATGGACAGACAATCCACAAGGCTATGAATAACTCATTATGATTTGATATAATAACCGCACCTTTACCTTTCCCTTTTGTCCCGCGGGGCTAGATACCATGTACTCCGTTCTCCGTACGGAGTACTCAATAATTCCTCCCCTCCATACGGTGTACCATCTGCACCCCATATGCACCATGATCACCCACATTCTAGAACATACAATACATACACCCCTACAAACACCAATACTAATACCGATACCAATCTATTAAACCCACTATCAATCAGCCCTTTTATACATCCTGTCTGTCCTCGATAACCAACTAGTCTAAGCCCCCGCAAATCAATCACGCGGGACTTGGGAATTCACCGCCAGTACTTTGTGCACTTGACCGCCAATTAGTACCAAAAGCCAGGCGCGCCAGGGGGACTTTTGGCTGCTGCTGCCGCTGCCAATTGTCTTTGCCCCCCGCCCCCGTGGATCAGGGACCCGGGCACGCTGGATCGGCTTAGTATGAGTGAGTATTATATGGACTTCTTTGTTGGTTCTGCCATGGATCGTTAGTACGGCGTAGAGAAGGTCGCACGGTGGCCGGAGGTGTGTTCCGTTTGGTTATTGGGTGATAGCCGATAGCGGGACAGAGGCTTCGTAAGTGTCCATCTATCTATCTATGGATGAATTTAGTACTCCGCGGATTCCGGGGTTAGCTAGCCCCCACGGCTACGGAGTGCTCTGCACGGGGGTCTTAGCATGAGGATTTCCTGATAAGGATTGGTAGGATCTACGGTACAGGTACTATGTACAGGGACAGGATGCCGTACAGTACTGCTGACCTGACTGCACACCGTATGCCGTGCACTGTTATGCTGTATATCGGCAAAGGTACGGTACTATGTATGAGGGATATTACTCTGTAGATACTTGTAGTCAACTCGGGACCCAATAGGCACAGGAAATGAAGCCATCCCAATTGAAACACGGAATGCGACAGGTATGATCTGGACGAATCCACATCAGGCTCGACCTGTCTGGCTGCTTCATGCAATGTACTATGTATGGATCTCATGGTGGAATTGGGACAAAGTACGACTACGGAATATTCGATAGGGAGTAACTATGGGGTATCCCGTCGGCACGGAGCAGAGTATGTGCAGAGTTGTACACATAATCATAACAACTGACTGAAATGGGATGATTCCAGCCCGTTTTTAAAAATAGTCCGGGTGAGTAATAATGTAATGGTATTACAGGGGCACGGCATGTTATTGGGGGCGTCCCTGTGATATTTTTGTATGTAAGTTACCAAAGGGATGGACCGGTCCGATAATAGTACGTAGCAATAGTACGGCGTAGTATAGGAGAGGATGTTATTAGTACCAGTACTGGGGCAAGATATGACGAAAGCAAGACACCAGCCTTAGTCTCGCCTTCTAGAATATTGTATATCGTCATAAGCCATAAATCATAATAATAATACGGGGGCAATCAGGGTAGTCAGCCTCATTGCTGCGCCATGAATTGTTTGTTTTGTATGTATCATTCTTGGGTAGGATAGAGTAAGGCTGCCTTGGATGCAGCCTGAATGAATCATGCCAGAGAGACCAGTCAGAGTGCGGGATAAGTATGCTATGCCAGGCACCGATTCCAGGGGAGCGACACAAAGTGGCAGTGAATTCGCTCTCAATCGTCAATTAAAAAAAGAAGCAGGTGACGCCTGGAAGAAGAGATGAGTGCCTGGAGATCCAGTCGGTAACTGGCATACCAGACGTAACAAAACACGGGGTCTGATTGGCTGCCTCGTTTCCAGGAGGGTGGTGACCCCTGGCAGCAATACGGTATTACGAATACAGCCATGATCGTCTTTGCAGAAGGACACTAAGAGTATGGAGACATACTCCGATGGATCATGGAGTGACGTCCCTGAGTTTGGGATAGGCTAATCCACTATGGTGTACTCGTATGTGGCTTTGTTTGGGCCTGGAAGTTTGCCTGTTTAGGTCTTATTCTATTTCTATTCACTACTGTTCCGGCCAGATACAAAAGGCGTCTCATCTCCCGTCTTCATCTCACTCAATCACTCCAGCTCTCTACAACACAATCACTACTCTACTATACTCTGCTATACTCTACTACTACACCACTACTACAACACTACCATTACATCTTATACTTAATACATCATGCCTACCAAGCCCAACAACGACTCCAACACCACCCTCGCCAGCAACGGCAGTACAGACCAAGTTGTCGTCATGCAGGGTATGCTCACTTCCCTTTTACTTAATGTCTGTCCAATGCTAATTCTCTTATCAGGTCCTAATGGTGGTCGTAAAGCTCCCGTCGTCATCCATCAAGGTGGCCAGACCTATGACGAGACAAGACCCTCGGACTGGGACAAGCAGCGCTGGAAGTAAATTTTCCAACGCAATCCAGTCCGGTCCAAATCATCCAGCAGCGTCCCGCCGGCCGGGACTTATTTACTTCAAACTTGACCTATACGAGATTAATTGCGACTGCTGGATGATAACACGGGATGATAAACGGGGGGAACGCGCTCTATCGTGATATCCGCGCGGCTTCGACCAAAAGTGAGGCGACGATCGACGAATGAGCTTAAGCTCATAGTTCTCGACCCGGCAATCAACATTTCTCGATTTTCCATCTCCATTCCGGCTCGAATTGAGAAGCCAGTCACCGCCATCTCCTGATCGTTCACGCGCGCAACGCAAGCTTTCAAACCCCAAACTTTCATCGAGCTTTCCCCGGATTATGCTGCATTACTTTTCCCGCTTTCCGCTTGGACCCGGACCTGGACTCTTCGTCTTGTCTTGTCTTTTTCCCCACACACGCCTTTTTAATACCTAATGACGGCGCTATTGTATTTGTCCTGGTGGTGTTTGTCCTGTTTGCTTTCCCTTTGTCCACGGTGTTCTCTTATTCCTGGCGTTCTCTGCATTATTCCCAAAGTTTCTGCCGTGTTTGGCGTCCTCCGGTCTATCATCCCGATCTATTCCCTTTTGGCAATAGTAGAGGATCCACCTCTGTCACCTGACCGACCCCTTACTGGGACAAACAGGACAAATGGGACAAACACGGCAAACATTGCATTCTGTATCATTACTGCTTTTGCCTTTTTGTTTTTGCGAGGAGTTTCTTTGCTTTCTTTCGGTGTTGACTCGGAGTCGGACTCGGGATTTTGTGCTGGTCGATGTGACTACGCGTGGTGTTTTCTTTTGTCAGTGGACTCCGCTGTGGTTCCTTTGGGACGCTAATTATCTGGTTGGGATGGGTGGGATGTACGATACTGGACTACTATCTCTGGTACTGCAATGTTTAATCAATACTACTATATTCAAATGAGTCTGTTCCTTCGTTGTCCGAACTTCAAAGATCCGGGACAGGCCCCAAATTCAAATCAGGATGATATGGTTTCACTACCAAGAAGTAACGGTGTACACCATGCTCCGAAGATACCGGACCTAGATCCTTGAGGATAAACCTAAAACTTAGTTATCACTTGGAGAAGCAGTCAATGAGAGTACCTTGGGATCAGCTCCATTCACAATACTTCGTACCCTTCGTCTGACCATGGGATCTACTAGAAGCAAACCACTTAGCCATTGGCCACCATCTATTATATAGATCATCCTATAGCATCGATATGGCATATATCCACTAAGTGGAGATAAAAGTTTTTTCATATGCTCGTGTCACTCCCTGACGCATCCATCATCCACCATGCAGTCTGTATAGACAGCGCTTTGCCAATGTACACACACCTTGACGCAATACAATTGAGAGCTCACTCGGACCATTGAAAGATGCATGTGGGGTATGAACACAAGTCAATCAACTAACGTGGTAACAAAGGTACCCTGGAACAAGGCTGGCTTAGTGGAGAACGAATTCCACTTTGAACTCCATACCACTATACAACTCGATTCTTCGACCTTCTGTCTTGTGAGTTGGTGTAAATGTTACAAAGCTATCTATGAGGACGCGAACCCTCATGTAAAGGAGAAGCGAGGAGAATCTGGAAACAAATCCCCAGAACTACAAACTATCCTAAACAATCCCGGACTGGCGATGGCTTTGCCAGTGATGTTCTCCGGCGTCTTTCAAGCTTGTATGGAGCAGCCATACTACCTGTCTTTGGCCCCTGAAATTGGACAAATTATTTTCTTTAATTATTATAAATGTAAATTCTCAGTCTTCCATGGACTTTTTGGAGTTCAAAATGGCCGTCGAGCATAGCAAGAAGACTGATAAATTTGTGAAAGGACGCATCGGCTTTATCTTAATATATATCCTGGACGTCGAGAAGTTGAAACATATTGATTAATCTGTTATTAGTATACAGGTTGAGATTATATTGTCTTTGCATTCCACAGAGATCCAGGAGGAGTGGAATTTGACAACAGCTTGGGTAATTTTTTCTGGTCTCTATCCGTACAAACAACTACTCCAAACAGGAGCGAGAATTTGTTTGCAACAAGAAACTTGCAAATCGGACTCTTGATTCAGCAACTTGGGATATTCACATCGAGCACATGACAAGCTCGAAGGAAAGAGACTATATGAACCTGGCAACGGTTCAACTAGATTGGCTCATTCACAAAATGCAGGGCAACTTTCCGGCGTGACTATTCAAGATTGCAATACCCACAGCAATTACTTACACAGCTAGAAACCACAAATGGACTTACAAGGCAATTTTGCTGAGTCTGGCGATAACACAGCGATGTTAGCTTCTAACCCGATTTATTGGAGACTCTCCGTGAGGTGCGATGATTACAGATGACCTTTCGGTTCCATGAATTAATGCACATAGGTTTCAAAGACTGAAGCAACAACCACGTCACTGAGTGTACGAGGGAATTCAGAGCATCAGGTAAACGGAACCCGATTAGCACCATTGAATTGCCAACTCCTATGCCAAAGCACTCTCACCCTAAGCCATGGAGACAGGTTATGTCTCGATATAAACAGTTATAACACTCCAACTGGCTCTGAATGTGAAAATCTTGGCTCAAATCTATGGCACAAATGACACAGAGTCAAGCGTGTCTCCACAAATCAAGCCTGCCACATTTTCCCGTTAAACCTGCTGCTTGAAAACGAAGAAGGACTTTTGCAGTCGAATCAGTAGTGATGCCTTTCTGTCCATAGCTGAAACCAGATACTGGTACGGACAGATCTTCAGGACTGTGGAGTCGAAACGTGCAGGAATCCGAAACGTCTTGCAGCGTTTCCCATGCTATCTGGAATAATTGAAAATTACAATCAACCCACAGTCTACATGGCATAGTGCCATTGGACATAGGCCAGATACATGATAGAAGGCATATGGCCACTGCACGTCGGGGTTCTGGCACGCACGAATTTCAGCTTAGGCTTCTTCAGAATTAACGCAGAGATCTCGACAATGTATGCGCTTGCAAAATATGTACAAGACATGTTGGGAATCCGTATTCCCTTTTGCTACCTGCCCAGCCATCGCCAACAAAAGCTCTTTTCCTGGATTTTTCGCGAATTAGGGCTATATACTCAAGCGACACTTGTCGACGGGCCTCAAACACCGCTATCGATGCGAGCCAGGTGTCTTGTAAATCGTGATACAGTAAAATTGTACCGCTAGAATTGGTGATATTGTAAGGTCTGCTACTTACACAGGCTTTACACACATGTGTTGAGGAGACTAATTGACCCCGGTGTATTATGACAACGAGCTCCCGAGTTTTCAGAATTTGACGGCCAAGATAGTGACTCTCCAAAGTGGGATAGCAAAAGCTACCAAAACGAAATTATACCAAGGGAAAAGACCTTAGTTTGCCCTGTCCGTTTTGTAGCGACTACTGACACAGAGCACACGCCCCATTGGCCATCGCGTGCGTTGCCGTTGGTACTGATAGGAGCGCAGAGATGGTATCAGGATCATTACCATAAAACAACGTATGATACTAGCAAAGAAATTTTGCTTTCTAGAACCGGATACTCATTTTGTATTGCAGTACGTTAAAGACCTATTGATATACTCGTGCATGAACTGGCCTTGCAACAGAGCACATTCGTACGAATAATAGGAAAAAAAAAAAAAAAAAAAAAAAAAAAAAAAAAAAGGAAATTGAACAGATGACAAAGACAATGCGGAGGGGAAGTCTCTCTTTAATTTAAGCGTAAAAATATCATTCAGAAAAGCAAATGTGTCTGATAGATACTTGACACGCAGCGGAAAGGGAAGTGCTACAGTTACTCATCCGAAAGGGTGTTCCTCAACGCCTCGACAGACGGCGTGAAGAAACATTCATCACCTCTCCGATCAATCCATGGGATATAGCCGAGTTGGAGGATATGGGGTTGTTCATCGTCAGACTTATTGTATATACTGACATGACCCTCCGGATGGTCTCGGCGGTTCCTTTGGTTAATGAAAGGATCGACACAAAGGCCCTTGTCAATACCCTTGTTGGAAGAAAGAATTTTGTCGCTTACCCAGCCTTGAAAAGGGATGATCATCATTAGTTGGCCTTATGCGTTGGGATATGAGGGAGGGGGAGGGAAGAAAAGACTTACGGGTCACTAGGAAGTTGAAACCATCACGAATCGAGTTCTGGCAGCAGAGGAAGTAAATTCCACGTCCACGCTTGGTCTTTTCCTTCACTTCTTCTCGGGGCTGCTGTCAACTATGTTGACGCCTCCGCCTCCTCCCGTCTTCCGGATTTTGCTACAGATTCGAAGTATATAGTCTTTCCCACAGAAGGTGCCATTGAACCTGAGAAATACTACTGGCAAGCAAAACCTCATGGGGACAGCCGCCTCGACCGAACTATCTTCGTCATGAATCACTCTAGTGAGGCAAGCGCACTTGCTAAGTGCAATAATGTATTTGACGGCTAGGTTAACACGACCTGGAGCAGCACCGCTAGCACCGGAATGCAAAATAATACAATCATCATCGACCTGGGCTCAGAGCAGAATGTGAATGGCATCATCATGTTGCCTATTATGGATGATGGCGCCCGTGGGCAGACTGGCAAGCATGGAATCTTCTTCAGCAAGGATGGATGTAAATGGATAAGAGTCACATATTAACTCTGGGGGGTGGAATAAGAGCGTGAAACTCGCTGCCTTCAAACCTGAGATTGCCCAGTGCGTGAAGCTCATTGCTAGGAGTGAAGCGCCTCCCAGAAAATCTTCCGACACCAAGCACAACGAAACACGGACCAGCATCGTCGACACCGCCATCTACGCTGCCGGGTACACTACTCCTGTCAACCCATCTATCGGTACTCTCAGTTTGCTCATTGTTTCCATAGCAGGTGCCCACGCAGCAGTGAACCATAATGACCACCAAAATACCGTCCTTTGGTCGGCCTGGTCTGACGTTCAATTCTTTGCTTCCCTCGGTGGCGCAACTTTCACGACGACATGGGATCCTGTCAAGGAGGAAATTGTCCAGGCCAATTGTGCCAACAACAATCACGACATGTTCTGCCCCGGCATTTCCATGGACTTCGACAGCAGAGTCATCGTGCCCGGCGGTGCCGACTCGGACAAAACCAGCGTTTCCAATGGCACTGGCTGGAAGCGTGGAAGGAGCATGAAGCTCTGCCGTGGATACTATTCCATCATCACCCTCTCTGATGAACGCATCTTCGCCATTGGCGGTTCGTGGAGCGGAGGAAACAAAAACCCCAAGGACGGCGAGATCTACGATCCTCGGAAGCAATCCTGGAAGATACTCTGCAACACCAAGGGTAACTACATCAAAACCAACGACAAACCGCTCCGTGCCGACAACCACACATGGCTTTTCGGCTGGACGAACGGCAGTATCTTCCATGCTGGTCCCAGTTACAACATGCACTGGTTTAACACTAGCGTAACGGGCGGTAACTATACGTCGGCCGGTCGCCGTCTTGACGACAAGCTCTCCATGTCTAGCAATGCAGCCATGATCGATACCACTCGTGGTAAGATCCTTACCTTCGGAGGCCAGGAGTACTACGACGAATCGTTCGGAATGCGCATATCATCACCATTGGCGAACCTACTATGCTCGGAACGATGTCATAGGTACTGTTCAGAACGAATAGAAGAAGAACTCTGATTGAGAAAACTATCTATCGTAATGGCCGTTTTATAAACTATCTGGCAGCCGTCAACCAAGCGCAAAAGGGAAGGTCGTTGCGAGAGAAATTCAAAGAGACAAAAGGAGCACAAAGTGCATAATGCATGTATGCAGTGGAATAGTCAAAGGATGCTGGCTGCATAGCCGTAGTGCCCGGTCCTACCACCTCTCCATCGTAGACATGGGTAAGAAGTACGTCGGAGATAGGTGGCAGGTCAGGCTTTGATTGGTCAGTCGGAGCAGCGACCATATCAATCGGCCTTCGTATAGAAGTCAACACGAATAACTAGTATGGGGAAGTTATTCACCCATGCCGTACGGACATCTCCGAATTAACGGGATTCGAGCCAACGAGATTTTACTGTAGTACAGTAGATGGATCCTGTGTATTTCTCTCAGCAATTGGGTTCACCGTCGGTGACGCCCGAGTCCGTACTTTTGGGACTCAACCCAGGTCCATTCATCTTGATCCTTGGCCCCGAAGGAATTAGCAAAAACCGGGCCCGGGGCCAAACAGTTCCATTGTTGGAGGTCTAGTGGAGCCTCTTAAGCGATGTTCCAGGCTAACTGGACATGGGGATCCTGGTAATCTTTCCGGCAACGTAGCCGAAACCTAATAAGAGCTTTCTTGCCGGGGCAGGAATTCAACTTGTACGATGGAACATTGATCTACAGCCATAGTGGATAGTCAGATCTGACGCTGATTCGGTGATATTCGCTTCAATTCTGAAGGTCCTCATTTATCACGGACTACTTCCAAGGTCCTCAAGGATATAGGCAAATGGAGTCGTTTGTGTAAAAAACCATCCTGTACAGCTATAGATGAGGGTATAAGTATGACCTCGAATCTTCCTCGCTACTTCGAGGGTTTTATCGTCAACTAAAATTATCTTGATATATCTTCAATCCTAATCGATACGCCCAACCCCAATAGTAAGCACAAGCTGGAGAACACCTGCCAAAGGGAATTCACTGCTAATTTAGCCAGGCAGACATGCGTTTCTCTATCGCCGTTGTTGTTGGCGCGCTCGCCATTGGCTCTGCAGCCACTGATGCGTTCATCAATGCCTTCACCGAGTCTGGATGCACTGGTGGTGAGAACAGCATTGGTGTTGCTGCCGGCGAGTGCGTTTCAGTCTCCGGAGCCTCCGCCAACCAAGACAAGTCCCAGAACGGAATCAAATTTACCTGTGATGGATACACAGACTCCGCATGCACTGACAAGGTTGGCGAGGTCTACGACTGCCTGAGCGGCAACGTCGCCTACGTTAACTGTGTCGCCAACCCTGCCCTGTGATGGAGAGCATGAGGGCTACTAAGGATGCCCTGATGTTCTATCTACATAGCCACAGGGACCGTTTTCTTTTTGTTTCTTTTTTCTTTTCTATGAATCAAAGGCTCTGTGTTTGATTTAGCATTTAATACTGCTGGTATATAGCACACTGTCTTTACCAACCAATATCTATTTTCAAAAGTATTCAAGATTATTATATATCGAGGGGGAGTGTATGTGCGTAAATTGAATAGTGGTTAGATAATTCGTATATTTTTCAGTGATTGGCTAGTCTCGAACTGAGCATATTGGAACTATGCTTTATTATGGAGAATCAAATTTATGAAAGATTAGTCGCAATCTAGCCTTTTGTGGAATAGCGAAAGATTTGCCAGAGGGCCAGTAACAGCAAAACTGTTCCTTGTATTTATTTCCCTGTCTATAGTGGTTGGAAAACAAGCTCGGTTGAATAAACCAAGTTAATGCTATAATGCAGTCAATGTAAGCCGGGGAGTATACCTTGGGCGTCTGTGACTATTTCGGTAATAACTTATACTTCGCCCTCACCCGTGGGTGATCTAATAGGACAAACAGTAGAACCTCGTGGCCTGCATATTTCATGTAGAGTTTGGATGTATTCTTGAATATCTTGAATATCTTGCTTACATCGTTACACCCTCAGATGCTAGAGAGAGCATTTCCGCATTTGATATAAACCAGATGAAAGGACATCATTTTTAGACTAAAACTAGCCACAGAACTGCTCTTATTCAACCCCAAATCCCTCGAGAAGTCTTGAGCGTTCCGAACTCTCCCTGACATGCGTTGCTGCGTGTCAGGGAATGGAAGAGTAAACCCATCATCTGTCACGTGCTCGGAATACAGATTTACACAAGAACCAGGTTGGTAATCCGATAACTAGGAGGTCAGCCCCTGGAGAGGCGGTAGGGAGATTTTCATCTTTTATCTTAATTAGGGCCCCAAATATCCAGTTATTTATGCTACCAAATAGTGCCTCTGGTTTTGCTACATAGATCATATTGACGCTTTGCTAGCTGATCGAGAACTACATATGTGGTTGTGTGCTACATTGACAGGTAGTACGTCAAGCTAAACTTTCGGTGAAGTACTTTGTGCACTCTCGTAGAAAGATAATAATGATTTTGGGAAACTGCCATTTATATCAGTAAGGAGGTAGCTCTAAGTAATTTCTAGCCCATATCGCAGATGAAAGATTGTCGATGGTGGTGTCCAAAGGCATACCAGCCAGCCTCTTCACAAGCCGCCTGCAACTCCTTCTCGTCTCCAAGGGACATCTGTTCATAAAGCCCATCCCACAACCGGAGCGTAATCCGTCTCGGAAGAGGAGTTGCCGTTCTCCATTTTGGAAGAAACTTACGTACATAATCAGATTCTGCGGTCTTCCCGGTCGTTTTCTCCCAGGGCAACCAGGTCATCCCTTATGATAAGCTCACGTAATGTTGATGGCAGAACATCGCTCAGCTTTGTCTTCAAAGCTGCTTCTCGAGCATCAAATCCCAGAAGCACGTTTGCTGGAATCTCGGCGGTTCGTAGATTGCAGAATCTGTTTAGGATCCCGTGGAAGGGTTCCCATAATTCCGCATGCCAGTCATCATGGTGTCTCTCACCGAAGCCATTAGGATAGTGGTCCAGATCAAATGACAGCTCTTCCATCGAATCAACAAGAGGGCCCCAAGGCTTGAATAGGAACTCGCCATTCTAAATACCTGTTCCTTGAAACACGAATATGCGAATCCAAGATGAAGTTTTCTCAGCTTTGGGTTGCGTGTCAAACAGGAATAGGACATCCTCTGAGATTGTTGACCGAGCTAACACCAGCGGATTTCAATCCACGGTTTTGTTTTCCAAATTTAGCCTCGGATTTGCCCCGAGGTCGACAATATCCCGCAGCCAGATAGCCAGATGATGGATAAATGGCAGGGAAAACCACCCGATAAACCGGACTTGGTTGTAGTAGAGGGGAGATCTATCAGGAATTAGTGTATGCATAGGTATTTCCTACTGCTCAGGAAGAGGCGCATTCCCACCGTAGTCGACGAACTGGAGGCAATCGAACGTGTTTGGCATTCCAGTCTTGGTTAGAAAAGAGTGCTTAACCATCCTGCCCGAATATCCACCCATCCAGACAAAGGAATAGTCCAAGCGGGGTGCCTTAAGTTTTAGAAGTTGAGAAGAGAAGTATAGCCACAGTTGCATAAGCATCTCCGTCGTTAAGTGCCTGAACCCATCCTTCCGCATCTGGGAACTGGGCTCGAGGAATCATATCGACACCTTTTTGGATCACACCTTCGAAGAGATGTCGCTCTTCAACCCAGTTTAGTTCGTGCTGAGGTGCTTTCCAAGGTCCTTCCCAGTCCAAGTCCCACTCTCTCAGGTGCCGACCAGACTCACATTGGGACCATGGGAATATTGACGACAGGAAACTAACACAGCGCACCGACAGCGCTAAGTCTAGTCTGCTAATTATGGTTCGAAGAAGACATAGAATGCGTCGCAGAAGTGGTGTCACCCAGTCCCAATTTATTTCATAGTAGAGAAGTGGCTCCGGTGAGGCGCGGATTGCCTTGCATGTTGTTGAAACAGATAACAAATTATTGAATGTAAGGTACTCGAGAATAATGACCCAGCAATACTGGGGAAGGGAAGAAAATCCTCTGAGCGGAGGTGGGGTTTATGATGGGTGATGATGGCGCTGGACGTAGAGTGTGAGGTTGCGATGTTAAGGTTTTCAATGAGGATTTCAATGTTCAATATGGCTGTGCATGTTAAAGCCCCCATGGCTATGTAAGACCCTTTCTTGTGACCCACGCCATCCAATAAAGCATGTGGCATAGTTGTCAAAGATTGGGTAACCACCAGTAGTTAGAGCATAGGAAATATGAGTTGGGGGAAGGACATTCAGCAGCGCAAGCACTGCCGGGAAGATTGTAATAGAAAGTGATAGAGGCACCGTAGATAATGGTAGCACTGGCGCAAATCAACCAAGAAGGCGAAAGGTCAAAGTCTCATAGCAGTTAAACCTTCTACAATCTGTATCCCAAGTTTGTCATCAGGCCATTATAGACATTTCGAACATGAGAAGCAGGCTCGAACGAGTATTTCTCTGCCTTCTGGCCTTGGTCAACCCAGTGGTCAAATATGATCCGACACTGAAAGACGTGTAAGTCATGCCGGCTGCTACCTCGATGCACGGTTTGCAGATCCGCGAAGATATTCGCGGTCTCGATAATATCACGACAGGGCTTTTTACTGGTCTTCTTGATCTCCCCTGTGTACCTGTAGCTCAGTTCGCAAAGGTTCTCGAATCCTCTTCTCCAAGCCTCAATATTCTGTCGGCCACCTAAAAGCGATTCTTCCTCGATAATCGCAATGTCCTTAAGTATTCGTCCGCCTGGCCAGCCACCTCTGTCGAGATATGAAGCCTCTGCAAAGTCTTCTAGTATAGATATGCAACTTGATATGATGCGGTCATCGAGGGACTAGAGAAGCCAATTTCTTTCCAAGCTTCTGCACCTCGATTTTGAGCAATTTGAGTTGAGCACCATTTCCCTCTTGTTCAGCTGTAATGTTTAAGAAAATCGAGCATTATCTTGTCATAGAAAGACATCCCGTCTGTGTTGTAGTATGTATGCTGAAGGTGGTGTTGGTGTCTGGTAAGAAGAATTCTGTCTGAAACTCCTATGGCGAAGTTTAACCGACAGAGTCGGGAGTTGAGGGCAAGGTTGGCAAGGTTATCGACACAGATACTATACTGGACAATGAATCTCAACCTACCAGCGACTTGTGAGGTTTCTTCCTTTGTTAGTTCTTCCGATATGAGTTCCCCGAACTTTAGACAAGAAACAGGAGACCAATTGCTTTCTGTATGTATGGGATGCTTGGAAAGTACAACTTCAAGCGTTGACCGTCGGATGCCGGCTCGTAATGTTCGATAGGAACCCCAGATTTCTATTCAGGAAGACCTGCATCAATACAGTGAGAGGAGGGTTCAATCACACCGTCTACTGTGTGAGAGTTAGATGAGATATAAGCAAGAGTAACCTGGTAACCGTTTACTTTAGACTAAGTTCCACAGTTCCTTAGGCTTCCTACAATGATCTTCTTCTGGCTACTATGTCATTGTCGAAGGGATAAGTAGACGGGCCGTTACAAACCGTCTATCAGAAGATTCCCAGTACCTCAATCCTCGTGATTGAAGTCAAACCGTCGCTGACAATATCAATGTCACCGACATCTACTACCGAAGATGTGGATACTGTTCCTAGATCTGTATTGAAAATTGTTTCTTTTAGGGGCTCTCGATCATTCTGGTGTTTACAAGCAGGAGTTGTAGGCTAACCCCGAAGAACAACACACTTAAACGTGTAACGGAAACGGTCGTAAATCCATCCCAACATCTATATAATAAGAATTATTAGATCAGATCTCTGTGTTCAAGTTAAGAGTATTTGACCCGTCATATGCTTTAAATAAACACCGCTGCCCCTGAATTTATTCAACCAGCTCGTAAAGAATAAAGTAAAACATAATATCAGAACACCATCAAGTGAACCATGTCTGCTCATGTTAACTTTTGCTTAATGAAGAAAGACCGGAGATGCGACAATTGCCAGGCGCAGGCAGCCGACAAGACAACGAGTTGGATCATGGTCCAGCGGACGACGCGCGAGTTGGTAGCTTCGGATTGATCACGGAATTCGGCCTCGCGTTCCTAAATATCCCATTAGCATCACGGCAATCATTATATAAGGATAGTTGGACCGAAAGGAAACATACCCGCTGGAACACCTGCTCCCGACGAATATCATGCAACCGTCCATTCAAGTCCTTGACTTTCTGCACAATGTCCTGCATCTTGCCTTTGTCCTCCGTCTCAATCTTGCTCGTCTCGCCAATGGCAATGTCAAGGGTAACCCGAATCGCATCTGATCCACCGCCGGAGAGCCAGCCTCCGGGCACATGGCTACCGTCGGGTGTCAGACAGATCTTATGCTGACCAGCATCGGCAGCAGAGAAGGTAAAACGGCCTGAGTGACTGTCGCGCTTGGAAACGACCCGGTGGTCATTGTCGAAGGTCTCGTCGACGGTGATGAGCATCTTCACGTTGGGATCGATGGAGTACGTATTGCCGGCTTGCGGGTTGGCGACTTCGGTTTTAAAGTGGCCTGTTATACATATTAGAATATACCATTCTCTCTCAATTTCCAGGAGTCAATTGAGCGTCAACATACCAACCACTAGGGTATCCTTAGGGAGCTCCTCGAAGAAACACTTGGTCTGCTTCTCGCCCGTGTAGAAGTACAGAGCGTTTGCGGGGACGGAGAGACAGATAATGGCCAACACGGCCAGAGTAGACGAGAGCCACAAGGCGGAGGGTTTTAAAGGAGCCATTGTTGGTTCTTGACTATCCTCGATTTTGTGTCTGGTGCGTTCAAGTTGTCAGAGTGTTGATTGTTGACAGCGTTTCGAGATGCGGACGGCGAGATCTGGCAGTCTTGGCATTGCACTCTCTTCCGTTCGAACTTTTTGCCGTCATCGTTCTACAATCCCCCATCGTCCATCTCTTATATCCGTCGCGAATTCTCGAGCGCCAACACCTACTACGTGGTTTTACGCGTCGATAATTTAAAATAGCATCCTTGTTAGTCCTGGTGGTTTGCCATTATGGCCGCCGCCGATGTTCGCGACATGCTGGACCTGCCCGCAGAGGGGCAACAGCAACCCCGGCCTCACAAGAAGCAGAAGGTCGTGGAGAAGAGACCAGGTTGGATAGCCTACGACATTTAGAAGCAATTCGTGCTAATGGTATATCAGAGGGTATCACTCGTGAACTGTACGCGCTTCTCGGCGAACGAGCACCTCCGATCGCGATCAACGAAAACCGATACAAAGGGCGACCGAAATGGATGAGCAAGTTGAGAGTTCGACCATGGTGCGTATACAGAAATTCGGCTGTTTTGGTGTTGGGAGTACTGGCTAACATCTCGTCAGGAGCATGGCACCTTTTACGAACGGCGCACGAACTGACGAACTCGTTCTGCGTCACTGGCAACGGCAACATGAACCGACAAACGCACCAGCACTAGAGGGACCAGAGGCAGAGAAACCAGAGGAGAAAAAAGAGCCAGAAGAAGAAGAAGGGGTGCTGAAACCACCAGAGCAAGAATACCCATTTGTCAAATACAACGTCAAAGCCCGGGTTCCGAAGCGATACAGCGACGACGAATACAACAGACATTTGAGAAATGACGACTGGTCGCGACAAGAAACAGATTACCTGATGGATTTGGCCGAGGAGTACGATCTACGCTGGGTTGTTATCGCCGATCGCTACGACTTCCAACCCCAACCAATAGATGCAGAAGCAAATTCAAACGCCCTAGTCCCAGCCAAACGCTATCGAACGATGGAACAGATGAAGGCGCGATACTACTACATCGCTGCGACAATGCTTGCATTCGAACATCCCCCCTCCGAAATGTCCGAAACCGAGTTCGAACTTCACGAAAAAATGCTGAAATTCGACCCTGACCGGGAACGCGTCCGTAAAGAACTCGCAGCCTTACAACTCAACCGCACAGCAGACGAAGTCCGCGAAGAAGGAATCCTCCTGGAAGAACTGAAGCGCATCACCGCCAACGAACAAAACTTCATTGCCGAACGCAGGGAACTCTACTCCAGACTCGAAGTCCCCATCAGCGTCGGCAACACCGCCATGTACCAATCCAGCCAGGGCCTCTCCCAACTCCTCTCTACCCTCCTCCAAGCAGACAAGAGCAAGAAGCGACGCTCCATCTTAGGCCCCGAAGGCGCCGCCGCCCCCTCCCCAGCAGGCCAAACGCCCACAACCTCCGGCCCAGCAAGCGCTCGCGACAGCCGCGCAGAAACACCCGGCCAAGCACCAGCCCCAGTAACCAAGAAGGCCGCCGCCGCTGCAGCAGCCGCAGCAAACAAGGAACCCCAACAACAACCCCTCAAGACCCTCACAGCAGCTGAAGAATCCAGATACGGTGTCCAGCACCACGAACGCCTCACACCAAGCGTGCAATTCCGCAGCGACCGTCCCCAGAAACTCACACATGCCAAATCCAACGTCCAGTCACAAAAGCTCGCCGCCGCGCTCGCGGAACTCGAAGTCCCACCTCGTCTAGTCATGCCCACAGAACGCTTATGCAAGGAATTCGAAAGACTCATTGTCTCTGTCAACGCACTCCTCGATGCGCGGAAGATGGGCGAGAAGGTTGAGAGCGAAATCCGTGTCCTTGAAGCTGCGAAGGAAGAACGGGAACGTAGAAAACAGGAAGCCAACGAGAAGGAGAATCCGCAGGTCAAGACCGAATCTGATCATAACGATACTTCGCTTGCTTCTGCTGCGCCGGCGAAATCGATCGATTATGCCAATGATGGCAAGGATCTGGCAGCGGCTGCTCCTTTGGTCGAAGGTCCCGAGACTGGCGCTGGCAATGACACGGCAGGCGACGCATCACATAAGCGTTCTGCGAGCGTCTTGAGTAACGGGAGCGACAAGAGCGCTAAACGACAAAAGAAATAAGAGGTCATCATTCCATTTAAGAGCGGCGTTTGTTTTTGGCTCGGAGCCTGGAGCGCTGGCGTTTTTTAAATTCATTTTTGTATGACCATATGGATACTGTTCATGGGAATTGATATCGTGCTATAATACAAACAACGTAGGTCATACACATCCAACTTTTACTGTCATCTTGTCCTTGCCCTAATTTACAGTAGCAAATACTATCATAGTCTGCGAAGTCGCCTGACCAACTCGTCTTCCGTCAACGCCCGATCCTCACTCAGGGTTTGAATGCATTTCCAAAGATTCGTGGTCGTCCCCAGCGCTATGCGGATCCAATCGTTCCGATCGTTTGTAACGGTATCGACCTGGTCCTGGATCTACTGAGTGGCCGTGAACACCTGGAGTTTCTGAGTTGCGCCTCCAAAGCGAACGCTTGACGGGAAAGACATAAGGGAATTCTGTGTTGCTGCTGATGTTGCGTGTTTTACTGCGATTGAGAACCCTGAATCTGACCCTTGGTCGTTTCTTCGGGAGACTGCTGAATTCGCTCATATTCGACGGCGTCTGTATGACTGATTCATCACCATCGTCGGTGGCACTGCCTTGGTTCGTATTTGGACCTAGTGGGAAGCGCATTCTGGAACCCCTTTCGAAAAACTCGCTGTATCTGTTCCTGAACCTAAAAGAGCTCCTCGGGCTTTCTTCAATCTCTGGAGCTTGGCCTTGATCGGACCCAGATCCATGGATCTTTTCGCTAGCCTTTTCGCCTGTGTCGTCTTGGCTCATTCTTCGACTCGTAAGCCACTCCCAAAAGGAAGAAGCTGTGGAGCCCCGGTTTGTCGACTCACTGGAATCTGTTGTCGTCACAAGTCCAGACCAACGCCGGGTCATCTGGGGATTCATGGAGCCTGGCAAATCGCTATTCAAGATTGATGGCTCGCAAAGTGCCGATGACACCTTGTCGGCTTGCCGATCTGGGTCCTGGTCTTGATTCCCAGCATTCTCTTCCCTTGTTTCTCCGTTTACCATGCTATTGTTTCCGCTATCTTCAGGAGGACTTGAATCGGCCGGGGACTTTTGACTCTCAACCTCATCTTCTGCCACTAATGAATATCCGTACCCAAGCCGTCGCCCCCCAGACATCCAGCCCACGCTTATTTTGCGAGGCGGCATGGCTTCGTTGGACACAGACCGGGGCGATCCCACTGGCGGATTTATCCCAAACTGCTCCACGAACTTGCTTGTCAGTGCATCAGTTTGAGCACCGGATTCGCTGGCCGTAAAATTAGAATCAGTCACTAAGCTCATGTCTGCGCATGGTTGTGCTACAGGTGCGTACTCATATCCGCTACCTGAAGGCCCTCTCTCAGATCCGAGGAGACTGCTAGCATTCGCTGTAAGACTCGGATATCGATAGCCTGCGGGAATCCCAGCAGATGAAATACTAGACTTGGGCGAATAAAACGAAGACGCATCTCTCTTGTGGGGTAAACCGAAGTCGAATCCATTCAATCCATTTTGACCCAGAGATGGTGTGTTTGCACTCCGCTGGCCGATACAATCATGATATTGATCCGACAGGCTTCGTATGCTATACCTATTATTTTGCCCATTCTCATCGACAGACGGATTCTGGGATAGAATGCGAGGGGATGCTGAAGTGGACGCCAGGGCCTTGGAGATGTTCATGTCACCTAGGTGAAGCGAGCGGACTTCTGCAGATGATCCTCGATGCTGCCGTCTTTTCGCGATGGCAATCTCCGAATTCTTCGCAACTAATGACTCCGACGACTTTGCATAGGGTACCTGTGCGGCTTGGAGACTTTGTTGAGCCACGGTGGCGTAGAATCGACCACGGCCACCATTGATGGACATCGGAGGTGATGGCACCCCATGATCAGTTGCTGCAGACTTTATTGATTGCTCAGATATGGAAAGGGGTCTGGATGTATCTGCCTCCTTTTCGTAGATGGAGAGGTTGGTCACATTTGCAAGAGGACTTGAAACTCGGCGTGCCGCAACCTTCACGATGTCTGATGAACAGTGGGGTGGCTGCGGACTTTGACGCACATAAGCCGGACGAGCTAGTGCCGAACGTGTGTCGCTTATCTCGCGTCGCTCATCTTCTGGTCCCAGCTCCTGGGGCTGACCGCTTGTGCAACCCGTTCCCGCATCCTGATAGGGCTTCTCCAGTGATGACATAGCTTGTTCGAGACTCGTTGCAGTAGGCGGGAAATCCATGATAGGAGCGATATGCGCGGGGGTTGATATGCCTTGTGCATCGCTATCATATCCTTTTTCACTCATCAAGCTGCTTCCAACGTCATCAGCAGCAACCGGATCTGCAAGGGCGTCCAAGTTCCGGGATAGCGAAAGAAGCGATATTTCTGTCGATCTATCGACCCGCCTTGGAATAAGATGCAGTGGTTTGGAGTCTCGAGAGGATAATCGTCTGCGGATTCTGCCTGACCAGCCACTTGAGGAGTGCGAGGAGTGCTCATTTTGAACGGGAGGTTGTCGATCTCCGGTTGAGGAGGGACCTATGAGGTGTCAGAAGCTGGGACAGTTAAAGACGCAACTCATTGGTGCCATACTTTCTTGGTGGTCATCTCGCAGGGGAGAAGGCTCTGCTGGCTTGAAAGAGAAAGATGGCGAACACTCCGAAGGAGGAGTGAATCTCCGGAGCTTTCGAAACCGGCCACACAAGAGGAAACCCATTGTGAGTGTAGCGGCTGATATGGTGAAGTAATTGCATTGGTAGAAGGAGAAGGGTTGTCACGATGCACAGAGCAAGTGATGACTGTCTGAAGATGTCCATTTTGGGAAGGAAGAGAGTGTGTATACAGATACGGAAACTACGCTGGATGAAAGTATAATTACGGTCAATTCTGATCGTTTCCGTTGATTGATCTGCCAATGATCTACAAAAATTCCATGCAAGCAAGCTTCCTGCTCTTATCCTTTTCCATTCATTGATCTTTACCCTGAGTTCCACATCCAGTATTCCGGAGTCTTGTATACTCCGTACTTGATACGGACCGGCAAAATCACATGACTGTGAACGGGCCAATCGCCGATCACGGAGGGGGTATAGAGTGCCTCAGGCATAAAACACGCAAATCACGCCATTTCTGGTGTCAGGACCGTTGTTAATACCAAGGATTACCAAAATTACATGTCAGGCACAGCCTATCCCCATGGAGATATCGGTAATACAAGTATAGCCCCTCCCGCTACATGTTTTTCCCTCCCGCTTCCCCTCCTTGACCGGCGCTTATTTTTGCATTTATTCTCGCTCCTCTTTCTTCCCTTCTCTCTCTCTCTTTCTTTTTCTTCCCATCCCATCTGCCCTCTTATCCTCATATTTTTTTTTCTTGTTAGGAAGAGGCGGCTGAATACAGCATCCTCTTTTTGTTTGTGTGACGGTTATTATCTTCCGTCCTTTGACCACATATTCTCTCCGTCTCCCCCTTTTTTCTCCTCCAAAATCAGTCAGAATGGTTCAATCGTACGCCCAATCCCTTTCCCTGATGGCCAATGGCATTTCAAGAGCTGACTGGTGTGTCTTTACAGCGCTGTTCTCGGTTTCCCCCGCATGGGAAGACTCCGTGACCTCAAGAAGGCCACCGAGGCTTACTGGGGTGACAAGATTTCCCGCGATGAGCTTTTGGCCGAGGGAAAGAGACTCCGTCAGGAGCACTGGAAGATCCAGAAGAACGCTGGTGTCGATGTGATCCCCAGCAATGACTTTGCTTTCTACGACCAGGTCCTCGACCACATCCAGCTCTTCGGTGTTATCCCCGAGAGATACAGCAAGTACAACCTTCACCCCGTTGATGAGTACTTCGCCATGGGTCGTGGTCTTCAGAAGCCCGCCAAGGATGGCCAAGACGCCATTGATGTTCCTAGCTTGGTATGATTCCCTGAGATTTCCATACCGGATCGTTGTGCTAATACGCTCTCTAGGAAATGGTCAAGTGGTTTGACTCCAACTACCATTACGTCAAGCCCACCCTCCAGGACACCCAGGAGTACAAGCTCGCTGAGAACCCCAAGCCTGTTGTTGAGTTCCTCGAGGCCAAGGAGGCTGGCATCACCACTCGTCCCGTCATCCTGGGACCTGTCTCTTTCCTGACCCTCGCCAAGGCCGACCGTGGCCAGACCGTTGACCCCATCACACACCTCGAGAAGCTCCTCCCCCTGTATGTTGAGCTCCTCGCCAAGCTCAAGGAGGCTGGTGTTGAGGATGTCCAAATTGATGAGCCTGTCCTCGTCTTCGACCTTCCTGCCAAGTCCAAGGCTGCCTTCAAGCCCGCTTACGAGAAGCTCGGTGCTCTCGGTGGCAAGGCTCCCCGTGTCACCTTGGCCACCTACTTTGGTGACATTGTCCACAACATTGATGTCCTCTCTTCTCTCCAGAGCCTTCACGCCATCCACGTTGACCTTGTCCGTAACCCTGAGCAGTTTGAGACTGTCGTCGCCGCCCTTGGCCCCAACCAGACCCTCTCTGCTGGTGTCGTTGACGGCCGTAACATCTGGAAGACCAACTTCAAGGCTGCCATCGAGAAAGTCGAGCTGGCCATCCAGAAGCTTGGCAAAGACCGTGTCGTTGTTGCCACTTCCAGCTCTCTGCTCCACGTCCCTCACACTCTGGCTAGCGAGAAGACTCTCGACCCTGAGGTCCGTGAGTGGTTCAGCTTTGCTGTCGAGAAGACCAGCGAAGTTGTCGTGATCGCCAAGGCTGTCACCGAGGGCCCTGCTGCCGTCCGTGAGGAGCTCGAGGCCAACGCCAAGTCCGTCCAGTCTCGTGCCTCGTCTACCCGCACCAACGACCCCAAGGTCAAGGAGAGACAGGCTGCTGTCACTGAGGAGCAGCACAACCGCAAGTCTCCCTTCCCCACCCGTCACGCTGAGCAGGGCAAGTCGATCAACCTTCCTCTGTTTCCAACCACCACCATCGGATCTTTCCCTCAGACTAAGGAGATCCGTATCCAGCGTAACAAGTTCACCAAGGGTGAAATCACCCCCGAGCAGTACGAGGCCTTCATCGAGAAGGAGATCCAGGAGGTCATCAAGATCCAGGAGGAGCTCGACCTGGACGTCTTCGTCCACGGTGAGCCCGAGCGTAACGACATGGTCCAGTACTTCGGTGAGCGCCTTACTGGCTACGTTTTCACCACCCACGCCTGGGTTCAATCTTACGGATCTCGTTGCGTGCGTCCCCCGATCATTGTCGGTGATGTCTCTCGCCCTGCTCCCATGACCGTCAAGGAGTCCAAGTACGCCGCTTCGATCTCTAAGAAGCCCATGAAGGGTATGCTTACTGGTCCGATCACCTGCTTGCGGTGGTCTTTCCCTCGTGACGACGTCCACCAGTCCGTCCAGGCTCAGCAGCTGGCTCTTGCTCTTCGTGACGAGGTCGTTGACCTCGAGGCTGCTGGTATTCAGGTTATCCAGGTCGACGAACCTGCTCTCCGTGAGGGTCTTCCTCTCCGTGCCGGCGAGGAGCGTAAGAAGTACCTCTCGTGGGCCGTCCAGTCTTTCCGTCTGGCCACCGCTGGTGTCTCTGACGCCACCCAGATTCACTCTCACTTCTGTTACTCCGAGTTCCAGGACTTCTTCCACGCCATTGCTGCGTTGGACGCCGATGTTCTCTCCATTGAGAACAGCAAGTCTGACGCCAAGCTCCTCAAGGTCTTCATCGATGAGGCCTACCCTCGTCACATCGGACCTGGTGTCTACGACATCCACTCGCCTCGTGTCCCCAGCGAGCAGGAGATCAAGGACCGTATCGAGGAGATGCTCTCGTACCTCCGTGTTGACCAGCTCTGGGTCAACCCTGACTGTGGTCTGAAGACCCGCCAGTGGGCCGAGACCAAGGCTGCCCTGACCAACATGGTCAACGCTGCCAAGGCCTACCGCCAGAAGCACTCCAGCTAAATTAATTCTAACCTGACATAATAGAGATAAAGGGATGATGGTTTCTTTTTAACGGGGCAGACATTCTCAACCTGTCGCCTCTGGAGATGTGATGTGTTTAATGAGTTACGACGATGATACCAAAAGTTCAACATATGGGGTACGGGTTTTGCACTAGAGGATAAAAAATCTGGGGGTCCACGGAGTTCAACAGTTTTGACGATTTCAACATCGGCGTTTACGCCACCAAGCATCCACTTGTCTTTTAGCGGTCAAAAGATGTGGGTTTGTTTGTTTTATTTCATTTGTATTTGGAAGGGGAAGCATGTGTGGTGCGTAGTCACCGATGTTTCATATTCAACAATGTGTTCTAGATAACACCTGAGGCATTGCCTCTTAATGCAATGTATCATTCTGATTGTTCTTGTAACCATATTTCCCCATCTTAGTGTACATGTCTCGATGCTACAACCACGGACACCATGGAACGGCAACACCTCTGCTCCCAACAGCCTCCTTTCCAAAGTTCTCAACATACCACTTCCGTCCCCAACGCGCATGAGGAAGCATATTGGTCACGGCATTCACAACAAACACCAACGCAGGCAAAGGCAACGGTACCTTCAACTTTTCCGCAACAATCGCCGCTGGAACCAACCACGGAGCCAAACTGATCCTCGGAACTGTCGCAGCCGCAGTTGCCGTTGCAGCAATCGGATTCACACTACCACTTCCAGCAGGGAAAATTGCCGTCCCGGCGAGCGCAAAACCGAACCACTCGATCCATTCGAAGACGTAGTGCGGGTAAAGAATGGAGCGGAAGACACCTTGCTTGGGAGGGATGACGTAGATTTTGTGGTATTTGTTGCTGGTGTCGTTGTTGTCGGTCTTCTTCGCAGCGCGCTTATCACCCTCCTCACGACGAAGCCGGAACAACGCTCTCTCAGAATAAATATTCCCAACCATCCCGATAACAAACAATCCCAATCCGACAGTTGGTAGCAACCCCATCCCCCCGTCAACCCCATCACCAGCAGTCGCAGTACCGAGTCCCTGAATATCAACTGGATATCCCAGAATCCATCCCGCCAAACAACTCGAATTCATCCAATTGAACCCCATCGCCGACACCATCACAAACGCATGAATCGGCGACATACTCGGCGCCACGAACCACGGCGAAGCCACCGCACGGTTTATATAATGCACCACATACAACACCGCAACCAGCAGATTTTGCCAGGGTAGCACACTCAAATCACCGGAAAGAGAGGTGTGCAAGGTGTAGAGGAGGTTTAGGGGGGCGATGATCTCCATGAGACACCAGGCGAGGCGGCCGGGGATGTTTAGGGGGGAGGTGCGGAGGGAGGTTTTGCCGGCGGGGTGGTAGGAGAGGAGCCATTGGGCTATTGTTACCTGGTTTTCTGGGTTAGTTTGCATCGTTTTTTTTTTTTTTTTTTTGGAGGAGGGGGGGGGTTGGTGGTAAATGATCTGGAGGGGAAGACGTACGACTGGGAAGTATTGGAAGACGTTGACTAGTATCGCGTAAGTTCTGGGAGTGAGCGTTATGAACTCTCGGAGGGAAGGGAAAGAGTTCATTCCAGAGGAGATCATGGACCCCATGGCTGCGACGGGCTGGTAAAGTAGCAGGGATCAAGGCGGATGTAGTGTAGGGAGCTGAGCTGGAAAGGAGGAAAGAGTTTATAAGAGTTGTGGCCACAGTTAATAGAGGCAACGAAGTGACAGTGACTGAACAAAATGCCTGCTTGCTTTTCACTTAGTGAATTGTTTTGCGCAACAAATTCACTGCGACCCCAAGACTGTTTGCTTCGAGGTCATTGTCTTGAGCTGAGGTGAACCGAGCTACTTTGTATGAATGATATCATGGATCACATGACTTCTGTACTGAATACGGAAACGCATTGTTGGTAATAATGCTGTTAATGGTAGTCATATACATAGCATCCAGTGAATGCCTGCGCAATATAAAGATTCAACTCATGAAATGGCACTATCACTCTGTCGTGTCCATCTGCTCCGTTGCACTCTGCTCCCTAGCTTGTCTCCGTTCCGACAACCGCTCTGTCTTGAATGCCGTGATCTTGGTTTTGAGTTCGGTGTCTAGAATCCAATTAGCCATCGTCCGCCAAGTAATATTTCAAATAGAAGAAAGTTCACCTGGAATTACATCCTCCATCTTAAGTGGCACCCGGTTAAACGGATCATGCGGGTCACTCAGGAGGTGAGATCGGATCGTAGATCGATCAATAGACATTCTCGACGCAGGAAGAATAACCGGGTCTTCCATCAACGTGTACATTAGCGGATCCAAGAAGTCGTCCGGGACTTCTCCAAGGTCCTCTTCTTCCTGCTCGTCCATCTCCTTGGCTCCCTTGACCTTCCGCTGCAGCTGCTCCCATTTCTTCAACTCTTCCGGAGATTTGAGCGACCATTTCCGCAGGATATCGGCGGCCTTTTCAAAGTTAACGGGCTTGTAGGAGCGACCATCACGCGCGACGGCGAAGATAAAGTTTTCCCTGTTCATTAAATTGATGTACACGTCCACGAGCTCACTTAGCAGAGCGCGCGGGTTGAATCCATATTCCTGTAGGTTGTCCACGCGCAGATTTAGACTCTTAGGGCCCACCATGGCATCCAGGTTGTAGTCCAACATGTCTGCGAGCCGCTGCACAATTTCCGGCATAGTGAATGACTCTGCCAGTGCATGGGTGAAAAGCTTGAGCATACCGACCGTTTCGTTCGTCAGCTGCATGTACGACTTGGCAGTGCGCTGGGCAGACGCGAGATGCTCTTCCTTTTGCTGTCGTGCGGTGGGATCCATTGTGTTCCCGCTGCGCTTAAGTTCAGTTTGGGTGTCGTGGATGGTTATGAAAGCGCCAAACGACTCGTCAAGGACGAATGTCACATCGTTAAGGAGGAGGTTGACATATCGGACGAAAAAGTCGTGGTTCTGGTTGGCCTGGTTCAAGAGCTTTGTCTGGTATAGCGTATTGGGCCAGATGCACTTGATGATCTGGAAAATCTCATATCGGATATTGAATTTGTCGTAGAACTGGGTGTGTGTTCCTGTATGTTCAGCCTCGATGTAGAACTTCATGAGGGAATGCAGGATATAGTCGTTGGCAAACGGCATGGAATTAAGAAGGTCAACCAAAACGCCACGACCGCCACCAGGGCGCGGCCATGTCCCGCGGAAAAGGATAGACACAAGTCCGGCCTTCAAGTACGGGTTCTTGATGTAGCCTGTGCTCTCCAAGAAAGTGATACAGAGCATTACCACTTCGTCTCCTTGCGTAGCAGTGATGATCTGCGGCATGCACCACATAATGAACTTGAAGTTGCTGACAATGTCGTCCAAGAAGTATTCAGGTAGACACTTGAAAACCTCGGGCTGTTGTTCCGGAAGAGGAAGCTTGAGGGTTTCCCGAGGGAAGTCCACGCCGGAGACCAATCTCAATAACCAGACAATGACATACCGCATGAACAACATAGAACGGGCCTGCCATTGGTCGTCGAACAGCACACCTTGAAGACTGTATTTCAACGCGAGTCCGAGATCCAACTTGTCCTTATATTTTTTCAACGCCTGTTCGAAAACCCGAAGTTGCATGGGGTTGCTGATCCACCGGTGTCGCTCCGTTTCGAACCGGCCGATTGTGGTCTCCATATGCCGGAGGTCCTTTTCCAATTGGTCCAATTTCGAGGTCAGAGACTCACTACCGTAGTGGTGGGCAGCAACAGTAAGGAAGAAAATCTCCGTAATGAAATTGGAAGTCCCCCCTGCTTTTTTTGAGTAAAAGGCTTCCGAAGCGTGCTGGTCGGCGTTGATCTTGGTTTCATCCTTCATATCAACACGGGAATTCCGGTGAAGATATGCTGCATCAATTCGGTCGATCTAATAACTTGTCAGTGATCTTGGCTTGGGAGGTACGCTCTCCTTCTCCCACATACCTTGGTAAAAGATGCATCCATAAACGGTTCGCAAAGCTGATCCAAGCACGTCGTAAGATTGAACATGAAACCATCCGATGAGACCGCATTGGGGTCGACCTGCATTGCTCTCCGCTTATGATTTATGTTCATTGCAGTGGCAAACCAATCTAAGACTCGTTCCCGGGAATCCTTCGACGCACGAATCAAGTGGTTGATGATGTCGAGAAGGTCGGCACTGAGCATCTGCTGCATCATGCGAAGGGACCGCTGGGAGTTCAGGATATACGATTGATCCCTCGTCTTAGGGCTCGAGAAATACTGCATTGTGACATTGGGTTGAAGGGGCGACAGCCGGAACCATGGTCCCAAAAGCGTGCGTTTCTCAAACGACGGAGGGTCGCGAGTCGCATTGAAGAGCGAAGACTCCGTGATAGCAGATGCAATGGCTGAATGACGAATGAGATTTTGCAGAGCCTGACGAACGTATGTTAATCAATAGGGCATCTTTGCGAGTGAAAATGCACGGATCCCTTTAACATACCATCATGTAGGGTTTGTATTCATCGTTGATGTTCAACTCAGCCAGTTCTTGACTTAACCCCTCAACAGCGGCAATGAAAGCGGGCTTTATATTCTCATCCTCGTCAAACCGTTTAACGGCCTCGCCGATGAAATCGAGATCAATACCCTTATCCTCTTCTGGGTCCAAGAGCAAGAACGGTTTCAGTGGAGATCCGTCAGACTCGGCCCTACCAATTACCAGCAACGTCAGTACTCCGCCAGCCAATTAGCTATCAGATGGAGAAAACGCACCCAAACATCTCCGGCATCGTAATGGCAAACATGCAATAACTTATGCACAGCCGCCGGGCTTCGCAAATAGCATTGAATTTAGCATCATCATCCCGCGGCCGACGGAAACCCTTATGCAGCCTGCAAATTCTCTTCCAGCACGGCAACAAGTAATCCAACGGTCTCTTGGCATTCGTCGCCGCTTCCAACAGCGCCTGGTCTAAAACAGCCGAATCAATTCGAGGTTCCCGACCCTGGTCTTCCAACTCGCTCCGCAGTCCAGGAAGGTAATATAGCCTCTGTCCATGTATATCCTTCTGCCGGTCCTCTCTGAGCGAAAGCTTGAACACAGCACTCAATGTCCGATCTTCAAACGCCTCGATGCTCTCTTCGGCTCTTGGTTGCGGAGGCGGCGTGTTCGAAATGGGCGTAACACTTTGCGAGTGGGCTGCGGACGACGAAGCTGTTGGTGTGATCTTTATCCGTTTCCCCTCTGACGGTTGCCGCTGCTGCTCTGGTCGGGGCGATGGTGCCTGGGAATTGGGTGTACTTATTGTGCCGGTCTGTGGCTGCGAAGGCGCGGGGAACTGAGGCGTCGAGCTGCTGGGTTGTGTAGGGGTCGTGGGTACGCTAGAATCCGAGCCTTCTCCGCCTGGAGAAGAAGGGGTTGGGTTTCCAAGCTTTGCAAGGCGCTTGTTGCGGATCTAGATAAGCAAAGTCAGTGCGGTGTCCTATCGACTTTGATGTCCGCAACAACTGACCTTGTCCGCATCCGACAGGTTATCCGACATCTTCTTAGACAAATACTGTTCTGGGTATACAGAATTTGTGACAAGTAAGAGCTTCTACCCGCGGAACAGGCGATGTGGGAAGAAAGTTCAGTCTCGTCTGAACACCTAGGTACGGGAATAAAGAGAGATTTCAGGGATGAAATCCAGAAATACAAAGCAAAGAGCAACGCCAGACAGCCCAGCTGATGACAGACAATATCTCTTTCGCTCTTTCTGTCTGGCGGTTGTTCTTGTTGGCGACAATTCGGTCATCGTCGTTGAGATTCGCCTGCATGCAAATTACATAAGCAGCTCGCCGCCGCAGTATTTCTCCGCCCCGATATAGTACAAGCACATCATATGGAATCCCATACCAATCCAATGCAGAGGCACATTCGTTCATTGCTAAAAGAATATAGGGAGGAAGAATGCTCATGAAAATTCAATAATCACACATAATTCCATATACGCCGGCCAAGTATCGAGCGCTATTGACATATAAAGAGCATGAGAGCCAAAAGGAACAGCCGAGACAAAATTAATTATAGGAATGAGCCATCTCTGTATGCAGGCAAGCAAAATATATGCTAACTTCCTTAATATTTTTTCTTCAAAGAATCCAGCCGTTGGCAGCTCTTCAGCTCCAGAGATCGCGCCGCCCTCATCTTCTCGACATCTGGGAAGAACCATCCCTGGGCATCCTGGATCATGCGCTCGCGCACATTGGCTTCGTTTTGGCATTCGTAGCGCAATTTGGTGACATAATCTATTTCCACGCGTTGATCTAACTGTCGGAACTTCCGGGCGTTGTAGTCATTTACATCGCCCGGGTTGACAAAGTAATCGATATTAAGTTTCGGGGTCATTCGGTGCATGGTGTGAGGAGGTACTGCAGTGTCAAAGCGATATGAAGGGCCAGATGGGGTTGACGAGGAAGAGGAGAAAAGCGATGAGAGGAGAGGAAGCACGAAGAGAAGGATGAGAGGTAAAAGCTGCTGGAACATCGCCCAGGCCGAAGGGACCGCCTCCGGTTCGGCGGCTTCACGTGGCCTTCTCCGCGGCCGGGGGCCACCGAATTGGTGGACGCGGACTCCAGGACCTCCTCCCATGTTGAAGACGAACTGCGGACCACCTGCAGTTATAGACATTAGTAAATTGATTCCAGCCTCGTGAGTATGTTGGATGAAATGGTTTCAATCTTTTGTACCAAACGGACTGTACTCACCTCCCATTCCACCAAACCCACCGCCGAAGAAGCGGTTGAATAGCTCCTCTGGTGAGATCTCCTCCTCGAACATCGCGCCGCGAGACCGTGGGAATCCACCTCCAAAGCCACCGAATCCACCGCTGCTGAAAGGCGACTCGCCGGCTGATGCTCCAGCAGTGCTAGGGTTGAACCTGCTGTCGGGGTCTCCTCCAAATTTATCGTATCGGGACTTCTTGTCCGAATCGGATAGAACCTGGAAAGCACGCGACACCACTATCGTCGAAGCCCATTAGTTTCTCCCGAAAAAACCTGAAGAAATGAATCGAAAAACCCACGTTTGAACGCCTCGTCTGCGCCCTCATACCCATTCTTATCCGGATGTGTCAACAGACTCTGTTTCCGATATGCCTTCTTGATTTCGCCATCTGTAGCAGTCTTTTCCAGTGATAAGATCTCGTAGTAAGCGGTTGAATTGCATTTTCGTATCCGAATCACGGCTGCTTCCTGTTCTGGCGTGTATTTGCGATCTTGATTGCCCTGGTTGTGTTGCCGGGATTTGGCATTCCCGCTGTCGAAACCCGATGTCGATGCCGACATGGTTGCTTTCGCTGGGTGCTTCCGTTTTATTTCGTCGGAATCTAGATGATAAGGTTCGTTTTGGACGTTGGCGCAGGTGTCGTAAGGGAACTCAATCCCGCGACGGAGAGGCGAGACGGGGACCGATCGAATAAACAGAACGCTTGAACAATGCGGGATTAGATTATGCCGCCTGGAGATAAAATTGTGATGTTGTCGGAATGGCACAATCAAGGAAAAGTAATGGATGTTTTTGCCTGGCGACGAAATGTCATCCGGTCAACAATCAATCAATAGACATGGTGTCTTTTCCGGAGAAGTTCTGGTCGCCGCGCTAATTATGGATTCGTTAGTCAGACTTCACCAACTGCGGAGTAGATAGCGCTGAACAGAATTAACACACTACGTCAATTTTCAATTGAGAGGCGAGTATAAATTCCATTGCCCTGCATTCTTTGTCTTCTTTTCATCTGATATCGCAACAGAAAAGCAACCATGGCCGATACAAACACCCCGGCCGAAGGGACCAAGCAGTCTCTCATACAGACTGCTAGAGCATGGGGAGGTACATCATATTCAAATACCTCTATGAAGCTTCCCAGCATCCTTCTTGAGTCGATCTAACGATGCTTTTCGATCTATATAGAAAACCCATTTACTCCCACCCTCCTAGCCACAACCATCGCTGCCCAGCACATGCGTCCCTTCCAAACGTTTCCGATGCTCTTCCCTCCCGTCCTGCTGTTCACGAGCTACGCAAATCTCCAAGGCTTCACGACAGATAGTGCCGGAATCTCAGCAGCGTGGTCGGGACTCTATCTGTTGCTCGCAGGTCGACGGAAACAGCCTTTTATGAAGAAGTGGGGTGCACGAGGGATCGTCCGGGGCGTTACAATGGGTCTTGGCTTTGCGAACTTGGTTGGTGGTGGTTTGGCGTATACTTTGGGCAAGAGGGAGGAGGAAGAAGATGATGAGTAAATGGGGTGTGGGAATTGATAATTTTATTATTTGGACAGGCGTCATCGCTATGGTGTTCGGGGTGGACATAAAAGCTTCGGTTTCTACGTACGTTGGTGTATTTGTACGCTATTATGACTATCATCGAATCGACCATATTTTCGATTGATTTGCTTCCTACATGCCATGGTCAATTGTCCCGTCAACTGCCAGCGTACGGCTTCTCCCGTGAAAGAAAGTCTCGAACCCTGGGCGGAACCAAAGTCCCCAGCAGTCCAGGATCTTGCTGAATCGCCTCCCGAGCCTTAGTCGAACTGACTGGGAGATCCTCCGGCCTACTACCCTGGACCAACTGAATACGCTGCGCCCATTCCGGCCTCCCGCCCTCACTTTTCCGGCCTCCCTGGGCCAGATTCACAAGGAAGCTTTGTTGCTCTTCCTGGCTGCCCCATTCATCATTGGGCCGCATGGTTACTCGAAGTCTGTGCTGGGACAGGAACGGCGCGAGAGGCTGGAGAGTATGCTCTGGCGGATAGTACTTGGGGTTGAAGATGCGAATCAAGGTGTCGTAGCCCGTGAGATGGACTTGTTCAAGCGATGCGGGGTAGATATCTGCAGTCTCGACTTCTGCTGCTTTATCCACAAAATAAGGCTTCCTTGTTACACCAATGTCAATCTGTGGTAACTGTTGCTGTTGCTGCTGAGAGGATTGTAAATGTGACAGGAGGTCGTGGGCAAACAGCTCCATCATGAGAAGGCGGACCTCGAACGAGGCCGGTTTGGCGGGTTTATCTGCATTCTGGGTAGCCAATAAGAGCAACAACCGGGCATGAGAGTCAGGCTTTTCTCGCAGGGCCGATATTGCAATTTGGAGATGGGCGAGTGTGGGAGGGTTGAAGGACGAGTCGAGGACGTAGAGAACGGAGGGAGACTGCGGGCGATCGGCGGGGACAGAGGACAGAATTTCAAGATCCTTAGATGAGGCGAGGAAGTTCTTCCAGGATGTGGTATAGTGTGATCGCAGGGCCTGTATCGAAGGAATGGCCATCTTGAGTCTGTTCAATAAAAATGGTTGCGATGTTGAGAATGACGTCGGAGGGGCTTAACGGATATCCGAGGTTCGGATAAGAGAACTATTAAATCCATGATTAGCAGTCGCGTTGACTCAGTTGGTTTTACAACAAATAATGAGACCTGAGTGAGTGTCTGAGTATAGTTTCAAGCTGAGGTCATGACAATTGTGTCAATTGGCCCATGAGCCCTTGTGTTGATTTGTCTTTCGTATGCGAGTACAATGGGAGATCAAGGATATAAACTGGGCGAGAGCGCAGCATACAGTAGCACTATGATTGGACTGTACTAATCAATGTTGATTAGACTGTGCAGCGTAGATTCTAAACTTGTGCGATAGTATGCTCTACTGCATAGTAGGTGGTGCCGACCCCTGCAAGGATATGTCATTTTAGACAGTATATCGTACATCAACCCGAAGCACAAGCACAAGGGATTTTATCACCTTCCGAACTTCCAAACTAGATATAATATCTGAGTATATTTGTCGAATATTTTGCTACTCGCTTGCCTCTTTATCTTCCATTCTGGTGAGCACAGGTTGTGCCGCGTTTCGTATAACAAGATGCATCCGCGTGTAGGCATGTAGGCACCATCTGAGCTTATGGTCGGCGCAAAAAGACTTGAGTCAGCCAATAGATTTCCGCGTGATTTTTATTGAAATTTTATGCTAGTTGCTTTCCGCTCCAAGGAGCCACAGCTTGCCTTTAAGTATCTGTTATAGTCTGCGTCACCTGTCATTCTAGGTGCCGTTCAAGAGTCAGGCCCAACCGGTTCTTTCGCAAACAAAGCCGTGGATCGAGGCTCAAAAAATGCCCCTGCTTCGTTTAGACAATGTCGCATGATTGCGTTTAGCTACAGACGTCCCTCCGCTTCATTCGCCGGGTCGTGGGTTTCTTCAAGCTTGTTCACTATGTGATAGACTGGAACTTTGAAAAAGACGTTAAGAAGGCCAGAGATACCATGAGCAATTTATCGTCATTCACGCAAAATCCTCACGGCCATAAGTCTGTACTCTTGTGGTTTGAGCATCAGAGCCGCTTTGTCTTTCTTTAGACCCAGAAGTCGGATGGCCATTGTAATATGCATGGAGACTCAACTCACGGAGTTCAATTCCCGACGCCCAATTAGTGAGACCTGGCTTGGCTTACAGATACCCAGCCCAGCTCACAATGATCCTCGCCCCTCCCTCCGAATGGGCTTGCCCTCAGGCCGAACCTCTGACTTGTCATCGTCGTCTGGGTGATCTTCCATCTCATCATCACCGCCTGTACCCCGCACATGTAGTCAGTGCTGCAGGCTAACGGGTGGGTGTTCCCCAAAAGTTGCTCGCTGGGTACCATTCCGGGTCATCATCAAATCCCAACCACTTCACACCGCCATAATGTGAAATGATCTACCTGAGCGTAGTTCGCACATACACTGGAGTAATGACAGATGTAACAGACGTCGTGCCGAATCCAAACATAAGAATCGGCGGTTGATAGCCGAGATGACATAGATAAGGTTAGGTGGGTGTTTGGAGGTAAAATCTGACGTTTTGGAATGAGACTGTCCTATAATGCTGCGTTAGCGAGCATGATGTATAGAAACGCCTACAACATGAGAGAATCTGTGTACGGAGTATTCTCAATTAATATACATTAATATATTGTCAAGTCTACGAAATATGCTTAAATACACGCTGCTGTACATCAATTTGTATGAAACTGGGGGTAAATTGCCCGATTAGGGAACGTGTATCCCTGCCACTACCTGCCTTTGACCAACCGATAGGCAGACACAAATGCAAATAAGATGCTCAATTTAACATGCGAGATACCAAACTATTCCAGTGTTTTCTTTTGAATCCAGACCATTGCAGAGAAATGAGTGGGATATCGCATACTCCATACAATAAAAGCACTGACCAATCAGGAAGCGAGTTTCAGCGCCTTGAAACAACCCTCATAACACCATACCAAATGAACCCGTATAGCGGACCTTCTTTATAGACTCGATGTTTCCTCCTCTTCTCCTTCCTCTTTCTCCCTCACTACCGTCGAACTGATCACCGGTCTTCCATTCTCTTTTTTCTTACTTCCTGTCACTCGTTTAACTTGCGAATCGATTTCGCAGTTACTTTCATTCCTTTTCTTGTCTGGAACGAGCTTTGTTTCAAAAAGGCATTGATTGCCCCTGTTTCTTTCCATCATGTATTACGCCGGCACGATTCCTCTCACGCTTCTGGCGGCCTTTGCGGCCCTGGGAGAGGCCAACAGCAACAACGAGAGCCCTAGGGCTTACAACGAGGCTGCTCCGACCTCGTCTGCTATTGCCTCGCCCTCCCAGTCCTTGCCAGCATATGAGGCCGTTCCGGCTTCATCTTCAGCGTCGTCTGTGCCTGCGCCTGCTCCTGCTCCTGCATCTCCGTCTACGTCGTCTGCCGTTGTGTCGTCCTCTTCCTCGCAGGCTACCCTTCCGTCTTCTCCCGCGGTGTTCATTCCTTTCTCCTCGTCTGCTATCCCATCGCCTGCTGCCCCATCGTCTGCTGTCCCATCGTCGGTTGCTTCGTCGTCCGTCGCTTCGTCGCCCGTTGCTTCGTCGTCTGCTGTCCCATCGTCCGTTGCTTCGTCGTCCGTTGCTTCGTCGTCTGTTGCTTCGTCGTCCGTTGCTTCGTCGTCCGTTGCTTCGTCGTCCGTTGCTTCGTCGTCCGTTGCTTCGTCGTCGGTTGCTTCGTCGTCCGTTGCTTCGTCGTCCGTTGCTTCGTCGTCCGTTGCTTCGTCGTCCGTTGCTTCGTCTTCCGCCATTGTGTCGTCCTCTTCCTTGCAGGCTGCTCGTCCGTCCTCTCCCGTGGTGTTCATTCCTTTCTCTTCATCTGCTGCCCTGTCATCGGCTGCCTCGTCTTCTATAGCTCCAGCACCCGTTGTTTCATCGTCTGTGGCCTCATCTGTGGCTTCATCATCATCCAAGGCCGTCTCTCCTTCGTCCTCATCTATCCCTCTCCGGACAGGTAGCTCTGGGTACACACCAGCTCCTGTCCAGACTGAGACCAATGTTGAAACCAAGACGTCGACTCGCGATGTCACTCTCACATACACTCTGGGCACTGGTACCTCTACTTCCCTCGTGACGACCACTGTCCAGAAGACTGTCACTCAAGTCCAACAGGTGGTATGCTTAACAACCTCAATTTGCAATGGAGTGAAAAGTAGCTAACACGCTATAGACCGAAACCCCCGTCGAAGAGCAGATCATCACCGTTACCCCAACTCCCAAGGTGGAGTTTATCACTATCACGCCTACAGCTGAGGGCTCGACGGAGGAACAGACCATCACGGCGACTCCAACCCCAGAAGTAAGCACAATCACGGTCCCTGGAACTGCTCAGAACGAGGCCAAGGAGGAGCCCACTACCACTATCTCCTCCACTTCTACCATCACCTACACCGTGTGGGTCGCTCCTTCGACCTCCTCTGCCATTCCTGGAAACAGTCAGACTGCGGGCGACGAGCAAGCCACTGACAACGACACCACTGGCAATGGTCAAGCCGCCAACAATAACATGGCTGCTGTCACTACCGAAGCTGCAGCTTGCAGTCAGGCCACGGTCACCGTTCATGATACCGTTACTTTCCATGACACCGTTACTGCGCAAGAAACTGTCACTGTGGTATGTATCAGCATTCTCTCGATATAACCTGAGGGCAAAACTAACAACCAATCTAGACTGCTACTCCTACTCCCTCGTCGATTCCCACCCCCGCCGCCTTCTATGAAAACTCATCGTCCTCGTCCCCAGCTTCTTCTCCCACTCCCTCTTCCTCCACACCTATCTCTTCAGCTGCTACCACACCGGTGATAATTCCCAGCAGCCGTCCGTACGGCAACGGCACTTGGCCCATTTCTAACAGCTTCGCGAAACCCTCCAGCTTCATCACTAGTCGGGCACCTCAATCTAGTGGCTTCCGTCGTTTCTAGGTGAGCTCTTGCTGGAGTCCGCCTGACAGGTTCTTGATCTTGATCTTGATCGTGACTGTAGTAGTGCTGATATGGTACTGAGTGCATTTCTTTTCTTGTGCCTTTTTTTTTATATATATATATTCGTGAACATCTTTTACCTGTGGATGCCACTCTTTAGGTCTTGACTGGCCTTTCTCCTGGGTATTCTTTTCTCTATAGGATCTTTGAGAATTTTCTATAAATTCTTTTTTTTTTTTTTTTTTTTTTTTTTTTTTTTTTTTTTTTCCCCTCTTTAATGTTCGATCAGATCATGGGTTTTAGTATGTCTCATACGTAACGTTTATATATATCAAAATTCGAATTTTTGCCGTTGCTTCCACTGACAACCAGCTATTCTTAGAGCATCAAAAAACATGTACCTAACGTACCGTTATTATTCAAGTAAAACAAGCAACGCTGACAGACTAGATGACATCGACATTATAGGAAGACGTAAACTCATTCGTGCAAGCGTCCCGAAAGGCTCGAGACAGAGTCAATGAAATAAGAATATGCATAACATACTCAAGGCAACTATTCCAGGCCAATTCTTTAGGACCGAGAAAATTTAGATCCTTCGTAACACTTCTGTCGCATGGCCGGCCTGTCGTCGTAGCTCTAAACACCTCACTAGATCTTCATGATAGCTCCAACAATGCCTGAGTCTACCCTGGTACAGTACCATTGCTTGATTCGCGCATACAAGCTGATTTCTCAAGGGACGTGATTTTTTTTTTTTTTTTTTTTTTTTTTTTTTGGCAGACACCAATGCCACTGTGGTAGTGCATGCCACACCAAGGAGGACAAGAACAATTGAACCGCCCGCTCCGATTAGATACATCCACCTCTTCGCTTAATTTAAATTCTATATTTCTGAATTTATCGTTCCAAAGCCAGGCGCCCCTCATAACACTTCTATTTTCTAGCTCAATTACTTTCGCTGGATTTTTAGCCTGCGCGCTTTTCCTCCTTCGACAACGATCAACTATACCAGTACCAGCCCACAGTCATTGACTGCATATACCGTGTACTTGAACTTCTGCTTTGCTATAGAGCTGGACTTCCTTGGACTCAGTCGGTTTGAGAACACAGAACGTCCATCGACATCAAATTCCTACAAGTATCACAAAGAGGACGAACACTGTGCTCGCAGTCAGTTTGCCTCATTTACTTTCTTTCTTACCATAGATTCTAATCATTGATTAATGCATCGCTTATGTGCGATCTGATGGAAAAGGGAACTCAAGGAGTTTAAAAAGGATTTTGGGGGTCTAAAGAATACGAATAAGTTAGTTATTTTCGCGTGGGTTGACTAGTAGCGGATGGTGTCCGGGTTTTGCATATAATAAGGGGTAGAGTAAGAGAAATAGGCGGGGCTATTGTCCAAGATGTTTTCAGCATGGAGGAACGATGCGAAGTAATTAGGAGGTTGGGAGGCGTTCATTATGCTGACCCCAAGATTGCCTTTATCTTGATCTTCCGTGCTTACAATAATGGACATTACCTGGAGGACACTGTATAGAATCAACTCCTATCTTCAAAAAGAAAATCAACCCCCTCCTTCAAGATTCTATCCCTCATAACCTGCCACTCCAACCAAGTCATGCCCTGCAAAAGACAATCCGCCAAATCATCCAACTTTCCAATTTCCTTTCCCTTATCCTTCGCACGCTTCTTATGCCACTTTGTTAAATAAGCATGTAAAGTATCATTCAACTCAACATCCTCCCCAACAATAAGGTCTGTCGACAGATTCCCGCCCTTGTCAACTTCGTCTGTTAATGGATGCTCAGGATCGAGCCAGTGCCCTACAAGATCAATCTTAACCTTCTTGCCATCCCTGGCAGTCTTCTTCTCCTTCCCCTCGAGGAAGAAACTTTTGAAGACCATGCGCTCACCCCAGTAGCGCAGCACCCGCGAGGGCTCTATCCCGTTAACAACAGGACCAGGCCCAAAATCGACGAAATTCCCAGACCCAAAGAACCCACTAAGAGGTGCCGGCTCGTAAGAAGAAAGACCCAGCCGCCGCTGTCTAGCTAGCGTATACAGCACCGCATAAAGTACACCTTCAAACACACCCACGCGCAACGACCACTCCTGCACCGCCGCACCGCTCGCGGAGCGAAACCGCTGGCGCTCGATGAGGATGTGCGTGGGCTGGTACTTCTCCAGGAGTGTAGTGAGGAAGGTGTAGGCATTTTGGGCGTAGAAGTCTGGTGTGTAGATTTCATTCATGGTGTGGGCTTCTTTTTGTTGTTTTTCTTTTGTTCTTTCTAGCTTCGAGAGTGATGGGTTTATAAGCCCTGGGGATATGGATGTGGAGAGCTGGTTGGTGCTAATGTCTATGCGGTGCCATGCGTTCAACGTGACGACTGGTCTCTTCGCTGGTGTTGAAGTTGGGGAAGAAGATGAGGGGACTGTTAGATGCGCAAAGGCTAGATTCCGAATCCCCATGTCGATGCTCAGCACGCTCAGCCCCTTATCTCTCTCATTTTCACTCTGCTGCTTCTTCCCGGCTTCATGTCTTGATAGTTCTCCCTGTATCCGTTCTAGAACGGAGGCTTTGGGCCCTGCGAATTTGATTCCCGCTGCTTGGGCAATGCTTTTGAGATGTGTGGATTTGAGGGATGGGAGGGTTTTCTGCCAGAGTTGGGGTTGGTAAAGGGGGCGTGTAAAGTGCATTTTGCACTTGCCCTTTATTTCTGGGGGAATCAATTATGGCCGTGGGTATATATAGACATGGGCAGCTTTGGCGAGTGGAATGTTGATGTTTTCTGATAGTTATGCATGTAGTTGATTACTAATATGGCTATGATGTGCATAGTTAATCAACTATACAATATCCTGCAGTACCCATGGTTTGGCTGTATGCAAAAAAATTAAGAACTATGGCAATCGCATAATAGCAAGCTAAGTTCACTCTATTTAGCCTTGTGGACTTTACTCTCGTCTCTTCTACACCCCTTTCATCGTTGTATCGTCATCATCATCATCATCATCATCTCTCATACACGCCATTCTAACCTACTACATCTTCATCTTTCGCATTTATATATCACGGTATGGGCAACACATACCTAACGAGTAAGCCCTCATCTGCCATATCTTTACCTCCCAATCCACTACCCACTGCCCTGAACTTGGCACAATATCTCCATCCATTTGCTGTTGAGAGAATGCGGTTGAATCCGTTAGAGGGGAGATCGGTAAGGGTGTAGAGGGCGAAGGATGTTTGGTCTAGGCTCATGGAGCCGTAGTCCCCGAGCTCAGAGGAGTGGGGTGGTAGGGAAAGGTCGGAGGTGGAAGCCATGATTGTGGAGGTGGTAGGATAAATAGGAGATGGTTTGAATGGATAACTGTATGAGGTGAAGATGTGTTAGTTGTTCAATGGCCAAGTTCCGAGTGACTGCTTTGTCAACAAAATAGCCTATAGACATGTACTAGAGGTCTTTCAAGTCAACTAAAAGTTGTGCAAAACACCAGTGGCGTAGTTGTAGAACACGCTTATGTTAATCAGAAAGATAAGCGATGATTATCTATTATTTATCCTTCATCCAGATATTTATATTTAAGAATAGGATAGGGCTGGGTGTGCTCGTCGGGTTTTGAATCACGTCTTCAAAAGGTTTACGGAGAGTCAAAGATACAAGGTAAACTATCAGTCGATAATGATTAAATGCATTATTCCTATGGTATAAACCTCTATGACCATTACCAATAACGCCAAATCCAAATCCGAACAGACGCCAACCCACCCAAGTACCAATGCAAGACGCTAAACTGTACAATACTTACAAACAGTAATATAAAACACGACAAGAAACCAAAGAGAAGGGCTAGTTCACAGTACAATCGCTAATCCGCGCGTGCTGCAAATCCAGAATATCCTCTGGCGAAAGACTCTCCCTCACATATAGCAGCGGCGCCCAAACTCGCCAATGCAACACACCCATGTGTGCCAGTCGCATTGCAATCCGCTCGATATCGTACTGCTGTTGCGACATGGTTGTGGTGGGTAAGACGAAGTAGGGACTGCGCTGCGATTCACAGATCCCCAGCGGTGACAGGGCGAGATACTTCTTGGCCAGAGTACCGGTGGCTGCTAGGACTTTCTCGCGCATCGCGCTCTGAAAGTACCGGAAAAGATCTGACTCGTTGGAAAGATGCCACTCCAGGGCTGCTTCGATGGGAGCTAGGATATCGTCCGAGATCCCGCTTACGTCACCGCAGCAGGCTGCGCTGGCGAATCGGGCCATTTCCAATGCGATGGAGCGGACGACCTTTAACCACCGGGGTGAGGTTCCGCGTGCCCAGTCTTCGTGGTTGTTGTTTTCCTCCATTAGAGATCCTATCCGTGTCCGGAAGGTGGCGTAGGTTTCTGCTGGGGCGGAGAGGTAGCGCTTTTGTGCGTGGATGTATGACTCGAAAATGTACCAGCTGATATCGAGTGTGATTAAGTTCTGCAGACCTACTCGCAATTGCCACAGCCGGTCTGAGTCGAAGAGGAAGGTCTCGGGGAATTCGGTTGGTTTTTGGAATTGCAGTAGTAAATCAGCCAACCCGTGGAACATAACTGTGATTGGCCAGTAACTGTCTCGCGATGTCTGCTTGTCCACCGTCTGCAGGAGCAAATCTCGATGTCTGTGGTACCACTGCCGCGACGACTCTACTCGGAAGTGACTCCTTTGGACCTTATTCTGGAAGTACTCTTGTAGAAATGGAACGGTGTCTTCAATGAGGAATGCCCGAAAGGCGCGGATTTGGTGGTTTGCGACATCCTATTCAGTCAGCATGACTTCTTGCAATGTGAGTGGGATTCTCTCCTACCAGCTTCATGGCCTCTAAAATGGCGAACAGAGTCTGAAGACCAGTGACAATCCCTCTCGAATCCTGCGCCTGCAGAGCCGTACCGATTTGCTTCACCATCCGGTCCGCCCACTCGTCACGCATCGGGGCGCAATGTGTCTTGAGTAGCGTTGACAACCAAGTAGCTACCCCGACCATATCGAGAACGCCCTTGCGGATCTGCTGCATGAGTAACGAGACCTCCAGATTCTGCATAACATCCGGGTGGTCCCGTTCGGGCACAAGGGTTTTGAGGATATCCTGTAATGTCTCGAACATAACAGGAAGTCTGGGTTCGAATTGCTGTTCCGGCTGTTCACCATCCTTATCTTCTATCCCACCAACAGCTGCGTAAAACGAGTAGACAGAGATCTCCGAGGCCAATGCGTCCCAATAATCAGCCGCCTCCTTCCGCTTCCGTTTCCCCTTTTCACCATCCAAATCGGGCTTGAAGTGTAGATCGCGATCGAAATTGGCGTCCATGCGTAGGTTGATGTTGCTCATTATACAGGGTAGGTCCAGCTCGCTAAGCGTCTTCTTCGTCACTGGCGGATATCTCTTTGCTGCAAGCAGTAACCTCTGGTCCCGGGAACTTAGTCCCAGACCTATCGGGATCCCCATTGCTTTGGACGAAGGCGGGGAGACCACTGTCGAGCGCGAAGCTGCAGAAGAGGAAATGCGACGGGGGTTATTGCGATGAGGCAATTTCGTTGTTGGCTGCGATCTCTGATTCGTGGCTGTTGCCGGTCCTGGCTTGCTGTGTGTATCGGTGTCACTCTGGGCGAACTCGTTCGAACGACCACTGTTTCCATATGCTTCCAAAGCACCTTCTCTGCTCTCCTCCTGTTTCCCCGGTGTTTCCCTCCGTGCTTCTTTGGCTCGTTGGAGATCCATGTTGGTGGTTGAGGTTCCCTATACTCCAGCCCGGTACTCCCGTGTAGTAGTAATTAGAAGGGTGACGAAAGGTAGGAATCCTCCGGAAACTCTGACGACGAACTGGGGAGTTGTGAAGAGCGACAGACTCAGGAAATATAGGTGAGAGACACAAAGCAAGACAGTTCAGTCCCTGCGCCAGGCCCCGAAGGATGAGTTGAATCAATGGCGCAGAGAGAGGAATCCCTTGTACTGATGTCGCAGCCCTTTGTCGGTTTTGGGCCTGAGGCGCCAATTGCGATAAGGAGACGAAGCACGGTACTTCCGTTGGCGACGGAATGTCTTTTCTTCTTTACCGCGTCTTTTCCTTTTCTTAGATTGTTCCTTTTTCTCTTCTTTTATTGGATTGGTTAATCGAAAGGTAGTTGTTGAGGGGTGGTGGTGGTTGCTGTAGTAATTACTGAATCGGACAACAGAAGTAGAGGAAGGAAGAAACCGTTGAAGATAAGGGTAAAAAGAACCGACTGAGCCAAAGTGAGAAAAGAGAAAAAGGAGAAAAGAAAGAAAAAAAAAAAAAAAAAAAAAAAAAGGAAAAAAAAAAAAAAAAAAAAAAAAAAAGAAGAGAAAGGAAAAAGAAAAAGAAAAAAAAAGTGCCACTGAAAAGCGATCAAAGGAGGAAACTTTTTTTTCCTCTTTAATTTAAACACGGTAAGAAGCACGAGGCGACTGGTGCTCAATGAGATGCAGTAGTAGTAGTAGTGGTGGTAGGGACGGACAAACAACACACTTTACAGAGTAGCAATAGTAATAATCGATAATAGAGGGAAATAACAATGGGATCCCTCCGGTAGTAGCCCAATCAATTCAGCAGCAACAACTAACAGAAGCGGCAAGAGAGAGTCGGGATGGCCATGTCTACTTCATATACACCATCATTCACGATGCGTTCGGAGACTGCAAGGTTGCTTGCAATTGAGACACTGCTTCAACAGTAGCATATATCTGTAGCAACAACAGTACCTGTATACTTGTCGAGAACGGCAGAATGGAGGGAACCAACATCGGGGATCGCCCATAAAAAGTGAGGCTGTTTGAGACGCTTGCGGAATTCCGTACTTAAACCACCCGCGATTCAGGCGCAGAAGTGATGCTACTCTGTCCAATGCGACCGTCTCCTTCTGCAGTCGGAATCTGTCCATTTCCGGATCTGAGCATTCTCGTTCTGCAGGATGACAATTATTGCCCTCCCTGCGTACAGTGTACCCGGGCTGCAGGCCTCTGGATAGCATAGTTACTTGTGCTCGATTACTACTAGAGTAGACTCAATCCTCCGTGGTCCCTCCGATCCAAGGATCTTCAAACTCAACTGGTGTATTCCCGATCGGGGAGCCGAAAACGATGGCAAAGCACTCCGTTTGGCCACTCGACCCCCGTGCAACGGACATTATGTCTCCTTGTCCTTGCTTGTCGAGTTTATCTTACTGCTCAATGGAGTGCGTGGTATTTGTCACATCCTGTGGCGCTACGTACTCATCGGTCGAGTAAATAGGCTAAATTAGAGATCGACCTCTACTTTATTTAAACACCCAGTCTCCATGGATTTCGCAAGATGCTGTTTGGGTTCTCTATGGCTACCTCCATTATATATGGTATGTTATATACGGAGTACACATCTGTGGACAGGCATTCCACCCCTACGAACGGCGAATCCTGCCTTGGCACCTTGTGAGACAAATCGATGTTCTAAGCCATCTCATCTTGACTCTGACAAGTCCTCCCGGAATAGTCATTGGTGGAAAAAGTCTAGGTGTATACCTACACCGAGATCTTGTTTCTGATGTATAAGTTAGGATACCGCCTGAAGAGCCATAACCAGTATACTTTTGCCAACATACCGACTTTATGACCAGGGCAGGCGCGTTGCTGGTTCCGGCCTGGTCCCGACGTTACTTCGTAGGTATTCTCTGTTCCTGTCCACTGAAGACTTCGACACGCGCAAGAGTCAAACGGCGACGGCACCGAAAAGGAGCTAATTCGCCGACTCCACACTCCAAACAGCACTCCCCTGCGTTGCCCCGCCTGTATACTTGTACAAGCACGGTACGATATCAGATAAAACGACTGATTAGACCAGACTTATCGAAAGTACGACGTCATGAAACCCTCGCCGTCGAATCCTTACTCCATACAGGGCTCTATTCGAAGGTTATACTCCGGGAAAACATTATTGGTGGAATTTGGAAGCATGACCAGTGTACCATACTGCCGCCCGGTAGGGCCGGTTCCGTCATCTATGCGAGATATCGCCCGGGTACCACGTAGTCTATAGATGTGGCTTGAAACTTTGCCATCTCACCGTAACACAAAGAAACAAAAGAATGCTGTCTTTGTGTGGCAGGTATTGGACGGTTGGCACTATCCCGCATCTAGATTAGTGTATTATTAAAAACCAAGACGTCCATCCGGCTCGACTGCCGAGATTGAAAAAACATCTGCGCCGCAACTAGGCGATTACGACCCGTGACGGAGTACTATACAGAGTCAGGGACGCGCGGGATGGGTTCTGTACTAAGTGCTGTCTCCGTGCGTCCGAGTCAGTCGACACGAGCAGAAGTAGAAGCTCATTTGTTTTGAACTCAAAGCCCTGCGGTCTGCATAGGCACGGACGGCAGTACGCGCATTCATCTCTTTTTTTTTTATCCCCTCCCCTCTAGCCTCGTCTGACTCTCACTGAGTGTTGTCTCGTCATCCCGGAAAAGTCGAGCGATACAATGCATTATGTGGTCTGACTTCTATATCAATGTCGTACAGCCCATGCAAGATGCATAAAGAGTGGCAGCTGAAAGACTCGAAACATGATTCTGCTTGGTGCCTCACTTTCAGCAGTAGGGCGAGTCGTTGTTGTTGGTCAACTCCGTTGTGATAGTTCTTTTCGCCACGATGCTCACATTTCGCCTTATTCGCGGTGCTGCAGCAGAGAAGCGTTAGTGCAATCGGACAAGGCAAGCTGCATAATGGTGGCTGTACAATGTTTGCTTCGATTTTGGGCATACTGGACGCATACTAGGCAAGAAATCAAGGTTGTCCTGGGGAATGCTGCATACCTAACTGAGAATACTGCGTTAGTTACGCTTCAGGCTGCGATCGTATGCAGGATGATCGTCTAGCAAACTGTTGGGTACCCGGTTTGCCACCAGAGCGAGTAAAACGATGGAAAGCGATGTTAAGCCTGGAAAGACGATGATCAAGCTCGAAGTCGTCGACGGTTGATGAAAGCCCGTTATGGTTATAACCCTATACCCTATTGCCACATGACCACCTTTCACTGCGAAAGCTCTGCTACTTCAGGGGTACCTCGTATGTGTTCATATTATATGCATGTATACAAATCCAGGAGTGAAAGGATAGTAGGTATTGATGTAGCTACTTTCTCGAATTTATCACAGTTGGGTGGAAACCGTACCGGGAAGTCCGACCTCCACCACCACACCACTACATATTCCAGAATAACAACCCAAAAGATTGAAATCCATCAATTTCTATTGATATCTATGAAGCTGAAAATAAAGAGGCACTTGGTCCTTTTCATTGCCTCTGCAACCTCTTCGAGATGAAGCCAATTGATTCACCTTGGCCCTTCGGCTCAATAGGCCGCCCGCTATTGAGGTCAAAATTCGGATAGCCCTCAATAACCAACTCCAACGCCTCCCACATGATGAAAGATGCACCTACAGACTAATTTAATATGTGTTTCTGCATCATGAATTGGAGAAAATCCTACCACGTTCTTTTCGAGCTGCGTTTTCATACCTCAAACGGCACAACACACCACATGAATATCGCCATTTTTCTATCCGGATTCCACGCGCTGTGGATAATCCCGGTGTTGCTGGCGGCCTGAATTGACCGGGTGCCTTTAAGCATCTCCCAGTTCGAATTCCATTCGCTTCCAGGGGCTCCTTCTTTACCGCCCAGTTGGGCTGAATGGCTTCCTGTTCCGGATATGGAAGAGGGTAACTCGTTGTTCTTTTGGCTTGTCGAGGTTGAGGGATCTGCATACAATGACAATCTTATCAGTTAGGTGACTCAACACCAACCTCCAAAGATATGCAAGCTGACAAGACTAGTCTGGCTCAACGGCGGCCCAGGCTGCTCGTCTTTGCTAGGACTGACAGGAGGCAACGGACCGATGTCCTTCGTCGGCAACTCGACCAAGTTGGAGAGTAACCCGCACTCCTGGTCCAATCTCGGCCATGTGCTATACATCGACCAACTAGTTGGCACAGGATACTCGACCGCAAGCGATCCATACCTAGTGCACGACATGGGTAGAGTGACAACCGACTTCTACGCATGGCTGTAGTCCTTCCTCACGTAGTTCTCCCGTCTTCAATCGAAAAATGTGCACCTAATCGGAAAGTTTTACGCAGGCTTCTACATTTCATAATTTGCCTCCGCCATCATCGAAATCTAGGAGCCCTTCCCGCTAGACTTCGCTTCCCTGTCCATGGGCGATCCCACGATAGGAGGCTCCGCAGCCATGTCTTCCGTGACCGCCTGGAAATACCTCGAATCCAAAAAGTCCGCCCTCCAGGCCCCAGACGACATCATTTTAGCCTTCACCAAGGGAAGCGAATAATGCGGCTTCGACAATACCGTTCTAAAACTAAACACCTTCCCCCTAAAATCCGGCTAGATCCCTATGCCCGGAAACCTAGATAACCTCTACACCCTGAAAGGCTTAAACGAGGTCATCAATCGAGTAGACTGCTACTCACACGCAACCGACGTAGACGGAGTCCTATCTTTCATCTGAACGAAACAAACTGCCTCGGCTCCTGCGCAACAGCCGCCAATTACTTCTACACCAAAAACAATTAGTTCAACTAGTATGACATTAGCAATGGCTGCGACAAAATTAGCTCGTTCCCTGTCCTCGCGAAGTACTTCGGCCGCGTGGGCGTTCAAATAGCACTCAACATCCCTCCTCCATCCCCAGACTCGCCGGCTCATTACTACGCTTGCAGCAATGCTATCCTCAAAGCACTAGCTCTATCAGAGAAGCCCACCGCCCCGACTCTACCTCATTCTCCATCCTCCCTTCAATTCTCAACAACGGCAGTATCGCTCGCGGTGCACGTGTACTCCGGCGAAAACGACTTTCTGCTGAACCACTTCGGCACGGAACTAGTTCTGCAAAATATTGGAACGGTGCGCAGGGGTTGGCGGAGAAGCCGTCCCGCGTGTTCTATAGCGACGATGCTAGGCCGGATGATGCGGAGAAGGACGAGAATAAGTCTGTGGCAGGGACTTGGGTTGAGGAACGTGGGCTGAATTGTCATTTCTTCCATGGGGCGGGGCATAGTGTTTTTGGAGAGGGAAATATTTGCGTTTGTTAGGGATGTCGTTGTTGCTTAGGTTTCTTTGGATTTTATAGATGGTCTTGTCTTTGATTGATTGTGTTGGTTGTAAATTGAATGCTGTGGACGGGAGGACGCTCTTACATTTTCAAGGCAAGGAAATAATAACTTAGTTTAATATTTTATTTCTATTACCCATCTGCTATGCAAAGAACTATAAAGGGAAAAGAAATACCATACTCCATCCTTGCTGAATCCCTCCCATATGACCTTGGTATTCCCTACCCATCAATCCCGGACAAAAGAGAAAAAGAATAAACTGAAAAAGAAAAACAGGTCATGAATTTGTGTACATATCAATTCTCAATAAATCATCATCCATAATTTAAGCTTTGTGTTTCCTTGTATCTGAGATGAATCCACCTCATACACATGTCATTTGCTGACACAGGAAGACATGAAAGCACGGGTTGTTGCACATGTTTTTAGGTGATGGAAAAGGAAAATTAGATGGTAGCATCACCGACGAAAGAACGGCGCCTGATTAGGCATAGAAAGCAACGAGTCGGCTCGCTGAAACACGTCTCCCTCAAAGAATTTATCACTATACGCACTGGCCGGTGTAGAGGGCACAGTAGCTTGTGCAGCAGGACCAAGCGCTGCACTCAATGGAGTCGCCGGAAGAGGAAGGGACGGAGGCGAGCCCATTCCAATGCCACTTGAGTTAGAAACGGACCCTTGATGCTGTCCTTGCAGTGGTGGTCCGTAGATATTCCCCGATCCGTTGTTCGCGGCCATATCTGCGAGATACGACCAAGGAGATGCCTCGATCAATCGGCCGGCTTCTCTGCTTGCGCGCTGAACAGGGCGGAGAATTATGACGATGTCGGGAGGGAGGAGTTGCATGCTTCTGATCTCGCGCATGTCGGTCACAAGGTCGACGAATGAATGCATGAATGTCTTGCATAGCTGCCAGAATTCGCGTTGGTTGCGCATTCCACCGCCTGGCTCTTTGACTTTCATGTTCGAAAGACGTAGACCAAGCGCTTCTGAAACTTCTAAGCACACGCGACATCGACGAATGAGGTTGTTCCATAGCATCTGTATTCCCTGGGGCTCTCGTGCATGTTCTGCAACCTCTAGACATCTCATAAATTGACGACGGGCCAAGGGTAATGCTTGAAGAGCGGCAGTGTATGCTGCGGTGAGCTGGTGGAAAATTTTCTCGAATATCCGTTCTTCCTCAATTTCATCTAGTCCCGTCATTGGGTTTATCCGCGGCACGACTGAGCTAGGAATCGGTGGGAACGATTCGCCCGAGCGTGGTGTCGCAAGGGACGAGGGTACTGAGGTATTAATAAGATTGGATCTGCTACTCGACCGGCTGCGCGATCCGAAGCTAAATGAAGGGGGAGCAAAGCCTGGTGAGCTGACCGTAGACTGGAAATTGCCTGGTCCTGGTATTGGTCCATTTGCAAATTGAGGACGCTGGATAGTAGTGTCGCTGCGGAATCGGCGCGCTGACGGAGCTCGATCTCTTGTTGGTGTCATTGTTGGCCCAGGGAAGCGGTCTGAAGTGACACTGGCACTCTCCTTGTTGATTTCTGGTATAGGTGGCTTGGTCGATGATACTCGCTTGCGAGTTCCTAAAGGAACTCCTAAGCTCATGCAGGCATTTCGTAGTTCACACACCCCCCCATACACCATAATCATCAAGGAACGAACATAACGCGCGTCTCCGTTGGCGATAATCTTGTCTAGGCTATTGCGCAGCTGCATAGCAACGTGCGTGTAGGCCATTATACAAGTCTCGCACTCGCGCCTAACCGTCTCATTGGACAGTTTCGCCACGTCCGTATCCTCTGGGGTTTTCACGCCTTCAAGAGCCTCGTTGAGTCGGTCCACATGAGTAGACGCGTTGTAGAAGACAATTTCAAGACTGTTCCTTCGAGAGTCGTCCCGTTTGATCACATTAATCAAAGCAGACACGTGCGACTGGACCTGGAAGAGAGCGAAGAGTATGCCTTTGGCACCTTCGATGATAGGATCTGGCGTTTCCTTTTCGCCTTTGTGTTCTGGCAAACTCGACATCCTATTGACGAAACCGTCCCTCAGTCGTCTGCGTTCCTTGGGGCTGCTTGGACTCGATGAATTACCGCCAGCCCCAGCCCCAGACGGTCTTGTTCTGAGAAGAGAGCCGTGGCTAAGCCCACGGAAGTGACTGTTTCGATATGGACGCGTTTCATCCAAGGTACCCAAATCCGTATTTTTCCGATTGACGACGCCCATGCGTTTGCTGCGGGCAGCTATCGAGGCTTGTATTATTCCCTCACTGTTACTCCGATTGCGTTCATTGGCTGGTATAGGATTAATCCCCGGACGCTGGAGTACGCCGCTTTGGTATGGAGTCTGCCCAGAAGCAATACGATAATGTGACTTGATAGGGATTGGCGGGGGCCGTGATAGTGAAGGTGATCTAGGACCAGAGGCGCCGTCGCCAGTGCTCGGGATAACGGGGAAACGACTGTTTAATCCACGTTTGACGGGTTTAGGGGTCTCGAGTACTGCGTCACTGGGGAATAGTTCAGTCATCAAGTCCGCACGTTTTATTAAACTAGACGCCGTACCTTGGCTCGCCGTTACCTTCCACCTCTGGGGTGGTGTCCAGTTGCCGTGTTTTCATGAACCGTTTCAACTCGGCGGTTACTGCAACTTCTTTTTCATTATCAGACATCGAAGGTGCGATTACTGACTCTGATTCTTCCAACGCTTGTCGCAAAGGGGCTTTTAACGGATTCCCGGCAACTTTCAAGATCTGGAGCTTGCTCATTTCTGAGAGTCCAAGAGGTAGATCTTCGAGGCGATTTTGCATCACTGACAAGACGCGTAGAGAGGTCAACTTCTTGATTTCTTCGGGTAAATGGCTGATCTTGTTTCGGCTGATGTCCAAGATTTCCAGGAGTGGCAATTTATACACCTAGTGCCAGATGTCAGTATCAGCCAGTATCAATCATTAAATGGCAGGCGTCTTACTCCTTTTGGGAACTCCCGAAAATTGTTTGCTCGAATGTTAAGGTATCGTAGGTGGGAGCACTCTGAGAAACGGAAAGGGATGTGGAAGATATGGTTATTCGACAGTGAGAGTCTGCTACTAGTTAGTCTTAGGTCTCCACGCATGTCTTATTCGATTGGAGTCCGTCGTATTTTATGGAGCACTGAAACAGACCCACCTTTCAACTTCATCTTTGACGATATCGACCACTGGTTCGGGAATACGGACAATATTCGAATGGCCCAGATCGATCGTCAATTTTGGCTTAACAACGTCACTGACAGCCTCATTCCCAGCCAGTGAACGCTTGGTCTCTTGGATCCCATTCTCCACCGCGCGACGGGCGATTTCAAAGGTCTCCTCTTGCGAAAGCAGCTTAGGGCCTGGGTGAGGTCTCGCACTGCCGCTGGTCCTATTACCACTTTCGCCCATGTGTACATTGCCTTGTGACATTTCTGATTCACTTTTGGGTCGGCCATCGTTGGTGGAAGGAAGAGGGGGGACATTCGGTTCTAGTGTTCCTCTGCCTCTGGTATCCTCCTCGTTTCCATGGTATAGACGGGGCACCCTAATCGTGTCCTCCGGACGAACCATTGTAGAAAGCATTGTTGATCGCGATAGCTTTGGCAGACAAACCGCGTAAAATAAAAATAAAAAATGGAAAATAGAAAGACAAAGGTCTACCGATGTGTATCACCCGATATTATTATGAACCGTTGTTCGCTCCGAACGAACCATTCAGACGGAAAGGAATTCCACAGGGTACGGAGAGGGATCGAAATAAAGCATTATCAGATGACTGAAAAAATAGCGAAGATATCGACGTGTACACCGGACGAGTGCGACGAGATGGGATTGCGATCCGTGCAGAAAGACTCGGAGTCGGTCCTGAGGCGCAAAACAAAGTCCGGACAGTCACGTCAGTGCTCCGGGGAGGGGGTGGACGAGTTTCGTCCCAGAACAGTGATATGCCGTATAAGCTGTATGTCGGAAACACCCCAAGTGTCCAAATAATAGATCAGTTTACCAACTGAAGCTCATGAGGAGGTGTGGTGGTGAAAATGCACCATCGCTAGAGGGACTTGACGCCAAACACGGAGTCGCGAGACCAGCGCCGACCCGATCGAAAAAGAAGGGAATTCTGCAGCCGAAGCAACAAGGACGGAATCGAAGCAGCGATAAACGATGGAATAGTTCTAGAGGAATAATAGGAATCCAGTCCTATTCAAGCTGTGGAAAAGGTGTTGGACGGTATCTCTTTTTCTGGTTCAGGGAGGAAGAGAGGCAGGGTTGCGGCCCTTTGATTGGCCAATAGCCGCTGTCACTACACTCTTGTATCAAAATGATATTCAAAGAAAACAGAGAATAAGCTATAGAATTGTGTGGAATTATTGAGTATTATAAATTGCAAATTTCTGAATAGACGATTGCATTTGTGTTGTTTATAAGGAAAAAGTGGTGGAAGTGAAAAGTATCCCAATTTTCACTCTTTTATACATACAGCGCATTTTGGCATCGTATCATAACAACCAATGAAAAGAAAAAAAGAAGGGAAAAAAAAAAAAAAAAAAAAGAAAAAAAAAAAAAAAAAAAAAAGAAAAATTTAATAGTATACATGTGCCACAGTGCGTCTGGTATCCGACTCCCAGGACATAACCAACCCATATAAAACAAGTACTATTAACGCCTCAAAGAAGACTACGCCGAGTTGTAGGCTCTGCGGTCACTGCAGCTCCCTCTTCCACGCCTTTGTCTAAAACAGACGCATCCTCGCTCTCCGCACTCTCCGGAGCACCGCTAAAGGACGCTGCTTTCTGGTTCAAGAGCTGAGCTTCCATCTGGGCCCACTCCTTCCAGCGCTCGAATTCCTTGTCCTCCAATTCCATACCCAAAGAAAGCATATTAGGTCCGAATTCAGCGCCGGTTGCTTCGGCCTCTTCCGCAGCAACCCGTCGTTCGATGTCTTCTTGCAGGCGGAGTTGGTAGAATTCACGGCGGGCAATGTCATAAGCTTCGGTCTTTGTTATATCGGGCGTGTTATTCAGAAGCCAGAGTTGACGTTGGACCACACTAGTTTGAGGGAAATGAGAGTTAGTAGGGCAACCAGCAATAGTTTCAAATTCGACGGAAGGAAGCATTATTCCTGAAAGAAAGGAAATGACTAAACACACCTTTCACCATCCAATTTCTTCCCTGGCTGCTGGAGTCGTCCCCAATTGTGTTTCTCAAAGTCTTTGCCGGAAGTTTCAACAAGGATGCGGGGTCTCGCAAGTTCCCAAGGGTGGTCCCGGTAAAACTCCTTTCGCAGCTGGTCTTCTTCAAATTTGATCTCAACTGGTTGGAACAGGCGACTAGCCTTCTTCGGTTTCACTCTCTTTTCCTGGGTTTGAAAGACAACTTTTGGCTCGAGAGTTTCACGATCCGTTTTGATTCGCTGCCGGAAGAGCTGGTGTTGTTGTGGTTGATTCCGCACGAGAACCTGCGCTGGAGGGATATCGCCCACTACATCAACCCATTGCGGGATTTTCTTGATCTTGCCGGCTGCTGCTTGGTTGATGGCCGTCTGCCGCACCCGAAGTGCTGTGAGGTTGAGTTTGCCCATGGCTGTTCGGAGGGCGTGGGAGGGGTAAAAAGACTGGTTCACGGGCTGGTTTGGTTAAAATAGAACAGCATGCGTAGAATTTAGTATTGATAGGGCTTTTGCTATTAAAAAAATAGACACAGTTCCTCCTTTGCACTGCGCTGCGAGCGAGGCCGTGGAGTCAGTCAGTCCGATGTCCATCGTATCAAAAGAGTGTGGTCGCGGTGAAAAAGCGGATTGACAATCCCCGCCTCCGATTGGCCAAGACAGCGGGCTCCGCAAAGCAGAAAGAAACAGAGAGACCAAGTCCTCGCGATAATTTAACCACCGACACCAACTTCCCCTCAGCTGTGTCTTTGGTTTGGTCAGTTATTTGCTGGCCCAACCTTTTTTGTTTCTCTTTTTCTGCTATTTAGCGCCCCTCCACCGTCTGCTTGGAGAGCAGCTTGCCCCTGCTCCCGTCAAGCTGCCTCGAGATTTTTTGCTGGACATGCATGGTTGACCCAATGCCACGATGTCTGCCGCCTCATGCCTCATCCCAATAGATCTCAAAGCGCGTCGAACCCGCGGGCCCCTTTGTCCCAGGGGCCGGAGCGAAAACTGTTTACTAGGTCCAGTTCGATGCCTCGACCAGAACCCTCGTCCCACAATGCCTCGATCAGAAGATTCAGTTCCAGACGTCCACGGCCGACAGTTGCTTCAATAGCAGACGCTTTCGTCAGTTCCCTGGTGATAGCGAGTTTTTGCCATGAGCATTCTCCTCGGGGGAAGAGGATATCTACAATACGCGTGAGTTCGACAAATAATATACCAAGGTGGCATGGCTGGAGTGTGGCTGGAAAGAGGCACTTGTCGTCATCGTCGTCATCGAGGAAATATCTGGACTGTCTAAGGTCACCGGTAGAGAGACTGGGAGTACATTGTTCAAGAACGCAGCGGATGCTCAGCAGTGGGGTCGCGCAGAGTGTAAAGGATTGGGGCCACGATGAGGATTCCTCGGGAAAACGACCAGTGGGGCAAGATTCTTCACTTGAGGAGAGTCGTGAAGAAACAGAGTTGGACCGGGAGAAAGATTTGAATGACGGCCCACCACATCAGCCGCCGGATCGACCAGGTCAAGATTCAACTGCGGATACCTCGACCTCCTCGAATGAACAAAATAACACACTTCCCGATAACAGTACCATCTCACTCGATCCTGAGTCCGATTTATCGATATCGAATATATCGATCCATCCGATCAAATCCCGCACTCGAAGGTTGACTCCAGCGGCAGAAAAGTACATGGCTACTTCGGAGTTATACCATGCAGCCTTTGGAGAAAGTTTGAACTGGGAAGAGGCAGTCGACACTGTTTCTGGAGATACTACGGTTAACCCGCGAAAAATTCGGCGTTTAAAGATCCTCAAGCGTTGGAGGAACATGCATAGGAATACAAGTAAACGGAGTCGCGTTGGTATTCCATCTGTGAGAGATTTGGCCACAGCACTCTGGCAGGAAGAAAAATCGAATCAGTATATTTTTCGACTTTACAGGGATGTTCCCTCTCCTGGTGTGTCCTACTTCTCGAAACGGACACGCGGTGAGCTTTTACGACGTTTTTCAAGACCCCCAGAACGCCGCTGGGTTGATGCTCGCCGTTATCTTGCGTTGGTGGAAGATATGATCTCATCTGGCCTCCCGATGTCTCGTTCTCTATGGACTTCTGCTATTCACCTGGCTGGCCGTGCAGCCGGTAGAGTGAAGAAGCATGACCTGATAAGAGCGATTGGAGTATGGCAGCAAATGGAGCATGTGGCTGGCATCAAATCAGATCATGTTGCCTTCAACACATTATTCGACGTTTCTATCAAAGCTGGTCAATTTACTGTGGCGGATCGGTTAGTAGCGGAAATGAAAAAGCGTGGTCTTGGTTTTGACCGCTGTGGGAAGGTCACCATGATCTACTACCATGGATTGCGGCAAGACTTTGAGGGCATTCGCCGTACTTACAACGAATTTGTGGATAGCGGGGAATTCGTGGACACCATGGTTCTCAACTGTCTGTTGGCCTCCTTCATCCGAGCTGGGCAGGTGAAGACTGCAGAACTATTGTATCTTCGCATGATGCAAGCGCAGGCGACTACGCAGAAACATCTCGTCGATGGAAAAAACCATCATTCACCGACATTATCTTCGGAGTTCAACATCTACCGCAAGAGAGCTCAGAAGTTGACTCGTCTCCTCAAGTTTTCTATGCTCTTAAAAATTAAGCTCCCCGAACATTATGATGCGCTCCAGGACGCATTACCCATGACTCCAGATACACGCACTTTCCACATCTTCCTCAAATTCCACGCCCACGAGTCGGGTGATTTGCCAGGCTTCATGTCAGTCCTGGCAGATATGGAGAACACATTCGCAGTTCCCCCTCGCGGCATGATATACCTGTTGCTTTTCGAAGGATTTGCGCAACACGGGCGCCGAAGGAAGGCTTGGTCCGCTGAACGGTTGCAGGAGGCGTGGAGAGCTTTCCTTCGTGCTCTTCATGAGTCCAAGCACAGAATGGAAGAGCGCTTTCTTCCACAAACACGAAATATTGTCTGGGAGAACCCACTCGCAAGCACGGCTGCAGCTATGGCATTGAAGCCGAAGCGTCCAACGGATGACGGACCAAGTGGGCTTTATACAGCACTACCGTCAGCCACCCCAAGTACAAATGTTGAGTCTGAAGAAGGCCACACCCAGAACTCGGGGCCGCAGATGGAAGAGAATCCAGAGGAAGAGGAAGACGACGAGCTTGATACGACTAGCGACAGCTTTGAAGATATCGAGGTAGACGTGGATGAGCTATTCGGCAGTCCAACACGCGTCCAACCGGAGCCCCAACAAGATGAACTGGAGGAGCTAGAGCGCCGGATCGAAAACGGTGTATTCCTCGGCCGTCGGATGAACATCGCGATTCTCCGCGCCTTTGGTACCTGTTGCGGTCCTGATGAAGTCATGGACGTTTGGATGAAGCTTGAACGTATTTGGCAACCTGAGAAGCGCAAGATGCAGGATGTGATTGTGGTGAGGGAAGAACTGGAGAGGCAATTGAATTGAATCGGGGGCGTGCACTGTGGTGTCTTCAATTCTTTGTATATTATGGTAGACCTGTGTTATATATACCCTTTGGTAAAAATGATATTTTACGAGTTTTTCATTGTAATGTCCTCTCAAAGTCCGATGTTGCAGATATTTCACGGCAACTATTTCATATCGCATTGATGAAATGTTCTATATCCTTAATGACAAATCTTCTATTATCTATTCTATTGAAGCTATAGCAATGAAAATTGCCCTAATTGGCTATATCATTGACAACATAGTGTCGTCCTTATAGGATCACGTGATAGCGCGTACCTTTCGCAGCGTCTCCCGCTTCGACCCAAACCACAGCAACATGTTCATGCTCATACGCTCTGAGCACGACCAATGATGCAAATATGGCACCCGGTGCGCTCAAGCGTCGCACGGTGGACTTAGATTTCTATCTGCATCGAGTTTTCCGCAAGACTTCGTTCCGGTAAGCCGCCCCACCATGTACATACTTAAAAGTACTCGAGACTGAGTAAAAGTCTGAAATATTTGGTAGACCTCTTCAGCGAGAAGTGATTATGGCTGCAGTTGAGGGACATGATATATTTTTACAGGCGTCCACATCATTCGGGAAGAGTTTGTGCTTTCAATTGCCTGCTGTGGTCAGTCATGGCGGTTGGTTGTCCTTTATCGATCTCTTGATGATGGACATTGACTGAGATGTGTAATTTGAATTGCTTTGCGTTCGTTGAACAGTGACGGTGGTTGTATGCCCTTTACTTGCGTTGATGGTAAATCCCGCGGCTGCTGTATTTGATATGCTATGCAAGGTATTGACTGAACTATAGGCGGACCAAGTCAATGCCCTCCAAGCTATCGGAGTAGCAGTGGCGACAATCAACTCGACAACACCAGTATTCGAGCGACGAAAGATCACCGAAGACCTTCTCTCGGGGCATCCCAGAGCCCGTCTGCTTTATGTGACTCCAGAACTATGTCAGACGCAGACGTTCCGGCGGACTCTGCAGACTGTTCATGCTCAGGGGCAGCTTATGCGGGTTGCCATAGATGAAGCCCACTGTATCAGTGAATGGGGCCATGACTTTCGTCCGGCGTATAAGGAACTTTCGTGGTTTAAGTATACCTTGAAGGATCCGGTTGTCCCGATAATGGCTGTTACAGCGACGGCGACGCCGCGAGTCCGTGCTGATATTATCAGCTTGCTTGGGCTGAACGCTGGGCAAATGAAGATATTCAACACGCCGTCTGCACGACCCAATATCCACTACGAAGTCAAATACCTCGAAGACTACGCCGGCGACCCGTTGGCAGCCGAGCCATTTCAAGTAAACAACCTCATCTCATGGCTCCTTTCCATCGACGCCCGCCGCAGGGAAAGATTACGCCCAAACACCACAGATCTCCCTCCAATTTCCGGAATCGTTTATGTTTGTTTCCGCAAAGCCGCGGAAGAAGTCGCCAATGTCCTCACTCACTCCAGCAACGGTCGCATCAATGCAGTAGCATACCATGCTGGCCTCACTGCCGAAGAACGAACGAATATCCAAGAAATGTGGACTTCCCCACGACCGTTTCTATCACCCGAACTACAGGAACCAAATCAACCACTCCCAAGCTTCTCCATTATTGTCGCGACGACAGCCTTTGGCATGGGGATTGATAACCCCTGCGTTCGGTTTGTGGTGCACTGGACTCCACCTAAGAGCTTTGAAAGTTTCGTGCAGGAATCTGGTCGTGCAGGACGTGATGGCCGCGCTGCTGCGTCAATTGTCTACTATAACACGCAGGAACGAGAGAGGATGAATGACCGACTAAAGCGAACGGCACAGGATGCTCCAAATCGCGGGATAAAGAAAGCCGCGTCGCAGGCAAATCTCCAAGCGCAGCTGGAGAGTTTCTCAAAGGTAGTACGGTATTGTGAGACGACGCATCGATGCAGACACGAGATGATCATGGAGCTTTTTGGAGACTATGAGCTTGAAAGGCTACGTACGAATCAGAGTAACTCTGAGAATGAGGTTGTGGAGTCAGAGGAAAACTCGTCTCCTTGCGACTATGCTTGCGATATTTGCAAGGAAGGACCGAAAGCGGTTGCTATGCGTAAGTCGAGGATGGTGGCTGAGAGTACCCCAGAGGATTTTGTTGATCCGGGCACGGCGCATTTTATGCAACTCATGTTTCCAAGGGCTTTTCGTTGAAGAGATTTGAACTGATTTAGTTATCTGCTTCTCATATATGGTGTCTGGGATATCCTGGGTAGCAGTGTGCGTTTTACGGCGTTGTTTTTTTATTACGAATAGCTGCTTCGTGCCTGCTAAAATCATATCCAGCTGCTTTTTTCTTCTCTTCCTTCCCTTCCTTTCCTTTGTCTCCTTTCTGGATAAAGAAAATGACGTATTCACTCGTTTGATGCTGCCTCAATGGTTCCAGATTTGGTATCTTGTTCCTGTTTCGAGTATGGATTCCAAATTGACCGACAATCACCATATACTAAACTGATGCTTGATAAGAGCCGATAAAATATGGTTCCATTCAGTTGCTATCGGGATTCTTCAAGCGACCTTTAAATACTCTAAGTCGAGCATGTCATTGATGCTGGCTGAATTTTATCCATTTGGGCCTCGAATTGAATAATCTAACTTGCCAAAGAATAAATGGAGGGTCATCGAAGCCAACCCCAGCAGAGAAGACGGCATTCGATGTGGGTGTCAAAACGAATCACCGAACGCTTCTCGAGAGCGCGTGGCGGTTTTGTTGTGAAGACAAGTGTTGCAAACATGGACTTGTATTGGGATGGAATTTCTACCTAAATTTGGCGGCCATGTATAGCTGCTGGTGCAGTCAACCTTGTGAAACCCTACCAGAGTCATTGCACTTGGCGGAAGAGGACAAATTGAATTGATAGGACAAGCAATCCAGGGTTCAACAAATCATAACATCGCAACCAAAAGTCTTCTCGAGAGAACAAATGGCTTGGAAAGAACAAAACTGAACGCCTTAAACACGTATCAAGTGTTCCACTTATCATGATCTTTGCCACTGCTTACTGCATCTTACAGCGGCATTACAGTGCGCCCTAAGACAGAAATTGTATGACTAGTTCATACCATTCTACTTGGGCAAGCCAGACCAGCTACAACGCCTCGAAGGCAGGTACCGTCTTGGTTCAGGTCAAAAACAGGGACACTAACTCAGCGCCACAAGGTCTTCTAAACGAAGCCTTCTTTGATGTGAGTGAGGAGAAGCGCCTCCAAAACGGATCAGAACTAAAATCAAATGCTGAAAGTACTTTTCATCCTTACTACATTGCCTGTCGCCCTCTAGCCCTAGCAGGTCAGCCGGCTCAGGCTTAGAGAAAGAAGACGAGACAGAAACCCCGTCAAGAAATGTCCTCATGCGTTTTTCAGGGATGTTCTCAGGAGACAGTGCCAAAACCGTGAATGCTAAATGGCCATCAGATAAGCTTGCAATAAGTTGTAATTCTCGTCTCTCCTGGACAATGTATTAATTCTTCATTTTTCAGCTATTGTAGTATGGACTACTACATGCGCACTGACACCTGGTCAGGGTTCTACTGGAAAATAATCCCATTCGTGATTTCCTCCATGATCTCATGAACCAGCCAGAGAGTATGATATTACATTCAATCATGACGTTGGCTACTTCACAATGGTTTGCATCACGATCAGAGGGAGAAGGAAATCAAGGCTCCAAACGTGAAGGGCTCGATGCAGGCGAGGAACCAACGATGGGGAGAGTAGCAAACGTCGTGAATGGCGGAAATATTTAGCATGTGGAAGATTTCTATGGTCTCAAAAACATGTTATTCCTGATGTCTATTAATTTAAAGGATCTTACAGGGTTCAGAGTGGTATACATTAGCTATCTTTCTAGACTATATGGCTGTACATACTTGGCTGCAGCTTCAGCCACAAGCTAGCGAATTGACAACCTCTCACTCAGGGTCTTCAGAATCAGCATGTCCACATAGAGTTCTTTGATGAACCACGCCCGCAAATCTACCATAACACAAAGCCACCCGTTCTAAGTAAGCCTCCACCCTTCCTGTGTCAAATGAGATCCAAGGTACAATTCATAGACCCGGCGGCGGAGGAACCTAGATGATAATGTTAGTATGCGGGTTTATACACTAATACATTAATACTTACAGCGCTGTAACCGCCACCTCCAGGCGGAGGGGGAGGGGGAGAGCCGGAGCCTGGCGGCGGAGGCGGGGGAGCTTCGCCAGACGGCGGAGGCGGCTGTGGAGTAGAACCTTGCGATTGTTGCTGCTGTTCCTGTTGCTGTTGAGCGTACTGTTGGTAATATTGATAATAGGCGACATAATTCTGGTAACCGCCATATGCAGCGTACGGGTCGGTTCCGTAGTATTGGGCGTATTGCGCACTGTAGTCAGCTGCGCTAATAGCAGCACCAGCACCAGCACCAGCACCGGCGGTGGATGCTGCAGGGGTGGCCTGTCCGGATGGGCTTTCCGTGGCTGGTGAGTATTGCTGTTGGTGATGATTGTTGTAGCTGCCATAACCACCACCGCCGTATCCACCCTGTCCACCCTGTGCACCATGGTGACGATCTCCTCGCTGACCGTAGCCACCGCCGTAATTGTGCTGGGGCGGATTTTCCTTGAACCGTTGGTACTGTTCACGGACGTTGCCGAGCAAGTCATCACAGAGCTCTTTTGCGGTCTTGACATCGTTGGGATCGGGTCCACTGCAGATAGTTAGTGTGTAGATTTATTAGCGAGACATACATGTGATACTTACGCCACGTGCAGATACATTGGCTCATCGCTTTCCCTGCCGGTGTTGTGCTCAATGAAGCCAGATCCACGACCCTTGATTTGGACCTTGCAGCGGGTTCTTTGCTGGATATGCTTCACATAAGCACCGCCCTGTCCGACTACTTGGGCGCGAAGGTTGAATCCGGGAATCGGTTCAAGGTCAACAGGAATACGCTCTTCGGGCCATTTTCGCTGTGATGAAATTAGCTTCTTCTTTACTTTCCTAAGTTTGTCAAGGGCAAAGAATATCCGGAGGTAGTAGGAGCATTCCGTACACGGCCATATTCATCACGTTCCACTGGCTCCGGCGGCTCACGTCGACGGAACCGTCGTTCATCGACAAGGTTCGGGAGTTCCTTCTGCATGAGATCATCGATGATTTCAACGGCCTTCTCGAGCCCATCCTTGTTCGTACTCGTCACATGAAGGAACAACGGAGGATTCTATGAGAGAATGTTAATTAGCAAGCCGTATCTTAACCAAATGGAAAAGTATCACATACCGCGGCAGTAGCCAAGCTCTTATCCGGATAATAATTGCCTCGGGTCGTGACATCTTGAAAATTAAAAGAGATGAGCTTCCTTCTAGACTCAAAAAAGCAGTGAACATGGAAGGCGTACCCGCGCCAGTTTCATCTTTAATCTAAATTCACGCAGCGGAGGTCAGCAGATGCAAATGAGGGTGTGGATGCTATGCAGTTTCAATTTGGGTAAGCATTATCACAACCATAAGGATTGGAAATATAAGAAACCAAAAAGAGGAAAGAAAGGAAGCAGCTAGTAGGTAGTAGCTGGCAGTAAATGCCTGGTGGATCAGCAAGTACAACAAGGAGTAATTACCATCTTTTGAGTAGAGCCTTTTGTGAGAGTGTAGCGATTGCGCAAGTCATTGATCTCGATATCTTTGATATAGTCTCCATCAGCAACGTAGATCTCGGCATTCAGCTTTCCGGAAGCATCAACGTTCGACGGCGAAGCGGATTGCGGTGCGGGACTCGACGTCTAGATAAACAAGTCAGCGAGCGAACCAGGATTAACTGGCAACCCAGTGTATGTTTACCGAGCGAATTGGTGGCACATCAACATGCTGAATACCCTTCTTTGCCTGCAACTGAGCATTGATCTTGGCCGCGGCAGCAGCTGTGTATCGCAATCAGCCTAACTTCATACCCAAATATGCAAAGAACAGTGATCCTACCTGCGGCTGCGGCAGGGTCTCCCGTAGATTTCTTTCCCGTGTCTGCGCCAGGGCTTCCAGGTTCGCGACTAAGAGGGCTGCGAGTGCGAGTAGTTTCGGATTGCCGAGAAGAGGGTGATCGAGAACGACGGTCGAAACGCGACGGCCGTCGGGGCTCTGGTTCCGTCTGATCGAAACGGGAACGCTTACGGCGATCGTCGTCAGCCATGGCAGATACTAAACGACTGACAAACTTGTGACAAGGAGTAGTTGCAAGGATATGCAGAGAATCCCAAGTCGGGTGTACGGTGCTCCGTAGAGAGACTGTGAAAACGACGGAGAAAGGATTTGGTGGAGTTCGAGACGATCCCGGCGGACACTAAGTGAATTTGTATGTACCGGAATGATATTCTGTTATGGCAGTACTATGAGCTGCAAAGTATAAGATGGTTAAGGAATGGAATAAAAGACCTTAGAGCGATCACCTGCCGCTGTGTACCCCGTCAGTCCAAATTACCAAGAAGAGATCTCAGTGAGGCTCAACGCAGCAGATCAGGTGCTGCACCCGCTATCCCCTTTAAGGGACTAGCGGTACTGTCACCGCGTGACGAGCGATGACTCAGCGCTCCGACCTCGGGAGTTCGTCTTTTCCTTTCGATATAAAATGCGAGGCTTCGTGTTGGCCGCCGCATTAGTGCCTCATATCCACAGCTCTTGAATAGGAATTGACCCGTGCTCCCCCGTTTCTTCGCCTGCTAGCCATTGTCGCAGGCCCAGTTTCGGGTGATCATGGCTTTCCGATGTCCCTTGACGGCCGCGGCCGCATCGACACTCTCGACCGCGGCCAGGACCGCTCCTCGAGCAGCCCCCGCTCTTCCTCGATTCGCCTTCTCCAGATCCTCGTCGAGCTCGACTTCTGCTCTCGCCTACAAGGCCTTACACCGTCGCTCGCCTCTCCCGCTGCCCGTCTCGGATACCTCCCCACAATGGGACGCTCCGACGGCCGTCTCCTCGATTCTGTATGAGACCCCTGTGGCGCCGACGAACCCGCCCAAGCGCCATGTCCTGAACTGTCTCGTCCAGAACGAGCCCGGTGTGCTGTCCCGGATCTCGGGTATTCTAGCTGCTCGTGGCTTCAACATCGACAGTCTGGTCGTGTGTAATACCGAGGTGGAGGATCTGTCCCGGATGACTATTGTGCTTCAAGGTCAGGACGGTGTTGTCGAGCAGGCTCGTCGTCAGCTGGATGATCTGGTCCCTGTCTGGGCTGTCCTGGACTACACGGACTCTGCTCTTGTGCAGCGCGAACTTTTGCTGGCTAAGGTTAGCATTCTGGGCCCGGAGTTCTTCGAGGAGCTTTTGCAGCACCACCGTGAGATTACTACTCCCGGGGAGACCCTGGAAGGCCACAAGGAGAAGAAGTCAATTGCGGAGATGAATGAAAACAAGGAATACCACCCCCGTCATCTCCCTCCCAGTCAAGCTCTCAGACACAAGCACGAGCACTTGGATGCTATCACCCGCCTGGCCCACCAGTTCGGTGGTAAGGTTCTGGACATTAGCACTAACAACTGCATTGTTGAAGTGTAAGTTCATACCAACTTTATTCATTAACCCTGAAGAAATATTAACCGATGTGATCAACAGCTCCGCAAAGCCTAACCGTATCGACTCATTCATGAAGTTGATTGCTCCTTTCGGTATCCTCGAGTCGACTAGAACTGGTCTGATGGCCTTGCCTCGCTCTCCTCTTTTCGAGCCGGCTGAGGAGGCCGAGAAGGAGGCTGCTGATGTTGTCGATGCAAGCACTCTTCCTCCTGGTTAAACAGAATATGTCCGCTATGAGTTATTCTGTATGAAAAGAACATGAGCTATATTTTTGTTTATTTATCCTGGTTTAGTTTGATGCCTACACGCAACTGATATTGTAAACTTCCGTTGTCTGTAAAATCCGTTGTGAATTAATACTTTTCTGTCTTACCGTTTGGTGTGTATTGTACGGAATGGGATAATGGCTGTAGCAATGTTGACCGTGTCTAATTGAGATTGATATAAGAATACGACCTTTCAGTACCCAAAAAGCCTAACCTGAACGCCAGTGTCATATCATCCAATGAGTTCTTCACCAAGAATAAAAGGAAATCCCCTTCCCCCAAAAGAGCAGAAATCAAAGCCGAATATGGGCTGAGATTCCCCTGCCGCTATAGTCGATTATAGTTCTATAGTGTTCAATCCGAACGCCAACTTCAGCCAATGTATTCATTTTCAAAGAGCCTCCCAGGGCCTCCTTAATAGCACCATAGCCAATGGTCGAGAGATCCAAGTCAACAGGCAACCGGGGAGAGCGTGAAAGTCCCGGTGGTACATGGAAAGGAAATCGATAATCAATCTGACCAACAACCTCGTCATGCTCGTAGAATGCGGTGGCATTCACTGAGGTAATCTCAATCGTGGTTTTGGATAGGGGCGAAGATATAATGAAATCGGCAGTTGATGAAAAGAGATGTAGCTGAAAGCACACTCAAGGTTAGCTGTCCATGAGACGACTTACGTCTTGGGGAAAATGCATGGGGCACATCAGATATAAGAAGGTGAGAAATGCCCACCGAAAAGAGCAAACCAAGTGTCTTCAGGTATACGCAAAATCAAGCAAAAGAAGACAATAGTACCCTAAAGTTCAGGTGAGTTAAACTCAATAACAGTCTCCAGTATAGGTCACGTACATTGCGGATTGAACAAAGTGCGACTTGCCATCATCATTGGTATCATCGTGAGATCGAGGAACAGGAAGTTGTGGCACTTGCATATCAAATGCCAATTTAGACATTGCTTCACCAAGCTTGGGAAACGTGGGAAATGTGCCCTGGTGGGTCTTAATGGAGACCGTAGTATTGTAACCTGGCACCCGGTGTCAAAAGTAGAAGAGACGGCAAAGGGTATATACTCACCAGAAGCATATTGTGACATCATTTCGCGACCAGCGCTTATGCCATCTGATCCACTTGCGTCCATAGGGCTCCAGAGAAAATCGACTGGAATACCCGTGTTCACTCCAGGGACAATTGAGATATCGCGAGTTGAGACATGAGCAACCGGAGTAGTGTTATAGAGCAACACGAAGTCTGCTAGTGGTACAGTTGCAGAGTACTCTGTCGGGTTTGTAACGTTTATCCTGGTTTTTATAAGAGCCGAAGATTCAGTGGTCGGTCCTAGTTCCAGAGACTCAACCCGTGGGTTCAGTTGATTGAGGGAGCCACCGTATGGAGCTAAAATGTCAATCAGCTAATGGTAGGGTGTAGAGATGTGCAGACTTACGCTTGACGTCCACATCCCCCTCTGCTGGTACCCTACGCACAGCAACGTTCCCCAGCCCTGTTGCGACTTCAGTATCTACAGCCGCGGCGATATGAAGCTGAACCGATTTTCCTAGGAAAATCAATGCTTGGAGGATATCAGCCATGGCATCCTCGTCCGTGACTCGGAGCGGTACGTCCTTCATGGTAAAGTCCACAAACAAAGCGGGGGAGCCATTCGCGTCTACCGTTCGAGTCGAATTTGCAGGCTGCCACTTATGCAGTTCCAGAACTCCAAGCTTCTTTCCGTGGTATAACACATTAGCATCTGCGCGAATGTGCGGAATGTCCACCGTCAAGTTTAACTGCTTTGGCAGTTCAATGAGGACTTTCACCAAAGCCGAGACTCTGGGAGATGCTTCCGGAGAATTTGGATTCGCAAATGGGTCAGGAAGAGAGAAATGCACATTTGACATGGTGAAATTCTGGATAAGGTTGTCCAAGGCATGCCCAGTGAACTGCAATGGTACCGTGACGCTTTTCAGAAGATCCACCATCCATAATGGCGTGCCCAGGGAGGCGCTTTCAGCTCCTCGGACATATATTGTAGTTGTGCGGCCGTTGATATAACTCCTCACAAGGAAGTCAAGCGGCGAGTCTTCCTGCCCCGGGCAAGTTGTCGTCAATTCTTCAGAAAGACCCTTGATCAAGCCACCGACGTCCATCCTAGTAAATTGATCTGGGTCAATCTGGACTTCCTCGGTCCGGACATCCGCCACAGAGATATGGGGTTCACCTGGCGAGCAGTTGGGAACGAGGACTTTGAACCCAAGCGGGGGAATTCGGACAGCAAATGGTAAATCGAGCATGGTAGTGATGGAGGCATCAACTACCATTGCGCCCTTTTCCGCAGAAATATCTTGGTCACGCACAATCAACTTGTCGACCTTGATGTCAGGTATACGAGGGAAGTCGCTTTCTATAAGTACTATTAGCATTTCTAATCAAAGGAGTAGCAGTGACCCAATACAAACCTTCAAAAGCAATGGACTTGAAAACTGTTTGCCTCCCAAGGCTCAATAATCCAGACTTTAAATGTAACGTCGCTTTTCCCTTGACCCGTAACTGACCAAGTCTTCCTTCCAGCCAATCCATGGCCACTGCACGGATGCCGGGGATATCCCCTGTTGCCAGATCGGCCAGGACATCGACATGATTTGTGTGTCCATTCCGGACATTAACTTTAATCGACGGTAACGATGCGGTCCCAACGAGCACATTTCCGTATTCTGGCAGATATACTTCTAAATCCGACTGGCTGGTTTCGATCTCCCTTCCTATCCATGTAGCCATGCGACCAAGGTTTCGAACAGTCCCTCTTTGTACGCGATTGGCATCGAAAACGAAATCCCCTTGTACACGAGCTTGGACTCCATTTGATGTTGCCGAATCAATCGATAGATGCGTGGGTTTAAATACAGTAGCTTCCTCTGCGTATCGCTTTACCGCAGCCGGCGCAGCAAACGCAAATATCAGGACGGCCAGGACGGTTGCCAATAAGACCAAGGTAAATATAATCGGCCACCGTAACCGGGATCTAGACTTTTTCGAGACATCGTCTGAAAATGAAGAGCGACGCTGTGTTGTGTCCGTCCCATACGCCAACGCTTCATCATCGTCCCGACGGGCTAATAGTGGTGTCGATTCGGAGGCCAATTCATACGGTCTGGGTTCTTGTTCCATCAGAGTCGCCGAAGAGTCCATGGCCGATGGAGGTTGAGGATGAGAGGATGATTCAGGGCCTCCGTCCAGCAGAGGTCTATCTTCCTCATCAGCCATGACGGCTGGAACGGGTGGGGAGAACGGGAGATAAGATGATATCGAGAGATAGACAGATAGAGAGTGGGGAGAGGATACAAATTGTACAAGTTATGGTCAGAATGGAGATGGAGAAACCAAGAGAAGAGTATGGTCGATGAATATATAAGAGTTAAGAATGATGGTGTGATGTTGTTGAAGACAGAAACGGAATAGTTGAAGCTCTCCCAGCGCCAACTGGTGATGATCATCGACGTAAGGCGTATTTGTATTACCGGATATATATATATTACATACCAGTACCATACCAAACATACCGTACGACGACCGCATCATTATTATTTTCTGTGCTACATTGACTCATTTATTTTTGAACGCTTTCCGGCGCTGTTCTTTTGAAATCTCTGGATTCTGATTGAATACAAAGCAATTGTTCATATCAGATATCCACATTATTAACTCTCCTCCGAACACCATGTCTTGCGGTCTCAGATTGGCCGCTGCTGCCCGCACTGCCAGCTACAAGTCAATTCCAACCAAAGCTGTGCGCCAATATTCCTCCACCTCCCCCTCATCGCCCGCCATGCCTCCCACCTCGCCTTTCGCACCTCGCCATCTCCTTTCGATTGCCGACTTGACGCCTGTCGAATTCACTGCTCTCGTTCGCAATGCATCTTCGCACAAACGGGCCATCAAATCTGGCACAATGCCCCAGAACTTGATGGGTTCGTTGTCCGGACAGACTGTGGCCATGATCTTCAGCAAGCGGAGTACTCGCACCAGAATCTCGACGGAGGGCGCCGTTGTGCAGATGGGTGGCCATCCGATGTTCCTGGGCAAGGATGATATTCAGCTTGGTGTCAATGAGTCACTCTACGACACATCTGTGGTGGTTTCGTCTATGGTTTCGTGTATTGTAGCCCGGGTCAACAAACACTCCGATGTTGCGGATCTTGCGAAGCACTCGACTTCACCTGTGATTAACGCCCTCTGCGACTCGTACCACCCATTACAAGCCATTGCCGACTTTCAGACTATTTACGAGAGTTTCCCGTCCAAGGGCCACAACCTGTCTAGCTTAGGATTGGAGGGATTGAAGATTGCGTGGGTTGGAGACGCAAACAACGTCTTGTTTGATATGGCCATTGGTGCAGCAAAATTGGGTGTGGACATTGCCGTCGCTACACCCAAGGGTTATGAGATTCCTCCTCACATGCTAGAGATCATCAAGAAGGCCGGCGAGGGTGCCCCCAATGCTGGAAAACTGACCCAGACCAACGTTCCTGAGGAGGCTGTTAAGGATGCGGACGTGCTGGTGACGGATACCTGGGTGTCAATGGGACAGGAATCTGAGAAGATCCAGAAGATCAAGGAGTTCGAGGGCTTCCAAATTACTGCGGACCTTGCGAAACGGGGCGGTGCCAAGGAACACTGGAAGTTCATGCACTGCCTGCCCCGCCACCCTGAAGAAGTCGCCGATGAGGTCTTCTACAGCAACCGGTCGTTGGTCTTCCCTGAAGCTGAGAACCGACTGTGGGCTGCCATTTCTGCACTTGAAGGCTTCGTGGTCAACAAGGGCAAAATTGAGTGAACGAAAATGTCGGTTAAAAAAAAAAATCTACAATCAATCTAGTGACGGAAATGATGGCTCCTGTATTTATAGCGTCACGAATCTACTTTTCTGTAGAAATGCGGGGATTACCCCGGATTCTCTCTTGTATAAGTCAGCAAATTTTATAACATCGCATTTTTCTGATTTTTCTTGTTAAGAAAAGAATGAAATCTGAATTGGAGAAAAAAATAACACTATTTTTTTCTATAAGAACGTCCAGCGCATTCTGTTGTACAGCACTGTACAGCGCAAATGTCGCCAGCTGTGCGCTTTCACATGAAAGTGTCTCGGGCGGAGTCTACTGTATTTCGCCTGCTCTCCCTCTTTCTCCCCGATTTTCACCTTTCATAGCTTCAGGGATATTGTCACCATTGTCTAGGCATTTTCGCCATGGAGGTATGTTACCCTTTACGTCCATTTAACCCTACATCCACTGACCAAACAGCGCTCCTCATCCCGCTCCGGCTTCCAATCCCGCCGCTCCTACCCTTCCTTCAACCACCTCTCGCTTACCCCTTTGAACCCCCGTTACCCCATAGACGATGACGATCTCGAGAGTGAATCTCAAGGCTACTACTCAGCGCGATCCGCAAGCCCAGAAACTGAACGCCCACCCAGCGCCAACGACTACACTAGCACCCCAAGACCCTCGTCATACCTCTCCAGCATGTCCGTTCCAGGAACCCCCGGTGTGTTATCGCAGTCACAGTCTCGCAGTACCTCCCGTACACGTACACGCCATGGCCGGAGCAAGAGCTCAAGTCGCATGCACCTGGATGGTACAAGGATGCGGCGTCGGTCTTCCTCGTCTCGCACGCGGCGCTCGGTCGATAGTGACTCGGAATGGATGCACCGGACAGGGATTATGCTTGCCTCATCGACATTAGAGGAGAAGGGTCAGAGCTGGCTGGTAAAACGGGCGAGTTCGACGAGTCTGGCCTCGGAGGCTGCCAACAATAACTATAACTCCTACATTGAGGAACCTGCAGCTGCAGCTACAGCCTCGTCGTCATCGCGGCCCCGCAGCAGTACCAATAGCAAGGCGGCTAGTCAGAAATTGGGGATGTCTACCCCGTCTAGACCGGGTTCTCAATCTAGTAGACGGGGTAGCAAGCCTGATTTGGCCACATCGGGTCTTGAGATGACATCCTCTTATACTTGGGTACCTACATCCGCTAGCGAGAAAAGCGAATTTACTCCAGACGCCGTGGACGAGCGGATCCGAGCTGAAATGGTCAATATGCAGCACAATGCTGATGTGGACATGAACGTGGATGATGGTGCATCATCATCATCGCCATATGCTTCCGGCGCGTCCTCTGATTCTGAGGACGAAATCGACGAAAAGGAGATGCAGCGGTTGACGCGCGAGAGTGGGTTCGGGCTAGGCAGCTGGCTGGATCGGATGGTTGAGTGGACGTTCTTTGGTGTCGATGAGTGGCCGGCGTTATTCTCAGCTGGGCCTGATAACCGCGATAACCATGATCCAACTGCTCCCCATGGTGAACGGGTCGTAGAAGATCGTCAAGTTACACCAGAAGGAGCAGTTGATAAGCATCTGGAAGATTATTCGGACATCGCTACGATCTTCAGCAGAGACGACGAGAATTTTACTCCCATGGTTGACAAACCAGGAGATGGAGGTGGATGGGAGGATGCAAAATGGTTTTTCAAGACTATAAAGCAGGCCTTAGTGTTGTGATGCGTTCACTTTCTCAACGGTTATTTTCCTTTCTATCTTATGTTACGATCCATGGCCATGACATTATATCCATAGCTACTATATATCTACAGTAATCCAACTAACACCTGTTATGCCACATCAATCCCTCATGATATTGAAACATAGAATACCGAACAATACTTGCGACACTTGACCAGGCAACTCTGATACAAATCATACCTGCAGATTTAGATATCAAATGAGATCTCAGTGCCAATACTTGGTAGCCTTCGGCCAACTCAACATGCATATATTGGTATTTCAGTGCTTATTGGTCACCCTTCTAAAACCGTATCTTATGTGGAAAGCCGCCCCTCAACATGTTGGGTAGGTCAACAGCGTGGGTCTTTCCCTGAATAGTTAAAATTTAAATGGATAGACCGGGCTGGTTAGTTGCAAGTCACGCATCGGAATTGGAGTATTGGGTTACAGATCCCAAGACGTCGGGCCTGGATTGAATAGCCTGACGAGCACTAGAGTCTATTATCACATGCATGGACATCACTCCATCCGGCCCTGTGGTGCCATTCCTGGTGCTCTGTCTCTTTGTTTCCATTACAGTTCTTTGTAGTCTTGATATGATCAAGATGGTTGTAACATACCCCACTATACCATGAAGTTAGTTGTCTCTGGTTGCCAGATGCTAGCATCCCCGACGTGTTTGACGGGCGATTCACAAGATCGGTAACACGCGAAAGATGGACGTAGTGATATTGGAAAGGAATGCAAAGGACCTGTTAATTGGTCAGTCCAGTGTCCGCGCTGCTTTCGACTTATTCATGTGTCCGGTTTTATATACCGCTAAACCAAATTGGCAAGCGTATTTGTTGGGACATTTCGCTGCTTGGAGTGATACTATAGAGCCCCAGGAGATTAGATAGCATTATTACCGGGCTACTCTCCACGGCTTAAGTCTTCGTCTTACGATTCTGGGCGAAGTGGCTGCGTTCTGATACGCTGCGCTGTTCCATGCGAGAGCCGCCAATCCTGAACAAATATTTTGACCTCACTTAGGTTCTTTGTATACCTCTAAGACAATTTTTGGGTTCCACAATAACTTGTTCCGCTGTCATTCGACGTCGTTTGGTGGTATGTCATTGTCAGTCTCGATGTCTTTGCTTTGTCCGTAAGAAGCCATGTGTCTGCGTCCAGAGCGCTGCTTCCTGATAGCGGAGAGAGTATGGTACTTCAACAGGCACGGTGGACCTAGGTTTCTCTGTTTAAGGTGTTCGAATGTGGCAGGATCATGTCCAGGCCCCAAAAGAAGCTTACTATGCAGATCATCTTCATATGATATATTTTCTGTGGCGGGAAGGGGAATGACAGCAGGCTGTTTTCAATATTCAACCAGGTGTCAAGGCGTAAATGAGTGTCTCCTCCACGAAGACGCCGTTTCTTTGCTTCAATGAAGACTATGCTGACCGTGTTACGCCAATGAAGATATTGTGATGAACCTGAACGGGTTTCTTCATTGTCGTATGTATCCTTGTACTGGACGACTATATTTCCGTTGGATCACGAGGGACGTCTCTGGGCTAGGGCCTCAATGATTCGCCTATGACCTTTTTGCCACAATTTAGACCGTTTCAAAACCAACATAACGTCTGGTGACAGCCAAACGTCACTGTCTTTATGAAGGCCGGAGAGGTACTCTTTCCATTCGGACTCCATCTCCATGGATAATGTTGGGTTTCCTCTGGTATGACTCTCGCGTCTGGCCCTTTTCTGGTTGATGCATAGGGCTAAAGGCCCATGATAGCTCGTCATACAAGGAAGTATATATTGGATGTAGTTTTGTTGAAGACATGAGAGCAAGCTGCTTATGAGACACAAGAATGCTTCCTTTTTCGTTAACAGTTGAGGATACATCTTGACGGAATCTGATAGCCAGGGAAAATGCACCTCGTGGACTTTGTTCGGTATTTTGAAGCCGTTGGCCCCATTCCAAGATATCTATTGCCTCGTTATTAATAAGGGAACTAAGCGAAACAATAGGCCATGGGTAGTCATGCTGAAGTAGGCGAGATGGAAGGCTGAGGGTGAAAGAGAATGAAGCTGGTAAGTAGCAGGGCAAGGCAGACGATAAGAACGTTAAAATACAGAGGAGTGGATGCTCCTAAAAGAGTAACACAGTGCATAGACCTCAGTGCATTGTACAGAATATCTGACATACAATGGACACATACTCCGTACATATAATAAAGGTGGCAAATATTACAGATCGTAAGCTAGGAGCCCAAAAGAGCGCCATTCCACCGGGGCAACAAGTGAAACCTGATGAGTAACAGTTGAATGTCCCTTACGAATAAAATTCTGTTGCTGCCCAATTGTGTCAGTGACCAGCTGTGCTCGACTCGGTTGTCGCGCAATGGACAACCAAAAATACCTCTTTTGAGACACGGGATACACAATATAAACGAATTGCTTTATGCTCAACTGTTCGTTTTTGCTATTTTTACTTGACAGAACCCGACCTACGAATAGTTGCAGTATATAAACGAAACATCCAAAGAAAATAGAAAAAGCCATCGGGTGAGAGAATAAAACACAAGGAAAAGGGTATACAAAACAGGTGGGAAGAAGCATTGCAGGTGCAGGCTTAAGGCAGTCATAAATTTATCAGCTCTTGACTTCCCATATGCTAAGCAGATATGTAGCAAGACATTAAGAAAAAAAAAAAAAATAAAAATTAAAAAAAGGGAAGCGGAATGGGAGAGAGATACAAAAGAGATATAAGATAAACGATGAAAAGAAAGAAAAACGGAAAACAAAAGCAGATATTCCACAATAGACACGGTGCAATCTGAAGGAAACGAACAATGATGCAATGATGTTAAACTCGGGAACCCAGAAGACAAGAGAAAAGAAGAAGGTGACGAGACAAATATCCAAAGTATTGCACACGGAAAAGTTAAAAAAAAAAAAAAAAAAGTCCTCTTTGCACACTGTAAACGCCAGTTGACTCAACTCTAGTAACATGCAGTAGGTATCGTGATCATATCGTACGTAGATACGAGCTGTCGAGGATCCGTATCATCGGAATTTCCTTTTGGTTTGTTTTGCGAATCGAGACGAAGGAAAATAATAATGCAGTTCGTGTCTTGCCCGGGAAAAGAAGCGGTCGTAGTTGATTACCAAGGTCCAACCTTGACCGGGGTTCCGAGGCCGTAAGTTCCAGAAAGCAGTTGCTCTCTGATAGATCCTAGCTCATTACTACCAGAACCTCCGTAAGTTTGAGACTCTGGTCCGTGCATCCATCCGAGACTAGAACCCAACTCCTGAACGGCCGCTTGCAGCTTGCCTCCGGAATTCTGATTGTGTTTGTGCAACTTCTGGTCCCAGCCTCCGTATTGTAACTGAATGCCCCCACCACGTTTGGCCGCTTCTCTGATCACCAAGATCCAGGCCTTGCAGATTTCATCGTAGGCGGATTCTCGTTCGATGTTGTTCTGTGGTGTGGTCCATCGCGGTAAGGAATGCACAATATCCGTCGCCTCATCCAGGTAATTTAACGATGTCGATGGCTGGGATTCATTTGGTGGCAGGAAATGCGGCGTGAAATCGCTCAAAGCATCCAACAATTGCCCCAAGGGCTGTCGAACTCGGTTGTAGGAATAGTCGGAGCCCGGGTTGCCACCCAACGGAAACGAGGACTGAAGGTGCGACTGGTAATTTCGAAGCACCTGAAGAGCTGATGTGACACTCGGTCGAGGAGCGGTGTGAACGACCTCATCCATTAGATCTGGGTGGCGTTCGCACATGGATCGCAGGACCCCCCGTAAGGCATCGGTATCAAGGGTTTCCATCAAACGGGGAAGGGAGAGCGGTCGGCCAAAGACGTTCGGCCGAGCACGCTTTGAGATGCGGCCAGAAGGGAGCGGTCGTGGAGCAAAGGCAGGGGAGTTGGTGGGAGAAGCTGACATGCGTCCGTCATGGTCGTTGTCATCATCAGCTTTCCGCTTGCGGTTGCTGGAGTAATGGATCGGAGTGGACACTAGGAGATTCTGCAGTCAGTACCACCGATTTGGAATTTAAAGTGTAACCCCCGGATTTGAGCTTACTTGGACGAGATGGAGAAAGATGAGGAGGCTCGTAGAAATGAGGCGGCACAGGTGGTGTAGCCACCAGGCTGTTCATGATGGCCGGATACGCAGTGATTTCGATAGGGGAGTTGTTGGGGTTGGAGAGCGTCCGGGAAGAAGACACAGCACTAGTCGGGCACGAGGTGGTCGAAGCAGGATATTTGAAGAGAGATTCAGGAGTGATGCAAGGGAAAAGACAAGAAAATAACAGAATCAATAACAGAAAGAAAGGAGCGAGAATTTGCCTGGTAAAGAGAGGGAATAATGGTGGGGAGAGCCTGAGAAAAGAAGAGAAAAGCGGTGGAGCGGCAGACGACGCACGCCTCTTGCGCAGGTCATGACACAGCAATAGAGTCACTTATACCGTTACAACTATGCGACTATATCAGAATGAAATAAAGAATTCTCTAGTTTCATATGTTTCTTTCGCGTACGACCAGATACACACGGTGAAAGAAGCTCAGAAAAATCGTAGAATTCCTTTTTCTATAACCCGACGCCGGAGAATGCAGAACACCGACACCAATCTAAACTAGACATAATGAGGTAAAAAAAAAAAAAAAAAAAAAAAAAAAAAAAAAGGTATACGAATTATCTACAGATACAAAGACTGAGCTGCAACGATGTCCCGGCGCACCTTGGTCAGAGCCTCCTCAAATTTACCCTCCAGCTCTTCGCTGCCCATGACCTTGGCAGCCTGTGCCATCTGTCGCAAACACTCTTCCAGCCGGCGGAAAACACGGATCAAACTACCTTCGTAGACGTCGGTCATTTTGCTGGATCGAATCGGTTAGCATCTGAGATACGACGGTAGGACTGTCGGGGACCGTCGGGGATGGCGGCGGGGACACTCAAAACTTACCAAATTTCAAAAAACGATTTGCCGTTGGCCCACTCGTAAACAACTTCCATAAGTTCCCAATGGAAACTATTCACATATTCGTCCTCGTTTACTGCCAGCTTAGATTCCTGGGAGACCTTGGCGACGGTACGGGCCTGATTTTGGATTTCCCTGAGGGGTTTGGCAAGTTCGTCCCTTGTCAGGGCGGGGGTCTCCTTCGACTTCTCCTCAAACACGAACACGCTGATGATCGCTGCGATTTGTTCCGGCGTAAGATTGTTGAAGAAACCGTTAAACAGAAGCTCACTGAGCATCAGCTCATCGCCCGTACTGATTTCACACGCCACACGTGCCTTCAACTGAACAACATCCGCTTCGTTGAGGAACCCGAATCGACGAAGCACCCGTCTGCGACACTTCAGCTCTTCAAGCTGCATAATGGCCATGGCATCCTTAATCTTATTCTTGGTGTCCTTGATCTGGTCACTCAGCTCCACCTTCTTGGAGTATTGCTCATACAGCTCTGGCAACCGTGGCGAATTATGCAAGGGGTTCGAAAGAAGACGGGATTCGAGAACTTCAATTTTCTGTATTTTGCAGTTAGCATCAACAACGCGCAGTGGGTTAAATAACGCAAAGTAGTAAGGAGCATCTTACCCTTAGATTCTTCTTGAAGCTCTCGTCCTTGATCTGCATGTCTTCGAGTGGGTCGATAAGAGCAACACCGTCAGGGAACCGTCTTTGAACCTCGCTGATGACCTTCTTCACGCTGTTCCTCGAGTCTGCTGACTTCAGGTCCTTCGGTAAGTGAACTCGGATATGCGAAATGGCACTGACGCAGGAGAGCATGACCGGCACAACCTCCATTTTGCCTTTTTCACCATCCTTTGGAGGGTAGACGCCGGATGGCAGATCTTCGTAAGTCTTGGTGCCAACAGACGTTCCATCAGAAACATTTAATAAGACGTCGACGACATATTTCTGATTATCGGGGATCTCTTCGGGCTTCTTGAATTGTTTGCGTTCCTTGTAATTCACGAGGACGCCCCAGCCAAAATCAAGGCCCTTGTGCTGGATCTGGATGAAGCGGCCGGGTTGGAAGTATTGCAAGCAGTAATTCGGATGCATCATAACGTATTTCACGTCTTCAGTAAGCTTGTCAATATGGTCCCTCGTCTCGTAGTACTCCCGAATGGTTCCTTCATCAGAAATCTTCATGTTGGCATGCTGCTCGTTGTATTCAAGAAGCTCTGTACACAATGATTAGTACTGGAAGTGAGTAAATTACAAGCCATGGGTGTGCACGTACGCTTCTCAAAATGCGAAACATTCGCGGTGTTTTGGAATTGGAAGAAACATCTCTCGAGCATGAATTCCGGTGAGATACCCTCAACACGCATTAAGTTGAGAACCATGTTGTAGCCCAAGTGGAAAGCCGAGTTAAGCCTGTCCTGTTCACCACGAACGATCTCCTTGGCCACTGCCGGGTCCATTTCCTCTCCTATCATCATGATAACAATACCACGGTCATCGAGACCTCTTCGTCCAGCACGACCCGACATCTGGACGAACTCTGAAGGCGTCACCCAACGTTGGCTGAACCCGTCGAACTTCCGGACACTAGTAAACACCACGGTCTTCGCAGGCATGTTCAGACCAATAGAGAATGTTTCAGTGGCAAACAGGACTTTGATGAGACCCTCTTGGAAAAGAATCTCAATGGTCTCTTTGAGAATCGGAAGAAGACCAGAGTGGTGAACACCAATACCCCTCCGGAGCAGTGGCAGGATGTTTTGAATTTGTGGCAGGTTCCGATCATCTTCAGACAGCATCTCGATGGCGCTATTGAAAACTTTGCTTACCATCTCCTTTTCTGAATCGTCGTTGAATGATAGCTTTTTCAACTGAATTGCACCATTCTCACATTCGCGCTTGCTGAAACTGAAAACAATAACCGGATTGAGATTCTTGAACATAATCATCCTGATAATCTTCTGGATGTCGTTCTGCTCTTGTGTGCCACCCTTATTCAGCTTCTTATCCTTGCCCTTGCCCTTTCTTTTAGCCATGGCATCCGCAGGATCGTCCCCTTTCTTATCTGCGATGGCACTCATTGCCTTTTGGAAGTTCTCCTCGCGGAAGACTCCTTTTTCATCAACAATGAGGTGGATACCTTCAGCCCCATGAGGATGGAAATAATGTTGGAGCGGCGTTGGCCGGAAGTCCGTATATACGACGTGACATGGTTGATTGTGCATTTTTGTAACCCACTCGGCGAATTGCATGGCGTTGGGAATGGTCGCAGAGAGGAAGACATATCGGACCTGATCCGGTAAGAGAATGATGGTTTCTTCCCAAACAACACCCCGGATCGCATCGCGCATATAGTGAATTTCATCAAAAATAACCCATCCGACTTCACGCATGATTTCTGAGCCACGGTACAACATTGATCGAAGAATCTCCGTTGTCATGACAAGGCATGTCGCAGTAGGGTTGATTGTAACATCACCTGTCATCAAACCAGCATCTCCAAATTCCGCTGCAAACTCCCGATACTTCTGATTGCTAAGCGCCTTGATGGGACTAGTGTAGATGACTCGCTGGTTGTTCTTCAGACACTGTGCAATGGCATATTCTGCGACGACGGTCTTTCCGGCACTAGTGTGGGCGGACACGAGAACACTCTCCTCCCTCTGAATTGACGAGACGGCGACTTGCTGGAAAGGATCGAGCGTAAAAGGCCACACTTTGGCGGGGTTCTCTGGAGGCTTGTGTTGTGAAATAGGAACGTACGGGTAACCTGGCGGAATCGCGACCTGGTGTCGGACTTGATGCGACAGCTTCACTGGCTCTTGATCTTGAGTGGTCTGGAGGCCGGCAGATGCTTCCAACTCACGTTCCTGCGCTGTCTCAAAGGTATCCAACACCACGGGTTCCGGTTCGTTCTCGAGTCGCGGCCGTTTCGTATCGGGCTGTTCGTTCTTGCTAGTTTCGGGGGTAGGGTCTTCGATCACGGCAGGTTCTGCAACATCATCGTCAATGTCCTCGGCGGGAGGCGCATCTGTAACGATCGTATCTTCATCTTCCTTCGCTGCACCGTTTCCTTTGACATCGCCGTTGGCTTGACGCTTTTTGCTCTTGTCCTTCTTCGGCCGTCTAGGTGCGTCAGACGGCTTGATCGTCTGAGGCTGATCGAACACATCGAAAAGCTCATCCATTGTCAGCGAAATCCGCAAAGGATGAACGAACTGGTACTGTATGTGTTTGTGAGCGCAACAGATACCGCGACAAATTTCACGGTTTCTTTACGGAAGGCGGCGTGTGATTGGCCCGCGGATTCTTTTCAGTGGCCGCCGGTCAAACCGTCTAAAATAGGAAGGTCCCACGTGATCGCGCTTCCGCAGAACCGCCGAAGCCGCTTCTGAGCAACTTCGCTCCCGTATTTATCGATTGATTGCCTGATTCCCCCTCCACACCGGACTATCGCGCCCTGTTTGCTCGCACCGCAAAGGTATGTTTACTGTCAATGAATTTGCTGTCAATTGTATCTAACGCCGTATCAAGATGAACGCTGCCGTCGCTCTCCGCGCCAGAATGGCCACCTCCGCCGTTGCTCGCCGTGGTTTCTCCACCACTCGCGCCCAGCTCGGTAGCCCATACCACTACCCCGAGGGCCCTCGCTCAAACATTCCTTTCAACCCTCTGACCCGGTTCTTCTTCCTGAGATACTGGGCCTTCATGAGTCGGTTATCCCTGTCACTCGGAGTTGCAGATGTGTGTGGGCTGACATTTGGATTGTTATAGCTGTTGGTTTCGGTACACCCTTCGCCATTGCTGGTATGCCCTTGTCCTCCCTACAATTACCATGTCTGGAAAGCGATTGTCTAACGAATATCTTCTTCCAGTCTGGCAAACCTACAAGTCCGGTTAAACACCCCTCTCTTAGATTGTATTCCTTCCGTCATGGCATCCCTGGGAATTGGGACAATGAGCGAACACGGTTTTCCCCATCCAGAGCAATCGGATTATCTCGTACACAATTAGAGAATTACATTCCATTTTGTTCCCAGAATTTGTCATACAACGAGTGTAGTCGTATTGTTTGAATAAACTGTTGGCCCAGGATTAGATTATGGATGAAGTCATTGGTCAGCCTTTTTCTGCCGTCAGAAAAATTAAAATCCCGTGACATGCATTTCCCCAGTTAAACAACCATCCAAAACAACAAAATCGATTTTAAATTAAAAGAAGAAACTTAAACATTTAGCTAGCTGCTAAATGACCAGCTTCCTTAGGGATTAACTCTTCAATATCCCAGCAGCGCTTTACGCACCGAGGGTCTTGTCGATTCATGGCGGCGGGGCTATAAAGAACTTCGGGGAAAGAACATGCGCAACCTCAAAAATGTGCGCCTCGCAGAGGTACAGCTTCAGAACGACCTCCCTTTAACAGCGACAGCTTGGGATGCTGGCTCAGATGCAGTGGTTTGCACATTTGGACCTACGGAAGAAAACCCAGTCATCGAACTCCGGAGAAAGCGTCAGGATGCATGCTTTTCAGACCCTGTCAGCGCAGATGCGTTTGAGTCTATCGCGTCGTGGGATGCGCCGTGCCCACTGCCTGATTTTCCCTGTGATCGAGTGCTTTCTCTTCACTACTTTGCAGACAACCTGACAGCTTGTCTAGTGCTGGAGGGAGGAGATATTATTGTTGTTCGAGAGGAACCTCTACCCGGCGAGGACAAGATTGAGATTCTGGGATCCGTCGATGTTGGTATCACTGCAGGCGCTTGGTCTCCTGATGAGGAGATGTTGACTCTTACTACAAGGGCCAACACGTTCCTTTACATGACTCGGGAGTTCGAGAACGTGGCGGCCGTTACGCTCACACCAGGAGATCTCCAGGCGTCGCAGCATGTTTCCGTTGGTTGGGGTAAACGAGAGACACAGTTTCAAGGAAAGCGAGCCAAAGCACTTCGCGACCCCACTGTCCCAGAGAAGGTCGACGAGGGTAAACTGAGCAGCCATGATGACGGCAGTACCACGATCACCTGGCGTGGAGATGGTGCTTATGTCGCCGTCAACACAATTGAAGGAGGTACTCGTCGAGTCATTAGGGTTTATTCGAGAGAAGGTACCTTGGATAGTGTGAGTGAACCTGTCGATGGACTCGAGGGTGCTCTGAGCTGGAGACCCTCCGGTAATCTCATTGCTGGTGTTCAGCGGCTCGAGGATAAGATCAATGTGGTTTTCTTTGAAAGGAATGGCCTGCGTCATGGAGAATTCACGCTCCGTCTCACGGAAGAAGAACGAAGTTCGTGGGCTTCTAACATCTACCTCAATTGGAATGTCGATTCCACGGTGCTGGCAGTCCGCTTCAGGGACAGGATACAGTTCTGGACAACGGGGAATTACCATTACTACCTCAAGCAGGAAATACCTGTGCTAGTAGACCCAGAGTTTCCTCTTTCATATTCTTTCAAATGGCACCAGGAAAAAGCCTTACGTTTTGTCGCGAGCTCTTCAGGTTCAATTCTGGATGTGGAATTTGCATTCGACGTTGCAAACGGTTCAACTTTCATCCCCCACGATGTTGGTGCTGTGGCAGTTATCGATGGCAGTAAGTCTTGATCCCTGTGAAGTTTCTGGGAGTTTTCTAACTCGTAGAAGAAAATCTCAAGTTGACCCCCTTGAGACTATCAGGGGTGCCACCCCCAATGGCTCACAACGAGTTGACCCTTGATTCAAATGCCATCGATGTCGCATTCAGCAAGTCAGGTACACGCGTTGCTGTCTTGATGAACGACAGTTTCTCCGTCTTCTTGTGGGCCCTGAAGAACCGGCCGGTTCCTACCCCGATCCTAGAGTCCAGTTATCCGATTTCAGATGCACCGGACAGCCGACCACGCCAGATCACTTTCTTGAATGAGACTGAAGTATTTGTGCTTAAGAACAGCGGTCCGAATGACGCCCAGATTGAACGAACTACGTTAGAGACCCGCGTGACCAAGACCATACATCAAGCAACGGACTCAAAGCAACTGTTCTCTATCTTCCCATCTTTGGGCCATGAAACACTGTGGATTTCACACGTTAGCCAGCATGGACAACCAGTTTCTTACTCCAACACCGAGCAACTATCAGGGGATGAATTTCAAGTGGCACCCTGGCCTCAGTCTCCAACTGTCGATACTCACTGGGCGAAGGCTGTCCACGTCTCAGAAAATAATAATATCTTGGTTTCGATGACGAGGACAGGGTCTCTGTATGCGAACAAGCAGTTACTCGCAAGGAACTGCACTTCGTTCCTTGTAACCACTGCACACATCTTATTCACCACTTCCCAGCATCTTCTCAAATTCGTTCATCTGAATAGTGTCGAAGAGTTGGAAGTCCCTGGTGATACACCCGAGACGGACGAACGGTGCAGAAACATCGAGCGTGGAGGAAAGTTGGTGACGGTGACGCCATCAAACTTTGCTGTCACTTTACAGATGCCTCGTGGCAATCTCGAAACGATATACCCACGAGCTCTCGTCCTGGCCGGAATTCGAATATTTATTGACTGCAAGGATTATCGGTCTGCGTTCATCGCCTGCCGTAATCAGATGGTGGACTTGAATATTCTCCACGATTATGCCCCGGAGCAATTCATGGAGAATGTCGGGCTGTTTGTTGATCAAATGAAGAGAATCGATTACATTGATGAGTTTTTATCCCGTCTAAGGTAAGGCTTCTTGCTCTACCTAAATTCATTCGATATACTAAATGTGATCCAGTGAGGACGACGTTTCGCAGACTCTTTATCAGGATACACTCAAAATCGCCAAAACCGAAGCCACAACCACGGCCCAATTGGATACAGCAACGCCTAAACCCCGCAAGCTCCCTGGAAAAGGTAGTAAAGTAAACCGGATCTGCGATGCGTTTCTGGCAACCTTGGAGAAGCGCATAGACACCAATTTACACAACCTTATTACTGCGCATGTTTGTAAATCGCCTCCAGATCTCGAAGCCGGTCTGCGGCTTGTTGCCCGTTTGAGAGGTTAGTTCCATCATTGCACTAGCAACGCTAATAAGTCACTGACAACCGGAACAGAGCAAGATTCGGAACAAGCAGAAGATGCTATTGAGCACATGTGCTTCTTGACAGACGCTAACCTCCTCTACAACCACGCTCTGGGACTGTATGATCTTGAGCTTACATTACTAGTTGCTCAGCAGGCTCAGAGAGTTAGTACTCAATTCCAAAATCACCTCATACATTGCTAATACCGTCTAGGATCCCCGCGAGTACCTCCCATTCCTGCGGAAGCTCCAGCAGCTCCCTGAGCTTCGAAAGCACTTCGAAATCGATAACTACCTCGGCCGCTGGGCCAAGGCTTTGAAGGGACTGCATGCAACAGGCGCAGATGACGAGCTTCGGGCATACGCCATCAAGCACGACCTGTACAAGGAAGCCATTGATGCTTACAAGTACCAGCCCGAGCAGCTGCGGGACATCACCCACCTCTACGCCGACTATCTCCGCGATCAGTCGCAACACAAAGATGCAGGCATTGCGTACGAATCGCTTTCCCTCTACGACGATGCCTACAAATGCTTCAACATCGCCCATCTCTGGCGCGAGTCCCTCTATTGTGCAATGATGCTCCCTCTCCCTGAAGCGGAACTCACTGAACATGCTCTCAACCTAGCCAACACGCTCGTCGAAGAGAGCCGTGACTATATTTCCGCTGCTACTGTCTACATGGAGCACCTGCACGACATCGACACAGCCGCCCGCCTCCTCTGCCGCGGCTCCCGTTTCGCAGACGCAACACGCATCCTCGCCCTCAATGGCAAAAAGGATCTCATCTCCGATATCGTTGATAGCGGTCTCGCAGATGCAATGGGCTCGATGACCGATCTCCTCGCCGACTTCCGGTCCCAACTCAACGCGCAAGTACCCCGGGTCCAGGAACTCCGCATTCGCCGCGCTGAAGATCCGCTTGCCTACTTCGGAGGCGATCCTACGACTGGTGAAGGTGTCGAGATCCCGGATAACGTCTCCCTCGCCCCAACAGAAGCCACCACGCTCGCTGGCCGGAGTATGTTCACAAGATATACCGGCAACACGACGTCCTCGCGACAGACATCCCGCACACGCAGACGCGAAGAACGGAAGCGCGCACGCGGTAAAAAGGGTACTGTTTACGAGGAGGAGTATCTAGTTAACAGTATACGACGACTAATCGAACGCGCCAACTCGACTGTATCCGAAGTGGAGTCGTTGGTTGATGCGCTTTTGAGACGGGGCATGCGTGAGCGCGCTGCTGCTATTGAGAAGGCGTTACAGGAGGTTTTGAAGATGTGCGCTGATGCGCGGGAGGAGGTGTTCGAGACGACTGCTCAGCAGGAGGTTGGTCTGGACCAGGGTGTTGAGAACGTAAATGGTGAAGAAGGCTCCAGGCCGGCCGGAGGGCAGGGTGTCTTTTGGGACAGCATGGTGTCGACCACGGCTACTGGAAAGCCGCGTGATCCTCCACCGGTTAAGGAGATGAAAATGTCTTCTTTGCTGGCATGAGATAGTTTAGGGCCCTATGATGATGATTATGGTCTATGGACATGCTGCACGTCGTCCCTTTCTGTTTTATGATAGACATGCTGGTAAAAGTTATGAAAAGTTAAGTTTACTGAACATATTTACAAGAGTGCATTCATATATCTCAGAATGATCACTGTATTAAATGTAAAATATAACCCGAAATAAATAGAAGCCGGAAGATAAAGTAGGTATGGTATGATACCTTATATGCATGTGCGTTTAGACAAGTTGCGCTGCAATGACTCGCTCAATGAAGAACAACAATGGGTATCTTGGTTGACACATTCAATATTCATTGAGAGATGATATCACCTGTTTCGCTGACAAGGTGCTCATCCACGCTGATGGGGCCCTCCCCGACGCCAGTCAAGATGACCCGGCTGACGCCATCCTTAATTCCCTCAACAGCCCTGGAGTCCAGCTTGTCAAGAGCCACACCTGCAGAGACGTTCTTCAAGGGCTCGTTGAATGGGCCATCCCAGCCCTCGGCACTAGCGCCGAGGATGGCCTTGATGGTACCAGCAACAAGCTCAGTATCCTTCTCGAGGTAGTAGATGACAGCGTTCGGGCCTGCGTCAAAGGTATACGCGCACACGGTCTGGCCAACGACACGGTTGATGTCGTGCACAAGGCGGACAGCAGCGCGAGAAACGTCGTTCATGTAGAAAATCGGCGGCCACGAGTCCAGGCAAGTGGCATGGAAGCCATTTGAGTCACGCATGGTGATCTCAGCAAAGGCGGGGAAGTCTCGGCTCTGGATAGCCGTTTCAATGGCCGCCATGCGTTCGGGAACAACGGTCTTCGCCCGAGTTTCGAACAGGTTGGAAGTAGCGACAGTTGTCTGCATACCCTCAGTGCTGGGGACATCCTTCTTATCAGCGCTAACAACCAAGACCAGCGCACGCATCTCAGGCCAGTGCGAAGCGGGAGCAACTTCCTCAGCCAGGCTGTCACTGCCATCAGCGAGTTCACCTGCTCGCCAGGCCACGTATCCGCCCATCAACGACCGACAAGCAGAGCCCGATCCCTGACGAGCAATGCGACTAAGCTCCCGAGGAGATTGGGGCAATTCATAGAGATCTGCCACAGCGCGGACAAGCGCCGCAAAACCAGCCGCAGAACTTGCGAGACCGGCGGCTGTAGGGAAGTTGTTCTCAGAGACGATTCTCAGAGGAAGAGCGGAAAGTTTCGGGAGGGAGGAATCGGCATCTTCGACAGCCTGGCGGTGGGCACGCAGGTTCGCGAGACAGGCAAGAGTCCGCTTCGAGGACTGGATCTCTTGGGGCTTGCCGTTCAGGATGAGCTCGTCTGCGGCGGGGTAGGTGGCAGCGGCAGAAGCAGTAGTGAGAGTACGCAACGATTTCTGAGACAGCGTAACGGAGAGCGAGGAGTTGGTGGGCAAGTTTAAGCTAGGGTCTCTCTTTCCCCAGTACCTATAATTTCAAGTCAGATGCATTCTCAGCGGCAGATATATAGGGGACTATTTCACTTACTTGATCACGGCAATGTTGACAGGCGCCGTAGTAGTCGCTCGAAAGACCTTGTTATCAGATGCACCGGCCATTGTGTTTGTTTGAAGATGTAATAAGAAGGAAGATGAGGTTCAAAAGGTGATCAGGGGCAGGGTATCACAGTTGAGGGGACCAGATTTCCCAGTCGGGCAATTTGGCAATTTCCGTATGGGTTGGTCGCGAAAGCGGTGAGCAGTGTCAGAAATTCTTCCTCTCCGCCTTTGGATGCGCTTTTTTACTAATTCATCCGAGCTATTGTTCCCCTCTAAAGCCGGCAACAATGGGTGCCGGTGCAAGCACACAGTCGCCTCCCCCGGCAGACACATGCCCAGTCGATCACAAGACCCGTGAGGTTTGGCTCCAGCAACACCGTGCTTCTGGAGGTGCTCCTCATCCACCACCTCCATCCGCCGATTCCGAGCCTCGAGCCAAGGGACAGCGACCTCTTTCTGTAGATCGCGAAGTGAGCAGCATACCTCGCGCATTCGAAAACGGAGCGGATCCATCACAAACTGCATCAGAATGCCCATCACCATACGCCGCATCACACGATACCCCATCCAATGCAGAAGATGAAACAGGCCATGACAAGACCTCCGGAAACTGGATATACCCTTCGGAGCGTCAATTCTTTGAAGCCCTTGTGAAGAAAGGCAACACGCCAACTTCTACCAATTCGCCAACTGAATTAGCAACAACAGTGGCGTCCATTATCCCCATTCATAACGCCGTTAATGAGCGTGCCTGGCAGCAGATTCTAGACTGGGAAAACAAGGCTCCTTCTTCGGACCCTGGGAGCCGGAAATGCGGTGGTCCGAAGCTTTATTCATTCCGCGGATTGGGTGTTGACCCGCAATTTCTGAGTCCTCGCGCGCGGATCAATAGCTGGATGGGCTACCAGCTGCCATTTGACCGACACGACTGGGTTGTTGAGCGATGTGGTGGGGAACGAGTCGAATATGTGATTGACTTCTACCAAGGGAAGTCAGGCGGAACAAGTGCTGCCCCTGGGTTGACATCCAATGCTGGTCCCGGAAAACTAAGCTTTTATCTGGACGTACGGCCCAAGCTGAACAGCATCGAGGGTTGGCGGATGCGATTCAACCGGTACATTGGCTAATGCGATGCTAATTTATAACATGCAATCTCCCCTCCGTCCCTTTTCACACCTCTTTTCCGAACTGCACATATGAAAGCGAATAAGGAGTTAAATACCGGTTTGATGGAATTCACATCATTGTGTCATGTATAACAACGAGTCATGTACGATAACAATATCTAGAGATAAACGAAACAAGAAAAAAGCATAGCATATACTGTCTCTTTCACACCATTAACGCCGGAAACACAAAGTAACAAATAACCATAAGCCGTATACATCGAGAAAGGGATATCGTAACGAACGAACAAACAAAATATCTGATCATAGCAGGTGCATAGGCGCAGGATGGCCAAGCATAGAGATTTATTTATCCAAGGGTTGCCGCTAAGACAATGATAACCAGGATAACGGCAAGAATTACGAGCAGACAGCATGCCTTGTTCCGCGCGTTCTTTTGATACCGGCTGGCGCTTCGAAGCTCGGAATTCGCGCCCTGGGTATTGGACCCGACATTCTGAACGTTCTCACCAATAATGTCCAGCTGACTACCTTGCTCATTAACGATATGCGCGACATCCCGGAAAAGTTCGTTAAGTTCTCCAACGCTTTGCTCGATGTTGCGGATCTCCGACTCGCGCTCAATGATCAAGGTTTCCTGGAAGTCCACTTCGTTTTGGTTCGCAAGGCGGGGTTGCTGTTCCAACTGTTGTTGCTGTAGCTGCTGTTGAGCCTCTGAGTCTGCTGGGGGGAGTTCGCCTTCATCCATGGCTGTACGAGCAGCAACGGCGGATGCTCGCTGTTTCTCCAGAGCACGACGTTGGACGGTCTGGAATTCCTCCAGGGTACTCTTGAACTCAGCGGACAACTTCTGCTGGGTCCATTTTTGTGCGGGCTGGAGTTATATGCGTTAGCTTGACATACAGAAGGTATCCCAAAATGGTTAATGTCCAGTAGCATACATTAACATCTTCCCATGCCGTTACTTTCTTCATACCATCTCCCACATCTTTGAATCCCGAGCGGGTCTCCTCCAGCAGATCATGTACCCGTTCGCGCACGCGATCTGTATCTCGTTTTGTCCCTAGGAGAGCGATCTGGTTCGACAAGCGAGAGATATTCGATGTCAAGTTGAACAACTGATTGGAGAGGGTCTCCGTAAGACGGTGGAATTCGGGATCATCACGGTACTGGGGATCATCGGAACGGCGGAGAGGGGTAGTCTGGGACTCCAGGGTGTTCAAGCGATCGAATGACATGGCTTCGGATGAATAAGTAGGAGAGGTGGATGGTGTGAGTTTGTTGATGGGGATGCAGCGACGTGCAGCATGCAGTCATACAAAGAGGAAGTGGTTTGGCTGCCTTGGGCAAGTGGTGGATGCCCGGAATCACAGGCCGCTATCACATGATAGGCCGCGCTAGTCCGCTTTTGAGCTAGTGTGGGTACGGCTTGAAAGCCACATGTAAATCACCTGACTATGTGGCTGTGGATGTGGCTGGTGTATTTTGATGCTTTTGGGTCCGAAAAGCTTCATTTTGTCGTTGTTTCTTCAACGCCCGCCCAACGCCCTTTTGTTCGACCAGCTTTCTGCAGACTGCTCCACTAGAGCTACTTGTCATATTACCGGTGCCGCGGCCTTGAACATGCTGTGAATTTTTCTTTCTCCATTTTTGTGTCTGTTCGGAGATCTCGCAGTCCTTTCTCCAGCTTCCACTATGGCTGCTGTTCGACCTCGACCGTATAGGCGCATTTTAACCTCTGCGCTGCACCGGAGGTTCGTTCATGCCTCTGCTTTGGCGATCTTGGTCTGCTATGTCGTTGCATTCGCAATTGGGGATAAGTCGTCCTGTAAGTACCTCAAGAGTAGCTCTTTTGAGGCCAGTAGCTAATTGCTTGTCACATAGTCTTCTGGTCATGGTTCCCAATCGGCGGCTGCGGTATTCGTACCGTTCTTCTCTTTCTCTCCTATTTGGTCGTCTTTGTCCTACGCGTTGGTCAGATGCACATCGGCTCGAGAACAACCACCTCCTCGATCAGTACCGTTAAACACCTCGTCCCTCTACACTTCATTCAGACTTTCGGATGGTACCTATTCTCCGCCTGGTGGTTCAGCGAAATATACAAGTGGTCACGTCCTATGAGTGCAGAGCTCGAGTGGGTGAAACGCGGCAAGTACGTGCTGTTGAATCCCGAGGTGTCAATAATGGGCGCAATCTAACGTTTGAAGCAGACCATATGAACGAGCGAGCTTGAACGAAAGACCTCTCTACCTGTACAGTTACCATATAACTCTGGCAGTTGTCCAGTCGGTGTTCCATCTCTACCATGATTACGATCGCATTCCCATCACTATCGCAAAACGCTTGCCTGCCGCGGCGGATCAAAGAACACATCCACAGGAGTCGGTTTCCAAGAAGATTCAGCTTGCCTTGCCTGGATTTATTCGAGATGGCGTTAAACGGAGTGCAGTCGTTGCTGCTATTTGTCCCGTTTTCTATACACTCTTCCTAAGACGCCCAGTATGGAGCTTTACCATGTATTTTGCGAAACTGTTTTGGAACTTCCCACGGTCGGCTGCGGACCCCCCAGGAAGCATTCCTCCGATCGGTCCAGGGTTGATTTTCCGATCTCTCGTTTCCGGGTCGTTGCTTGTCCTTTGCTGGCAAACCTCAAACTTGTTCTTTTCCGTATTCATCAGCAAGGAACCTCTAAAGCGAGGTCAGCCCCTTACGGGAGACACCAAGGATCCCAACGGCAGCTTGTTGGACGGATTGAAGGCGAAGAAGGAGACCGTCAAGACGTTTGCATTTTGGGAACTGTGTCTCATCAGCCAGCAATTTGCTGATCGCCGGAAAACGATTCTCAACGATATCGATCGCGAGGGTGGTTCGGCCTGGTCGCAGATTCTGCAATCTGCCACAGAGGTGATCAAGGGTATCTCTACCCGTATCGAGGAAAAGACAAACCCACAAAGCGCCGCCCAGCCAGCCGAAGAGACCCAACCAGTTATACAAAACCTTCCACGCTTAACAGAGCCTCCCAAGGAGGGCAATTTTTTTGCTTCATCGCCAGAGGCCGCTTCGCGACGCGACAGGTTTGGAGATGCTTTCAGCACAGCGGCCAAGTCGTATGGACAGTCGCCAGACTGGACACCGGTGGCTCGTGCAAAAGCTCGCGATGTTTTCGACCGTGCGTCTACTGCGGTGCTTAGTCCAGAGAGAAAACAGAAGCTGCTTGCATCGACGCAGGAAATTAGATTGCTCACTGATGGCGATTCGACTGCCAAACCTGAGGATGTCCACCCGTTGGTTGCACAGTTTCTTCGATCACCATTGGGTCAACCTTTCCGGCAGACCTATGCTAGAAGGCTGTCTAGCATCGTCCTTGGCTCGCCCTACGCGACAGTAAGCCCGATCATCGACGCTATTGAATCTTTGAACCGCCTGCTCGCCGCAAGTCTTCAAGAAGACAACTACGGTACAGTCCAGGGTGACGTCCCCACTGTTGTGCGTCTCTTTACGGACACAATAAAGACCCTTGAAGCTTTCATCAACGGCGGCTTAGATACACACTGGACGGATGTTAACTTCCCTCCATCGAGCAATCAGGAAGCACAAGCGGCTGCCCGTCATGTTCCGAATGTGGACATCATCCTTGATACCTTGAAGCGGTCGCTCGCAGACCTGCTGTCCGTTTTCAACCCGTATCTACGGGACATTGGACTTGTTGGCAAGGACCTGAGATTGGCCAAGGAAGCAGCTGGGTTGTTTGAAGATGTTGAGATGTCAATGTCATAGTCTGGCATTGACCTCCATTATGTGTCTTATGATTTATTTATTTGGGATATATGGTAGTGGTGATATATTTCATTCCTCTTTTTTATTTTGAATTGGAAGCATTGCTCCGGCGTTTGATATAGGGATTTGTTGGTGTCAATTTAATGGGGATGTTGCTAGAAATCGTTGGTAAATAGTCACATGACATCATTTAGCAGATAACAACCATCCCACTTTCATAAAACACCCCGGAATATAAATCGAAACTCAACAAAGCTCACAACAAAGGACACTACAAAGAACACTACAATGTCCCTCCAAAATACGTGGCACCACCGTAAAGTAGCCGATACCGCCGCAAAAGCGTGTTTCATCTGCTATAAACCTTCGAATAGTGTTCTAATCACGCCGGATAACAAAGTACTCACCCCACCCCTGATCTACTTGCCAATGTGTCTATCACTAAAAACGCATAGGACTTCTTTTACATATGTCCCGCACATCTGAAAGATCGCAATTTCTGCTCTGCGGTTGTGGATACGGCGGGGGCGCAGGCGAAGGGGAAGGAGGAGGCGTTGGCGAGGGAGATTGAGAAGGTGAAGAGGGAGTATGAGGAAAAGCAGCAACGGAAGAAGGAAAAGAGGAAGGAAAAGAAAGACGGAGAGGAGAAGAAAGATGCAGACAAGGACAAGGAAAAAGATAAGGATGCTAAATCGGATGAGAAGGAGAGGGATGATAAGGTGCTTTCCCCTTGTCTCTGCTCACTAGACGAGGGCTAGCTAACAGACAAAGATCGAGTCTCTCAAGAAGCAAGAAAAGCGACAAGGAAATACACCAACAGACGACTCAGACTCACCGCGTGTATTCTCTCTGCACAAGTACGTCAAACAGTCGGATTTGAACCCAACCAAGACTAAACAACAACTAGGAACTTCTACCAAATGCGCATCGACCGCCTGCGTAATATCGAAGTAGCTAAGCGGAATCGTCAACGGTTACAGGACCCATCGCTGTTCCCATCCGTTCCGTCGAGGGGTCTTTGATCAAACTCCTTGAGGACTTACAATCAAGCAATACAGATACCATACTACTGTCTATATGTGTATCGGAAGTTATCGGATTCATGCATTGGCCTAGAGCTGACAGAAATCAGCTCAAAGCTGTGACGATTGCAATATCAAATGGCCAACTAGCTCTGCATCGCCCCATTCTCAATCCAGCAACGCCGACTCGCTGTTCGAGATGCAATTGCCTTTGACCACATCAACAGGGCTGTGCTGCTGCAATTACACTGCACGTACCCGGTTGATGAAGAACAGACATCTGTGTCTACTGGTCTGTACACCGTGCTGCTGCTTCTGCTGCTGCTGCCTCCCGTGAGGTGAGGTAAGTAAGCACTAGCAATCTGCAAGAGCAATCACAGTCAGCTCAGTCTGATGTTGTTCGTGTAGATATTCATGGGTCATGAGGGTTGGAAATAAAATCGAAGGGGATATTCTTAGCATTGCGATACCTAGAAACAACTAAGAAATCTATCCCTGTCCATTTCCTTGGCTATACTACTACTACTACTACTGCTGCTGCTACAGACCTGCCAAGGCAATAGCCACACTGTCTGTTAAACTTCACACCGATCACTGTATCAAATACCAATCTTATAGACATCGTTAGCGAAATTATCATACTACTATCCAGCACTGACCACCATGCATATGTACTCGTACCACGGAACAGCAATCCAGACACACAACCCCCCTCCCAAAAGGGATCCCAAAAAGGCAATGGGGCAGTGCAGTACCGGCATCCTGGATGCCAAGCCCTACGTCCAATCAGCACCGTTCCTCAGGCTCCACTCCTGGTCCGGGCTTCTAGAATTCCTATCGAAGAGTATCCGTGGGTCTGTCGTACTGTATGTATGTACTGTACATACAAGTGTCTCCGTATTTGTACCTGTATAGATACTCATGGAGATCAATGGAAGAACAGTCAGTCACGAGGGTACCATGGGCCACAAGAACGGGCACACGATAAATCAGGCTCTGAGTGTAATAAATGCACATAGACAGTATCATCTCCGTCCAGCCTGGCCCTAATCAATACCCTGCATCCCATTGGCTCTCGTCTCGCCTACCCGCTTGCACAGCCCCCGAGCCAGCGCTAGTCCTAATCCTCTCGGGGAGATTGGTAGGAGGAAAAGGCAAATAAAATAAGAGTTGAATGGGAAGGGGTAAGCACTTTGCGCTTTGTTGATCCTGTCTCCTGATGGCCTTTTGGGAACTCTGTACGAGGCATGCAATGGGAGTAGAGGGTGGCCCCATACAAGATTCTGTACTACTGTTAGATCAGGGTCTATGACTCCGCATCATATCGGGTTGAGTTCCTACTCGTTACTGTACATTTTGTCTTGAAGTATACTGTCAAAGTGCAGAAATGTACGGGTACCAAAATGAGAATCAAGGACTAGAACATGATGATCAAGGGTTATGACAATAACCCGCCCTAGCCAGACGTCGTAAAGTCTACCACGGATGGCATCCAGCGTCCCAAATTCCTCCTTGCTTTTGCGCGACAAGTCAGCGCTTGGATCAGTCCATCTGCACGGAACACCGTGGCGGCACAATGCAGCCCGTCCACCATGTCTGAATCGCTCATGACGTAACAGGTGTTTCGATCTGACCACTAGCAAATAGACTTCCGAGTCTAGTGTCGTGACGCGGCTGGTGCTTAACTGTCACTTGTAAAAAATAAAAAGTCAAAATAGTCGAAAAGAAACTTTCGAGTATATCTGTGCCTTGTGTGCTAGAGATTCCCCTTTCCCGTGTCATCTACCGCCTTTGCATTCGGCCTCATCCCAGGAGGCAAACGGATGCCCAACGCAGCAGCCGGTGACCGCGTGGCAAAGTTAGTACGATTCACAACGTCAACTCGAGCCTTGGCAAGCCCAATAGCCGGAACGATCCAGCTACCGCAGCTGCAACGCATGCCTTGCCAGGCAAACTTGCCGATATTCTGACCGCAGATGGTATTGGGGCAGGTGAGGCGGCCGGATAATGGCGCATCATCGGGGTGTGAGCCATACACTGCGTCTGAAGAGGGTGTTGTGTTCGGGAAGAGACAGGGACGCATCCATGTCAAGGGGTGTAAGAAAACATGGGCACATTCTGTGCTTGGTGCGGCGTTGTTTTGTTGCTCATGTGGGATGATGAATGGGGTGGTTGCCAGAACGCGCCTTCTAAATTTAGTTTCATATTCAAGCGAAAATGACAAGAATGAAACATACCGACACTTGCGACATTTGATTTCAGTCGAGCGATCAGCATCTTGCGGCTTATGGGGCTGCTCATCTTCAAACAGTACCGAGTTCATTTCCGGCGCACGGCCACATGCAACGCTCTCCTCGACTTCACGACGATACAGCCATCGATTATAGAGTGGGTGCCCGGTGACATCATCATCAGGACAGCCCATCTCATGATAGATCTTCAGCTGTTCCATGAACCCTTCATTTGGTTCGCAAAGAGGACGCGCCTCCCTCAGCAATGCCAGCGCTGACTCGGGCGTTTGCGTCTTGGGCTGACGGTGGAGTAAGTAGGCTATGCAAACAGCAGCAGACCGGGATTTCCCCATAGCACTATGATCATTAGTATCAGGATACACTTGGGGAAGTGCACGTGACTAGATTTACTCACCAATGAACCAAGACGCTCCCTCCTGCATCTAAACCACCCTGGATAAACTTAATGACAGCGGGGAAATGCTGTAGGAGATCTTCGTCGTCGATATCATCCACTTCAATGTTATAACGCTGATACCCCTGTAGGATTTCATCTGCCTGCTGGAGGCGTAGCACGGAAACCAAATGAGTGATATTTGCTTTGGTCAAAGCAGCCTTGTTCTTGAGTGATAGAACCCTGATCACAGTCAGCGCAGCCCCGCACAATCGGAAACGAACGAAGCTAATAACCCTCCAATGTAAATATTATGACCGGGGATCTTATTCATAGCCATTTTGAAATGAATGAGGCAGCCTAATCAGATGGTGATGATGGCAAAGTCAGGCTGATACTTGATCGAGCAGTCGACCAAAACTGGCAGTCGGCATAAAACAATCATGATTGGCTGGGCCCTGACAGCCAGTCACGTGAAGATAGGACAGAATAGGGCTTAGGGCAAGGTGTGATTGGCTCGACGATCCTCGGTGATTCTACTTATCCGGAACCCGTACCTGTAGCCGGTGAGATCTTCTGGTCCACTGACAACAATGCTTAATATGGGGGAGGAGGAAGAGAGAAGATAATCAGTTCCATACACGGCGTCGCCTAAACCGGATGGATATGCAGTGATTGGCGCTTAAATTCTGCCAAGCGCAGACCCTGGCATGGCTTAATCTATTACGAACGCACTTGAGGGTTGGTGCTGAGGATGTCGAAAGCGGAAGGAGCTTATCTGATTCCTGATTCATGGGAGGACAGCTTAGGAGCAGCCAATTGTATTCTGTACTTGTACCGGGGTTAAGGAACGTAAAAGGAGAGGCTGCTTTGCTCATAAAATGCGCATTAATGTTCGTGCATGAGTCGACACTCCGTACCGGAAAGTCACGAGACCATAACCATAAGGCTTAAGGCTGATAACCTTAAGACGATTGCGACAACGAGCTTATCCAGAGTTTATACAGAGTGCACATTTCATACTCCGTACATTCTACTTCACATAGTACTATATACAGAGTAAGTATTCTGCAACTGAGCACCATGTGCTCTACTTGTAAACATCCCGTGGGATCTCCTATTCAGACAAGTGCAATTATGTATTATTTGATGACAGCAAGCGACGGGGTCCGGTGGCAGTGCTGTCTCGAGGGTCCAGCGGGAGCCAATCAGAGAGTGGTAGTGGGGCAGCCTGGTCTGGTTCAATGCAGTTTTTCAATACACACTATTACATATTTTGTACGGGGTATACTGAGTATTCCGCTTGGAGTAGAGTGCTATTTTACTCAGATATCAATACCAGGAATATATACCTGTACAGAATACAGAGTATTGATGCAGAGAAATATCTCACTCTGTATACATACTACTATTACTAGTACAGACGTGGCGAACCAGAACGCGGATAGCAGTGGGACCTCCAGCACTGCCTCATTCTCCATACTCCACCCGTATTGAATTCACCGCTTGAGATTACAGTTGACGTATGCGTATTCGGATGTTTCTTCGCCTTGCGCTGCCCTATGCCTTGCTTCCGGAGTTTTATGGACTCCGGCCTAAGCAGCCATAACGTGGTGTTTGCCGATGACCCCTTTGAGGGTGTATTGTAACATTACTACTGTATTACATGTTGCCAAAGTTTAAACCAACCGCTGAACGTTTTTGACTATATCCAAATATCCCCCATATCTTTCTTTTTATCCAGTTTTCTCTTCAAGTTATCCCTCTTGATCCATGGTCACCTGACTTGCATCTTCCATCTCCATCCTCCCACTACTCTTTCCTCAAACTCACATGCGACTCGCCCTGTCGATTCCTTTCCCTCTCCGGTTTTGCCTCTTCTAGCATTAGGAGATCGGGCTGTATCGTCGTCATCACTTCCCCAGCCTGATCACAGTCAGATTGAATTCATCTTGCATCCATCACATTCCCACCACATTTTACGACCTGCATCTTCCAACATGTCCCCCTCCATTTGCTGAGTTGCCGCTACCACCAGCGTCTCCCTCCTCCGGTGGCTTTTAATTCCTTGATCCTCGTCTCTTTTTTTCTTTTTTAAATTGATGGCAGTCGGTTTCTCAACGTGTGACGCGACTGGTCGTGGCAAAACGTCGTCCAACAGCAAACTCCCTGCTGTATCCCTCGCCTCTCAGCCCTATCGCTGGTCGGGCTGATTTCTCTCCGTCGTGCTTATTGCGCCTCGATCCATTCCTTGTTTATATTACTTCATTGCCGCCGGACTGGCTTTTTCTCTCAATTT